GACTTCTGCCTCGCGACCGGCAAGGACTTGCGACCAAGCCTGCACCAAGGCTTGCATGCCCGCGGCGCCAAACATAACGTGTGAAAAGAGGAGACCGACGAGGGTTGCATCGTTGAAAGAGACGACATGGAGAGCAATCTGAGGTTCATCGGAGCACATCAGATCTTCGAGTGTCTTGGGAGCGTCTTGACGGGCACCGAGGTTGTAGAAGTTGATGACACCAGGCTGGACAGACGGAGTAGAGGTGGTAGTTGGGAGGTGCTTCGCAACATTGTGTTCCTTGATGCTGAAGTCGTGCACATCGTGAGAAAAGCGAATGGCAGGGCGAGCAGGCGTGAACTGTTTCGGGACATGCAGCTCGAGTTGGTTGTCGGGCTGATTGATTGCTTGAGTTAGCAAGACTCATTTCCAGAGTGTGGTTCAAGTGTCGAATTCTCCACACAAGGGGATACTTACTCTCATCCTCATGCGACCGCCAAATTTCCTCCAGTCACCAATCTCGATCAACCGAGAGAGAGAAAGATTAAGCTTCTCTGCGTCCAGGACATCGTCGAAACGAAGCGTCCAGTTCAGAAGCATCTCACGAAAAGGCTTCGTATCGTCAAAGAAGTGAACCGGGTAGACATCGTCTGTGGCTACCGTTGGCAGCTGGGTACGCTTGGGCTTGCGGCCGACAAAAGAGCGCATATAATCCATGATGATTAGAGAAGGAAAAAGATGAGCGGTGTCGTTGTTGGCTGCCGAGAGCTCTGACAAGACTTCCAGCCGCAGACCAAGACAAGACCAGGCAAAGGGAAGTCAATCCAAACGTTGAACAGAAATTCAAATGACTGGCATCACAGGCCTGCGAGCCAAGTTGTAGGACGCCGACTTATATGGCATAATAGATGCTATCCGTCTTGGCCGGAACTTTTGGGCCCAAGTCCATGGCAGCTTCCAAGGCGTCTCTGCGCGTGTACGGAGGTTTCCCGTAGGTTTGAAGCAGGGTCTGAGCAGACCGTTGGTCAAATGGTTCATTGCGTTGTGCAGATGCTGCAGCACCGAGAAACAGGCTTTGTCGAGAGAGTGTGTGCGTTTCGTACAGAAGCCGAGCGAGATCGTGCCCCCTTGAAGTATAACACTTGCAGCCGTTCCACCTTCAAGGCTGGGCTATGTTAACTACCCCATCTGTTCTCTGCTTGGCGGGGGAGAACAAAGCTAGCGAAACTGTTGGCCCTAACCTCTAAGCTTGTTATGATCTTGCATATTGATGGGGATCCCTGTCTGTGATTTACATCGCGTGTTACGAAATAGGTTGACAAAGTGAACCAACCCCGGAAAGTAAGGTGAATAGAGAGACTCTGTTATCGCGGCCGAGGATGGATATGCCCAGAGTGGGGCATAGTAGCACGGAGCCGGCCGGAGTTGGCTATCGATGCATCCCGCATAGTTCCCCGCAGTTAGAATTAAAGGTAAAGGGATTGCTTACCACCCCAATAAAAGGTAAAAGGCACGCCGCGGGCATCCTTTCCTTGCGAGGTGGCTTTTTGAACCGACGAAACTCTGAGTGACAGCCGCACAAGAGACAAGATGACAGGACAGCCATACAACCTCTGGGTGGGAGGCCAGGAGAAGCTGGGTCATGCAGAGCAGTTCGTGACCATTTCTTCCTTTTCTTCTCCTTTCGAAGGTTCCCAGTACCCCGCGCGAGGGGCTGCAGGGCGCTTATCTGTGCTCGAGCTCATGCTCATGCTTATGCTCATACTCACACTTATGCTGATGCTCGACTCTCACACGCCAACAGGATCCCGGTCGAAGACCCCGCGACAGGTGAGATCTTTGCCAAGTAAGTTCTCAGCCCTCAGCCTCAACTTCGATGCCCGTCCGCAATTATTTCCCACACGGGTGAGACTGACTGGCGTCCGAATGCGTGCAGCTGTCACGCAGCGTCCCTGGAAGACGTTGAAGAAACGATTCGTCTGGCGCACGAGACCTTCAAGGCCGGAACGTGGTCAAGAGCGCCCCGTCATGTTCGCGCCGATGTTCTCGACAAGACGGCTGAGTTGCTCACTGCAGAGCTGCCCTCGCTGATTCCTCTTGAGGTACGCCAAACCGGACGCGCGATACGCGAGATGCGCGCCCAAGTGCCCACGTTGGTCAAGTGGTTCAAATACTATGCCGCCTTGCTACGCACTGAAGAGCGTGCGGTACTGCCAACCGTGGGCAAGCTGCACAATTGGATTGACCGTGTGCCACTGGGTGTCGTGGTGCAGATCACCCCCTTCAACCACCCGCTCCTGATCGCTGTCAAGAAGATAGCGCCCGCTCTTGCAGCGGGAAACAGCGTTGTGGTGAAGCCGAGTGAACTGACACCGCTCACAACGCTGCTGTTGGGCAAGATCTTGCAGAAAGCTGGTGTGCCTGATGGAGTGTTCCACGTGCTCCCTGGATACGGCGCAACAACTGGCAAGGCCCTCGCCGAACATCGGCTTGTTCGCAAGGTCGACGTCACTGGCGGAACCGTGGCTGGGAGAGCTATTGGCTCAATCGTCGGCGGCAATCTGGCGCGGTACACGGCGGAACTGGGAGGCAAAGCGCCGCTGATCGTCTTTGAACAGGCCGACGTGGATGTTGCAGTCAATGGCATCGCATTCGGGTCCTTCATTGCTAGCGGACAAACATGCGTCGCCAGTACTAGAATCCTCGTCCAAGAAGGGATCATGCAGCCAGTGTTGGAGAAGCTCAAAGCCAAGGCCGAATCCATCGTCCGGCGGATGGGCTCACCCAGCAACCAGGAATCCATGATGGGCCCGCTGGTGTCGGCGAAGCAATTGTCAAACGTAGAGGCGCTTGTGAATGAAGCGCTTGCTACAGAAGGCGCAGCTTTTACTGGCGGCCGTCGCATGTCTGGAACCAGTAGCCTAGATGGAATCGACTTTGCCAAGGGATACTACTTTGAACCGACGGTGCTGGTATCTCGTGCCGAGGGCGACATCCTCAAGTCGCGCATCTGGCGTGAGGAAGCGTTTGGGCCGGTCATTGTGGTGGCGCCGTTCAAAAAGGAATCAGAGGCCATCGCACTCGCCAACGACAGTGAATTCGGTTTAGGAGCGGGCATCTGGACGCAGGACGTGGCGCAAGCGTTTCGAGTGTCTGAAGAAATCGACGCAGGCATCGTGTGGGTGAATACGCACCATCGAAACGATCCCAGCAGTCCGTGGGGTGGCGCAACGAGCGCGAGCGGTGTTGGCAGCGAGAACGGTATCGATGCATACCAGGCTTACACGACTACTAAGAGCACAATCATTAGCTATGCGAGCCCAGAGGAGGCGCTGGCGGCAGACGACTGGTTCCGCGAGGGCGCCGGTGACGTGCGATACGGATAGACGGACCCTCGATAAGTAGACCCTCAATGGACGAAGTGTCGCCCATGGATCAATTGACCAATGCCAGCTATTGAGTTGCGAATAAAAGAGTGAGAGGGAGGAAAAACGAGAGAGACAATGATGTTCCTCTCATGTTCGGGGATGAAGTGCTCGTTTCAGAGGACGAGAACCCGTCAGTGCGTGGTCGCTTGTCATAATACCGCGGCATGCAGGCCGAATTTCCGTCATTTGCGTCTCGGACCGCAGGTGCAAGCGAATTGTTGGAACGAGTCAACGCAGCAGGCGGTTTCGCTCGGATGGAATCCAATGTGAGGTGATTGGGAACAAAAGATGGAGAGTGAGGATGTGTCTGTCTGTTGAGATATTTGTGAGAATTGGCAAAAGAGATGAGGTCCATCCAGGATTCGAACCTGGGCCTACGGAAGGTTCTGAGAGTCAGAATCCGACGTCCTAACCAACTAGACTAATAGACCTGTAGCTGAAAGTTCGAAGGCGGCATCTTGTATCTAGAGCCTGTAGTGAAGTTTGCTGGTGGTGCCGTCTGGCAGCAGCTGGCTTCCTCGAGGCCTGCGTCGATGTTGCTGTGTCGCCTTTCCAAGAAGCCATCCATTGTGCGGCTCAAAATCGCGGAAGAGACGGATGAGCACCGAAAAAAGGTGATTGTTGATTGGGTGTCTTGGATTGGATCGAGGTCGACGCAAGGTGTCCGAAGTCTCGTTACAAAAGTCTGAAGGTTGATGGGATCCTCTATGCCGTTACCCGTGCCGCTACCCACGGCCATAAGCATCGTGGTACCCAAACGGGGCGGTCGCAAAGAGTGATTGGCTCTTGTTTCTGGTTTCGACATTGGCAAGCTTCGTCAACGGTCGTCCAAGTGTTGGTTCTGTCGTCGTTTCTGTCTCGTCGTAGGTAGCCATACATATCGTTCTGGAATGTCTGATGCTCGTTCGACTGGACCTAGATTAACGCAGATGGGAGAAGAAGAGAAGTAAGCTTCATTCCAGTCCTGTCCTTACCTTCCCTTAGTGAGTCTCCTCGTCGTTCTCCTTCTCTCTGCCCCTTCGCTTAGGTAAGGCAGTTGCTCTGCACTTATCCCGTGCCTTCCTAGCCGACCTCACTTAGATGCTCCATACCTGCCTCGATAGTTAGATCCATTCGATTCGCATGACATCATCCGAACGCCATCCACTCCATTACCGTCGGCACCACCACTAAGAGCAGGAAGGTGTGGACCAGAGCTTATTCACAAAAAGGATAGCACTCATATCAGACCATTCGGGAAGGAAGGAACCTCACAGTCTCGCCTTCCCTAGGTTCACTTGCACTTCAATTGGATGAGAACAACTCGCTTTCTGTCGCGAACTCTCTTTCCCCGACGTTTACCCCATTGAGACATCCAGTCGTAGTCGCATTGGCTTCAGCATCGACATCTAACGCTTCTACCACCTGCTTTACACATCTTACCTTACCTCTTGCCTCAACTTTCATTTCGCTCAAAGCAAGGAGCACCTTGGAGTCAGCCCTGCTTTCAGCATTAAAAACCATTGCTCCGAGCTCCAGTTCACATCCCGGTCACCGGCCGAGTCTCCCAGACTTTCCAATCTAATCGGCATTGAACCAGTTCCACGTTAAAACATGTCGCGACCGAAACAGCACATCGTCTTTCTGACAGGACCTACGGGCACTGGCAAGACGACGATAGCAAAGTATCTGACAGAATCGCTACGCATGACCTTTATCGAAGGTGACGACGTCTGTGCCCCTCCTCTCTACATCCTCCCCTAAATGAAGCACCAACTCTACGTCTGCCAACAAGCGCACTGACACTGACACACATGTCCGACCTGGTCAACAGTACCACCCAAAGGAGAACGTAGAAAAGATGCACAGAGGCGAAGCCCTCACCGACGACGACCGCTGGGGCTGGCTCGACGCCCTTCGTGACGAGGCCCTCAAAGAACTGGAGCGGGACCACCAGGGTGTCATCGTCACCTGTTCCGCTCTCAAGCGCGCCTACCGCGACATCCTACGCGGCGCCTCGCACCCGGAGAAGGACATCTTTGTCCACTTTGTCACACTGCACGCGCCCGAAGAGGTTCTTTTCGAGCGTGTCAAGAACAGGCATGGCCACTTTGCCGGCTCCAACCTGGTGCACAGCCAATTTCAAAGCTTGGACCCGCCACAGGCGGACGAGCCGGACGTCGTGGGCGTGGATGTGCAGCCGCCTGTGGACGAGGTGAAGAAGGATGCGCTGGAGAAGTTGAAGGGCTTGCTAAGCAGGTGAAGATGGTTGTCACTAAGTGGCTAGCATCACGCAGGTAACCGAGCATTCACTGGGAAGTACTTATTTGTATATATACAGTACTTGGAAAGTCGACCGCCTCAAGAGCTGAATGATCTCATCCAGACAATGAAGCCGAGGAATGGCAGGCGAAAAGACCCCTGAATCCAACCATTACTCCATTCCCATACAGCAAATCATCCAACTTAGCCCAGCAAGGCCCTTCAAAATGTAGCTAATTATCCGAAGCAGAAGCACTCCCATCGGTTGCAAGCTCAATGCGGAGAGGGGATCGTCACCCCAACAAGACCTTCAACCCAGACTAGATGGGAGTGTTCAATAACCCAGTATAAGTCTGCTGGGGCTGCTCTTGGGCCTCCTGCAGCTCCTCGAACTCTCCAGCCTCACGCTCAGAAACGCGTGGCAAGCGATAGGACTGCGTCCCAGGCTGAACAGTAAGGTTGTCGAAATTTAAGCGAGGGTGCAGCGAAGGTCGGGGAGCCAGTGACCCGTGGTACTCCTGCCCCCGCACCGGAACGAGAGAGTCGTGATACACCAGCCCCGGCCGTGAAGGTGCATTTCCGACGTGGAGGTTCTGGTCCTGGACGAGGTTGGGAATCGAGTTTTCGGTACGACGTTTGGGCAATGGTATCAGGGGACCCCGAGCCTCTTGCTCGCGGAAGTAGTCCTGGGCTTGCGAATACCGCAGGTTGACGTCGTGGGCGAACGAGGTGTGCTCATCGATCCGGCGGCGTGCCCAGGGAGGGCCAAAGTTGTAGTCGACTAGGTGGAGGAGATCGCGGGCTCGCTCCGGCCGGTGGGCGGAGTCCCATTCGAGAACGGGTGCTGGGCCTGGACGGAGGCGGGGGAGATGGACTCCGTCGCTGGCGAGGGCGTTGTCGTGTCTGCGGTGGGAGGCTGATGTCGCTTCTGGGAAGAAGAAGGTCCTGGGACCTGTTGCCCCGTTGATATGGACCGGCGGCGGAGATCGGTCCCGAGCTAGGAGGATGGCATCTTCTTCCTCGGGTGTGCCTTCCTCATATTGGCTATCCTCGCGATGGCCTGGTTGCTGGGGTACCCAGCCGACGGAGCCATATGGTGGTCGTGGCTGTGAATATATGATCTCGCCTTCGGCGGCGGGACGCGTAGTACGATTCTCCATTGTCTTGAAGAGAACAGGTGATGCTTGTGGTACTCGCTGATGAACAAGTAAAATAAAGGCAAGGGAAAGAGACGAGGAAGGTGGAGGAATCGATGTAATGTCCAACTTGCTATCGATCCAATTAGGTCGACAATGTGTCGATGTAGCAAATCTCTCCACTATCGCCAAAAGAATATAAATGGAGGGCAACCGCTCACGCAAGGTGTACAACACTTGACTTTTTTTCACAAAAAAAGAGCAGAGATAGGGGTGGTTTTCAGACAACCTGAATAGGTTTTCAAAAATTAATTCCCTCTCGTGGGATCGTGAACCCAGCTACAGCCCAAAGTCAGTTTTGTTTTTTTACAAAGTTCCCACAGACGAAGCCTAGCCCAGTCCAGCCATATATACGTCAGCCAGCCAAGATACCAAAAGTCCTGGTCACTTTCACGGCATCAAACACGGCACGATTCACGGAGTAAACCTCTTATCCAGGTTGGTTATCTACCTACCATACCTTGACCCACTCCGCGATAGCCTCAAACACCCACTTTCATTTCCAGCAAGGTTGTTCTAGTCGAGAATCTATCCGAGTTTAGACCGCCAAGGTATAAGAAGAAGACCCAATGGATGTCCAACTCTGGCGTCCCGCGTCATGGGTGAGAAAAGTAAGAGTCCTAAATATCTAGACGAGTCCAAAGGGGTTCGACCTAAGGGTATAAACTTCCCCATGGCCCAAGTTCGATTCTCCAGGTTCCAATACACCGCAGAGTGTTACGAAGACTCCATATGATTTACATGTGACCTCACTTCACTTCTCGGTAGCATTTTACTCATGCTATCCAGAGTTAGGCATGAGTAACAAACATCGTGTAAGTGACGGGCAGCTATATAACGTTCTCCAACATGGAGACATGCAAGAGGCCGACGTCCGCCAAGGCTCTCCCATTATCCATCAGCACATGTTGAAGAAACCGAACAAGCAAGAGTGTAGTCGATGTGGTATTATTAGTAGAGCAATCTATAAGCAAGCCTGGCTACCAATGCCAATACGCCCCTGTTCCGTTTCATTATACATAATTACATACATACACGCCCTTCTTCCGAAATATATGCACAGATGGAAGTGCAGGCAAAGCTGACCGATCGTAATAGCGATCCGATTACAGCATCATGACAGCGAATAAAGCCGCGATACCAGCAACGAAGAAGCTGTTCTGCAAAGCAGACGCAGCAGCGGGCGCCGGGGCGCTGGTCTTAGCGGGAGTGCCGCCAGTTGTAGAGGGGAGAGTCGTCTGGGCGTTGACAGATCCAGTGGGCGATCCAGAGCTGGAGACCAGTCTCGTCATGGTCGATAACGTGCCGTTAGCATGAGTGGTCGTGGTGTTGGCGGCGGCAGTCAAGGACGGAACCGGGGCGCTGGTGGTGGGAGTCTGGATGACGGTGGTAGTGTTCTTAGCACTCTGTGTCGGGACATCGGACTGCTGGGCCTTGTTCTTATCGTCCTTGTCGCTGGACTTGTCAGGCTTGGGGCCGGCAACGTTACCGACATCACCAACACTGCCGGAGCTGCCGCTCTTCTCGCCGGCACCGATGATCTGGATGGTCTGCCACTTGCCGTCGGAGCCCTTGGAGTACTCGTACTGCTTGGCACCAGCCTTGTCACCACCAGCGTAGTCCCAGACCTTGAGGGAGCGGTAGTGACCGGCGAAGGGAGCCTGGTCCCATTGGGCGAGACCACCAGCCCAGTCGATGGTGCCCTGGGCAGTGCCCTTTCCACCGACCCAGGTTCCGAGCTTCAGCTGCATAGGAGTTTGCGGGTAGTTGCCCTCGGCAGGGGTGGCGGTGCGGTAGACCTTTCCGTCAATGGAGAAGACGATGGACTCCTTGGTCCACTCAATGGTGTAGGTGTGGAAGCTGGTCATTGGGTTGAAGGGGACCTCGTAGTAGCGAGCGCGAGTGTAGTCGTTGACACCGAGGGCGTAGAAGTTTGTCTGGACATGGGTCTGGTCGGCACCAACAAACTCCCAATCGATCTCGTCAAGGGCGTCAGACTGCAGAACAATACTAGTGACGATGCCGCGACCGGGGGCGGCCTGCAGTTCAACTTCGACCTTGCCGAAGAAGAGGTAGTTCTTTGAGGTGAGAGTCGGGGCGTTGCTCTCCTCAAAGATGGTCATCTCGCAGCCCGAGTCGGCGGAGAATGACAGGACTTTGGGGTTGTACTTGATGCCGCCGTCGACGATGAAGAATGACTCGAGATCATTCATGTTCTTGGAGGTACGGAAGTCATAGCTGGCTTCGCCGCCAAAAGCGGTGTTGGCAGGGCATGCTGAAGATTTTGTTAGTATCGTCATTCGCAGTTTGGTGTAAGTGGATGATGCGAAGGATAACATACTGTCGCCCTTGACGGGGTTGCAAGCAGAAAAGGTCTGGGCAGAAGCCAGGCCAGCAGCGGCCAGGGTTAACGCTGCGTAACGCATCATCTTGGATTGTGGTGATAGAAGAGTTGTGAGGAGGAGGAGGAGGAGGGCGAGGTTGAGGCTGTGAGTGGTTGTCGTTGGAGCCAAACTTGCTGCAGGAAAGGAGCGGGAGTAAGGGTAGATATCGACGCTGAACTGTAAGGTAGCACAAGACGAGTAAACAACCACGGACGGTGATCCGAGGAAGATGTCCCAAATATAGAAATTAAGAAAAGGCTAGAGGGATGGAAGAAAGGAACTAGCGCACTGGGCAGGTGGGAGGCCAAGGAAGCCGAGAATGGTGAAAGGACGGCACCGGACGCTGTGTCTCTAAGTTTAGGTCGAAACCGCCGCTTGGGAAACAGTAAACGGGAGGCTGGCGGATTCTGGGCGACCGAAAGTGAAGAAAGTGAATCACGAATGTACAAAGTACCCTGGTGTGGGGTGTAAGTGGACGAGGATGAACACGACCAGAGATGAAAGCAGGCGGCAACGGTGAAGCCGGGCACCGAGGACAGAGACATTTCCCACCTCAGGTCACCTCATTAAGAGTAAGACCACCAAGGGCTTTGGTTTTACGGTACTTTACAGCCAAGACGGGCAGAGACAAGAGAGGCTGTGTCTCTTTGCTGCTGCATTAGGGCCAGTAAGCGTGAGATGACACGAAGAATCGCTGTTTAGTCTGCTTCCATTTCTGGGTGCCTTCCTTTCCGCTTGAACGAATCCGCGCTTGCCAGGCGCACCACCTTCTTCACCTATTGGCCATTTAGCGGGAAGGAGTGCAACAGATGGGAGGCTGGGGACCTTCCTAATGATGAGCTAATGCAGGGTCCAAGTACCTTGGCTGCAAAAGATGGGTGGAGAAATACTTGCAGTAGAGTGCACCCTCGTCTTCTCCCCAGCCAGCTGGTTTGGCTTCAGGGACCCTCAGTGGCTGCCGCAAGCGGGGACTTTTACATCGATTACCTCAGCTTCCTCCCTCTTTCCCATCTCTGCACCTGCCTGCACCTTCCCTCCCTCAGTCAATCAGTCTCACTCGGTACTTACGGGCTACGGAGTACGTACCGCGTTCTTGCCGTTCAGCTCGTGTCCGGTCGCGCCGTTGCTGCCACGCCAAACCCTCTGCATCCAGCTGGGTTCCTTCCCATCTCGTGTTTGAATCGTCAGATTTGGCGCCGTTTCCGTCCCAAACATCCCTCGTCGTGTTGTTTCCTCTGCAGCTCAACTCTAAAGTCTCCCAACCTCTTCATTCCTCGCAAACCACATCACCGGTTCATCTCCTGACAGATTCGACCTGCCAGCGGCGCGCCCATGACGCCGTTGCCACTCGACTGCAGACGTCCATCAACCAACCCCTACACCATACTCCCTACACAATGTCCCATTCCCAGCCCTCAACAACAATGTCTAACGCCTTAACCGACATGAAAGTCTGAAGATGATCTTCACCCATGCACACAGACAGTCTCGGCAATCTTGGGCGCGAGCAAGCGCGGCCACTTTAATTTCCAGTCGACTACCTAGCCACAGTTGCAAGCAACCACACAGCCCTAGATCTCAGGGGATTGTGGCCCATCTACGCCAGCCGAGGCGCTAAGATGGTTGGCCGTCTCGTATCTTGGGAATAGGATGCATCCGTTCGAGTTGCAACAAAATTACCATCATGCGCATATGCTACAGGTGTCAAGTGAGTAGAATAACGGCCGATTGTATCAAAGTCCCCAAAGGTGCTTCACTTGGCTTCTCCGGCCCATCCCTATTCGTTGTTTTCAATCTGCTTTTTGCATTTCTTTTGGGTGCTCCGTCCTAGCGGGACTAAACACTAGGTAACTAACATGTATCAGAGTGCATCTTTTGTCCCCCTTGGCACGGCCTGAGAAAACACATCCTGCAACAATGGACTTGTCCCTTCGCCCCTAGCATCAATCTGGTCAATCCATCATAAGTCGTCTCGTAATCGGCGCCAAGCGAACCTGTTCCTCGACCATCCGCCAGCACATCCTCTGTGTCTTCGTGTGTCCATGTCCTGCCGACGGTCTCGAATCGATGTGGCCCCCCTGAGAAGAAAATTTGGAATGGTAAGAAGTGAAAAGTGTATAGACAAAAACACCCAGTCGTGTCCTAGTCGCTGACAATCATCAGCTCCGAAACAGAGACACTAGAACACGACACGCTAAAGAGATCCAATCGCTCTCGTCAACATCATCCGAAACTCGCTCTGCTTAGCAGGTGTTGAGCATGGAGGTGAGGGCAGTCTTCTCGGCAGAGGTGACGGTGAGGGCCCAGTAGCTCTTGACGGCAACCCAGGAGCGGGCGTAGGTGCAGTAGAAGCTGGTCAGAGGGGGCTTCCACGAGTCGGGGCTCTTGTCGCTCTTGGACTGGTTGACCTCATCCGTGACAGCCCACAGCTGGGGGCGGGTGAGGTCGTTGGCAAACGACTCACGCTTGGCAGTGGTCCACGATGCGGCACCAGACTGTCGTCCCATGTTAGCATGCACCTTTAATTCTAATGTTGCGCACAGAGCAGACTTACGATCCAGGCGTTCTTCAAGGGGACCATGTGGTCAATGTCGACATCGCTAGCGGCGGTCCAGGTGGCACCGTCGTAAGGGCTCTTCCAGGTACCGCTGGTCGCGGAGCAGGCAGAGTTGACAACAACGTTGGTGCCATCACGCTGGAGCACAGTCTCGCGGGTGTTGCAGGTGCCGGAGATGGTGTCCCAGGTGGGGAACAGGTCACGGTCGTATGTGCCGGTGTTGGTCCAGGCGGCAACGGTCAGAGCAGCGAGCTGGGTCTTGGCCGAGGCGGCGGTGGGGATGCCAGGCTACATGCAAAATGTCAGAAACGGCTTCGACAACGGTCAACTACGGAGGCTTCACACTTACGGGAGTGGGCATCGGCAGGGGCTCGGCGACGGGGTTCGGGGCCGGGACGGGAGAGGCGACGGCCGCGCCGGCGATCATGAACAAAGCAGCAGTGACCTTCATGGTGACGGTAGCGAAAGGGCGGATAGATGAGACCGGGTGAGAAGACAGGACTGGGATGGAGGCTGGAGTGATGTGGTGAACGGGTGGCTTGGCACTGACGATGAAGCAGAAACAACAAACCGAGAGCGGGAGATCTGCCGTGGTTTATATCCTCCGTCGACGTCCTTGCTGTTTATCTCGTTTGTCGTCAAAAGGACTCCCTCGTCGGCGGGTCGCGAGAGTTCCCAAGTCTGCGTTTCCCTCGCTTGTACAACGTCGAACCCCACCTTCATGTCGTTTGCAGCTCCGTCGAGCCAGTCACCACGCCGTCCGACCCCACGATTGTCTACCTGATGTCTTAATCTCCAGCCCGACCCTCCAGGAACCCGCCGACGATGCGGCATTGAGTCGATGAAACGGCGCGCTGTTCTGAAAAGGGGCACTCTGCCCGGCCACAGTACGACCCAAAGCGACCGTCTCATAGGGCTTTCGCAGGGGGGACCACAGGGTTTTGTGGGCGAGCTGACAGCTCCGTGTGCCTTTATCTCTCGTGTTATTGGCGGGGTAATCTAAACATATGGTCAACTTCCCGGTCTCTGAGTGCCGATGCACGGCGCGCTACGGCTCCCGCTCTCTCGTCAACCTTAAGCCTGGTCCGTCCCAAGTTTTCCAACCTTAACGCCAAGCTCACGAGAGTCGAGAACCAGCCACTCACGTCTCCCGGCACCGGCACGTTATCTTATCGGTCCCTGTCAATCACCTGCGAAAAGCGACATGGCTTGGCTGCGAAATCCTGGTCGTTCTGTCAATCTGTCTTCCATCTTGGTGCTGTCCGCTGCACGTCAACCCCTCCATGTCCCGGCTCCTTCAACAATAGCGCACGGGGTCTTTCACGAACCTTCCTGTTTGGGGGCCAGCTGCCGATGATGCGTGGTCAAGACTTCATGAGGAAGCCTGCCCTTGGGAGGTGACGCTCGTGATAGCAACCTCTCAGGGTCTCGAGAATCGAAACGAGGCAACCCACGAGCTGCAGGCTCGCAGACGTGCAGCACACAAACAACGAAGCCTAATGTCTCACGCCAGACGAATAGAGGCAGGTCGACGGGAGGGTAGATCCGGATCACCACTCGACACCGCAACGCCGCAAACCTGGAGAAGCCATCTCGACCGCTGGTTGGACTACATTTACGACAGCCAAGCAGGCCTGCGCAAGCGCTGATAGCGATCGCCATCCCAAAGCGGTGTACAACATGGGCTCGGATTCGCTGCTTGGCCATTAAACATAGTTTCCCGCCATACCTCGTAGTAGCGTTGCCCGTCCCCATAGGCTGGCTTTCCCAAAATCCCATTACTCGTGCGAGGCGGACCTCCCCAGCATGGCAAGACGCAAACGAGCCCACATCCCGACCTCCGATCGGACCTTGCATCTGAATAAGCTTAAGCGGCACCGAGTTGCGACTTCACACACACGCCACTCATTATCATGGAGAATATCTCGGCCGACTACTATCCCCCGCCTAGCCTCCGTGTCTTATCGACAGTCTGACAGTTTGACCGTTTCTCAGAACTCAAACGCGCCTTCGCCTAGACCTGTACATCCGGCCTTTCCGCCAAACCAGGCATTCTGTCGCCGTAAGTTGGATATCAGTCAAGATTCAGAGCAACTTCAAGCCTCGGCAGCGATAAGAAGATTGCAGGGGAGGGAGATATCCCGCAGAACGTAATAAGCTTGACCAAACGAAGAAGGACCACTCACCCCGACACACCCTGCCGAGCACATGCCCAGCAACTCGGAGCCGCAACCAGTAGCTCCTCCACACGTTCCCGTCGCGCAGCTACCTACAGCTCCGGGCCCCATGTTGACGAAGCCTGGCCCAGCGGGATACATGGCACTCGTTGTCGCGGCGGCCAAGACCGATGCCCAAGGTCCGTCCACGGCGATATCTTTACCCCAGAACGACGTCTTATCTTCACCGCGAGGTCCCATGCGCTTTTCAGAATCCGCCTTGAATGTCTCGCTTGCCCTCTTGCGCGCCTTGGAATGCGTTTCCTCCAGTCTATTCCTGAACTCAGAACGCAACGGACGTGTCGTTGTTCGCTGCGCTGTCGTCTCGTTGGTGTGCACCGCCGGATGCGACGAGACATGTGCAGACTCGGCGGCTGGCGGCATGGGCACATTGTTAGCCTTGGAGGCTGCATGCCATCCTTCGAGAACTGAGTTACATATACGCTTAGCAGGGGTTTGGTGAGAATGTGTGGCCGATTCTAAAAGTAACACAGGCACACATGGGGGCGCGGGGAAGCGTAGTGGTTGCAAGATGCCTTACGCTTTTCGTCTTTGCCTATTCCAAACATCTTGGTCGTAGGCAGGGCCATCACCCTGACGGCTATAGATAACGCATCTGCAGTCAGTAATTACGGCCAATTTGACTGTAGCTATCACCATCGGAGTGCGCCGAGCAGCGAGGACTTGCGATATCATGACTTCTGGCTCTGGCTGCCAAGATCAAGATGATGTTGCTTTAGGGTGGTACTGATAGGGACACTTACTTTCGCAGTACCAGCACTTGCACTCGGAGTACATGTCACCGTACTTTTCCTGGTACGTCTTACTTGTCCACTCAAAGGCTGTGCTTAGTCTATCCTCGTCAACTTTGTCATTGTGATCTACAAACGCCCCCGTCTTTGCGAGTGTGAAGTCGAGGTAGGACTGAGGAGAGAGCTGGTGCGTGTGCCACGCGAGGTCAACGTCGAGTGTTGGGACGGCAACTTTGTCCTCCGTGGACGAGGCAATAGCGATGACCTCGACGAAACGGGCGTACTTTTCCAAAAGTTTTGTCACGATGTCTCGCGCTGCAGGAAAGTGCAACCAGTTGAGCTGTCAAGGTCAGTCAACTGGCCAACTCAGTGCGTGAAGAGAGGAAGCCCTCACCTTGCATATCTTTTCAGTGAATGTTGCTTGGCGCATCACGCATCCTACAAGGTCAATGGAAAAAGGCGACGAGTTCTCCCAGTACCGTGACATCATCTTCCTTGTCTGCCGTTTCGCATCTAAACCCGGACGGAAGGCCGTCGTCACATTTTCGTGGCCAGGCCGGTTCATCACTTCACGGAGGTTCTTGGGATCTGCAAATTTACCGGTAAATTTCTCTTCCATGACATCTCGCACGGCCGTCATGCTCGGCGAGAATTCACTTCCCGAATTAAAGATTTCGAGCATGTGGGCAAAGAGTCCGCGACGGGCGAGGCGCACGGGAAAGAACCGGTCTGGGCATTCCCCTGACGTGTTGTCTGAGGCGTACTGCAAAGGTATTGGGAGGCCTGTATCGAGGTCGAGAATTGTTCCCGGCATGGCGTGGTTGGAATCTATCGAGGCCCGGATATCGTCGCGAAATTTTGCTGCACGCAGCGAATCGTGGGTTGTTTTGAGTCCGCATGAGGGGCATGTATGGGCTAGGCGCCCGTCGGCGAGGCCTTGGCCTACGATGTCGAGTTGTCTTTGGACGTCTTGTCAAATCTTTGACTTCCATGATGGCGGGATGCTGAATTCACTACGTAGGAAGTCTGGAGTGGACTGCCGAAAGGGATGAAACTCACTTTGCACCTGAATAGCCCCGTGGCATTCCGCATGTCGTCCACGGGATGGAGACCACGGTAGAACACGCGGGGCATGGAATATCTTTGGCGTCTGGATCGTCTTCGTTACGCCAGGCGAGATTCGTGTGCGTTTCCCAATGTGCTTTGCAGGCGTGCGAGACGACGTAGCCGAACGTTGGGCCGACGATGGCGGCGTTGACATTGGACCAAGGGATACCTGCTGCCCATAGGGAGTTGTAGCCGTATCGGAGGCAGTCCTTAATGATTGTCAGTATATTGACGATGATGGTGACTAGGACTAGACAATGGGGGATGCGGACTTCGAGATAGAGTCTTGGGTTGAGCATATGCGCGTGCCAGACGAGCAAAACATCCAGAGGTGGCAGCATCTCCTCGCGCCAAACCATCAGCTTCGACTCGGGGAATCCTTCATACCGGGCCCGGGTCCGGCGCTGTCTACTGCCCCCAGACTCATCCTCCCCCTCAGTTCCGCTCTGATCCTGACGTGACCCTCCGCTGTCGGACGAGGAGAATGGCTGACCAGGTTTGGTTTCAACGACAAGCATGTCGCTCTCGAGGAGCATGTTTGGGTCGAAACCCCGCCACCATGCTGCGTAGCGGTCTACGGCGCGGCCGAGGTAGATTGCCCACCTCTTTTCGCGGAGCCTGATTAGGATATCGAGGTCGAGTTCAGGTTCGGATCCAGTATCCGGGTCTATTGGTGCTTTCTTGGTGGTCTTGTGACCATATTCTTCGCTGTTGTTGGCATTGCTATCACGGTTGCGTGTGTGAGGGTGTTTCGTGGAAGTAGTGCTAGTGCCGGCCCGCGCATCCCAGATATCCCACAGACCATCACGGTACCCTGTTTCCGTCTTGAGGCGATCAAAGGCTGTTAAGAGGCGGAGGTGCGCTAGGCATTCGTCTTGGGTCGGGAAGGATGATATCAGCGGGGGTTGGTCAGGTGGGAGGGCGAGGTTGAGGCCTGTGGCGATGCCGGTGGTGTTGGAGGGGTTCGGATCGGAGAGACCGTTACCGATACCGTAAGCCAAGGGAGGGGCCGAGGCCTCGGGTTCGGAGAGGAGGAAAGCGGAGCCTGGTTTTCCGGAGATCTCGGGTGGAGATGCGGATGCGGGTGCGGTTGCGGAGCCCAGGCCGATTTCCGAAGGAGGAGGAGGATGAGGCGGAGGAGGAGAAGCCGGCTTGCTATTTCCCTTTCTCTTCCACATTACGGAATTCCTCTTCCTTTGCCTTACGCAGGTTCTTCGATTTCAAACGAATTGAGTCGGAGCGTGTTTTGGTACTCTTATTGAAATGAGACGTGAGCCTGCCGATTTCTGCGACGTGAAACTTTCATACGTGACTGTAATTGATTATGTCGGTGAGTGAGATCGAGTGGCGGCAAAGCGGTGTGCTTTTCTCTGTCCACGGATCGACGGCCCACCTTGCACCCCGAAGTCTTTCTTCTCTTGCGAATAGGCAGTTCCGAGCTCAGATTTTTTTTGGATTGGGGGATTTGGTTGACGTCTACCTGTAATTCAAGTCTGTCGCTGCGCAGCGCTGCGCAGCTTCGCCTGTTGCGGTCGCAAGTGCCTTTCGTACCTAAAGTAAGGTACTAGGTAGGTCTTGCGGAAGGGGAAGTTAGAGCCAGTCAGGGTAGAGGCGATCGAGATTCTCCCGCTGCGAGATCCAATTGACGTCGAAGTCTCACCGAGATGTCTCTGACGGTGAGGTGGGTGCGAGAGATCGGATTGCGGCGGTGAATGGGAGGAGTTTATGAGCAAGTCCATGATTCATCTCGATGGCACATCTGCATGTCCCTTTGTCGATCCGTGATAAAGAGCCCGGCTGTTCGGTCGGATCTCGACAGGTGTGTGTGGTGTGTGATTTGGTGTGTTGGCTCCAATAGCGGGCACTGGTTGGGTGGTGTGCATCAGACCCCGCAGGTGGGATTCGTCGCGGGGGGAGGAGATCAGTCCGGAAGGATTCGAACGGTAGAAGCATGGTGACGTTGGAAGCGAATTCTGTTTGCCGTGTGAACGAGCCAGAGCAAGTGGTGAACATTTCGAATGCATGGCAATAGGCATTATCTTTGAAGACTTGAGGTCACGTTAGGAGACTGATTAGGCAATTCAAGTATTCTTTTTTGTGTTGAATTGATTCTGGTATATTGCATAAAATATCATGGTGTGAGTGGTATTTCCGCTCCCAATGCCTCAACGCCGTGCCATGCAAACTCATTAGATGTAAAAGTTAAATCCGAGAGTCCCTCACTTTCTCCAACCACATTGCAGCTGTAATATGGTGGAGTTGGTAGGGAATCCTAACCCTCCTCGCCTTAGACTCTCTCCTGGTGAGAGGTTCCGTCGACGGCGCTCTTAGGTTGGAGGCCCTCGCCCTTCTCACTCTGCACGCCACCATCGCTGACGCTGGCATCAAGGTCTGTACCGGCCTTCTGGCGGATGCGGTGCATTTCCTCGGCAGAGGGAGGTACCCATTGCGTGCTCTTCCAAGGCTTAACGCCCTCCAAGTACATGGTGTCAATTTCCTCCAAAGTGCGTCCCTGGCCCTCGATGACGAAGAAGTAGACAACAAAGCCAGCAACTAGGTTGCATCCGGCAAAAACGTAACCGTATCGGAAGTCAATGGCGCCAGTGATGAAGGGAGAGAAGAAGCCGATGAAGAAGTTCCAGATCCAGTTGCTGGCGGTGGAGAGGGACATTGCCTTGGCGCGGTATCTCGACGGGAAGAGTTCGGCTTGGATGGTCCAGATCTTGAACAAGTTAGTTTATGGTTCGATGAGCGTTAAAAGGGCGGACACTCAATGACTTACCATGGGTCCCCAGGTAGTGGCAAAGCCCAGAATGAAGAGAGAGGCGAAAACGATGAGCACGATGCCGGGGCCGACAGTAGCTTGAGGGTTCTCACGATCCAGGCTGAAGTGACCGACGGAAGCAAAGATCAAGAAGCAGATAAACATCCAGCCAGAGCCGACCATCAAAGACTTGCGTCTACCGTAGTGTTCAACAATGTAGAGACCAATGAAGGTGGTTCCAAAGTTAATGGCGTTCAGAATGATCTGCGTGATGAAGGAGTTGATGTTCACTGACGAGAAGATAGTGGTTCCTGGAGGCAAATTAGAATCCATAACTTAGCGGAACGCTTTGGATTGAGAGGACTCACCGTAATAAAAGAAGTAGTTGGCACCAGTGAGTTGCTGGAGCATTTGCAGCCCACAACCCAAGGCGATACGCTGGGCCATCTTAGGAGCCTTAAACATGCCAGAGAATTCCTGGACAGCGTTGCCCTTGATTTGCGACTCGGCTCGGAGCTTGCTCTCAATCTCCTCGAGTTGGATGTGAATGCTGTAGTGGTTCTCGGGAGCGCCGTAAACTCGGCAAAGAGTGTTTTTGGCGCGCTCAATGTTGCCCATGCGGTAGTCATAACGCGGAGTCTCGGGGAAGGCAAGAATGCCAACGCCGAGGATGATGGTCCAGAGCCAACCAAGACCGATGACGATGCGCCAGGAGCCTGAGCTGTTTTCGAGATGCGTGACAGTACCGTAGTTGCTATATCTCTGTTAGATGTCTGTACTATTAATGCTGCGTTGGATGTGCACTTACAAACACGCGGCGAGGAAAATGCCGAGGGTGATGAAAAGCTGATAGGCGCAAACGAGGGCACCGCGAATCCATGGCGGTGCGGTCTCGGCCTGGAACATGGGAACAATGAGACTGAGAGCACCGACACCGAAGCCAGCGACCAAGCGGCCAACCATGATTTGTTCCCATGCTCTTTCAGCGGCAATTTGGATGACGAAACCGATGGAAGTGATGAGGCACCAGAAGGAGATGGAGTACCGGCGACCAAACTTGTCGGCGATGGGGGCGGCGCACAAGGCACCGATGAGGGTACCGATGGAGAGGAGACCGACGATCAGACCGGAGCGGACGTTGCTGAACTTGATGGAGCCGTCGGCCTTGTGCTCGCCGAACCGGTCGAGAAAGTCGGGCATCTCCAGGAATCCGGAGATCTGACCCGTGTCATAGCCAAAGACCATGCCACCCATGGAGATGAGGATACCCATGGCCCATGACCGCCCCGAGATGCGCTTCAGCGGGGAGTAGTCGAGGTGTGCGAGGTCCTGGCGGGCATCGCTTGCCTTCTCGGAGGAAGGATTGTATTTGTCGAACTCAATCGTCGAGAACCCCATGTTGGGCGGCGATTTGTGTTGTGTTGTTGGCGGTGGTGTTTGGTGAAGATGATGGAGAGATGTGCCAATGATGGTTCGTCCGAGACAGAACAAGCCGTGTTTGGGGAGGACATGGCGGGCAGTATTATATGAATGTTTCGTCGATCGACAGACGAGACGAGGATTGAGAGCCGCTCGCAAGCGCAGTACGCTTGTGCTGCTGAATGGGTGGGCAGAGTTGGGGGCGTCCAGTCTCAGTCGGCCGGGGGCGTGACGTCAAGAGAGGACCGAGGCCTTGGAGTCGGTCAATGTGCGAGGGAGACTTCACTCCAGAAACTCCAGAGAGCGTGCCCGATGACTTGGGATGGACGGCGGTGCCACCGTATGCCACCGAGGTGTTGCCGTCCGGGGCCCGGGGTCTCCAGGTTGAAGGAATCGGCCCGTTCCCCATCTTTTCTGGTGTCAGGCAGAGAGAAGAGACTTCATAGACGAGAAGGAAGCCGAGGGGACGAAGATGGAGATTCTGTGGATGTCATTGGATGCGTGGGCGAATTATGGAGGCCTGGTCCAGTACCTCTGTATAGTGTCAGTGTACACCACATTACCAATGCGGCTCTAGGGATGAGAATCATGGGATTCTTGGGAATTGTGGAAACAGACCAGGCCAAACAGCGACAGTAATTGCCGGGGATAACATGGTCTGTCAATTGTTCCCTGGCACGGCGTGGAAGAGAGTCGTGAGATTGAGCAGCAGCTGGATGACGTTGGTGGACGAAGTGCGTTTTGTGGAAAAACCAGGGGGGCGTGAGATGATGTAAAGCTGCCGGATCCGCTCTGGGCCGTTTTACAATGCAAAGTATCTTTTGCGCATAAACTTGGTGTGCGGTACCAGAGAAAGCCGTTTTTGTGTAGGTAAGTAATGGTACCGGTACACTAAGGGAAAGGTTATGTGCAGGGTGTGCCGGAGGAACCGGGGCCGGGGTACACTACACGAGCGGGTGGTCGAATTCTCTGGAGATTCTTTCACGGCACACTCGGATTGCAGAGTTGTTATTTGAGAAGTGAGCAACTTAGTATTTGATGGGTCTGCGTGGTGAACATATGGTCAACGACAGACTTCTTCCAGATGAAGCTTGGTGAAACGTTGTGGTGGTGAGGTGAGCAACTCACAACACACGTGACTCTTCTCTTCTATCTGAAGGTTCCTTGCCATCACATTAGGTAAGGTACCGAGTACATAGACCGAAAGAGGGGCGATGAGATGAGGCCATCGTGATGTGACACGGAATGTATTGGGTCAGCTATTGTTGGGTGCAAAGATACATGAGGTGAGCCCTTCCCTGGACAGACGACGAAATGGTGCCGGGGCAGAGGGACGGCAGGCGCTGCCGGAATTGCTGCCCACGTCACTGCCTATTGCGCACCAGTGGGAAGGCACGATGACAAGCGGGACGACACGAAATGCAGTCGCGTTGCCAATCATCGCCAAGCTGCTTCCCGACCGGGTGGATCGGATCTCGTGCCAAGTTGGTCAGTCATCCCAGGCAACTTCTCAAGGCAGGTCCCGATCGCTACCTTCTTGCCGAATGCACTTGGTCCCGTTGGCCCTTCCTTCCCTTGCAATTCGAACCCGGAATGGTTTACTGCGTACTGCTTGCCAAGTGAAAGCACAAAACGAAAGCCAAGGGCAAGAGAGCCACTTCCTCGAGTCTCAGTAAAAGTCTTGGATGATGAGAGACACCGCCAAACAAGCTCTGCCAAACGGGGCCTAAGAAATCTTGATTGAACCACAGCACTTGCCCGAAGCCCCTACCCCTGCCTCACATCCTCCCAAGTTCCTTCCTCACACAAATTACGGTAGTACGTATCAATTCAATTCAGCCCCGCCAACACCAAACATCAGATGACGTCGTTATGGAAAGCACATGGAAAGAAAGAGGGAAAAAAAAAAAAGGTATGGAAAGAACCAGAGATGCTGGAAAAAGATATCGCCGTGACAACCTCACGGCCCACCTCCGGCTTTCCGTTCTTCAGAGCCGTCGTTGTTCTCTTTCGGCCCTTTTCTCCCCTCAACCTCCAAATGTCTCCAGAGTCTCCAGCAAAGCCCCAAATATTCTCCAGAAATCTCCAGTCTTTTGCCCTTTTGGCGGCGTGCGCAGCGTGTCACGGTCTCTTTCTTCTTTCCCCAGCTCCAGAAAACTCAGTCTCTTGCCATATTCTACAGGTCTAACCGGTCTGTCGGTCGCCGTCCGAGGGAGAACCAACGCCAACTCTCCCCATCCAACCCTCCAATCCTCCATCCCACCCACCCGAACCACGCAACCCACGCCGTCTTCCCCTCGGGGCTCCCAGATTTGTGGTGTTCTTTTCTCTCTTCAATGGATCATTCGGGGCCCCTTCCGGGGAACGAGATGCGAATCAAAGGGGCCTCGCACCGTCCCCATTGTTTCGGCCTCCGCCACGACGCCGCTGCCGCCAACGGCCAACCACATCACCATCGCGCCCCGTCTTACCCCCCGCACAACTTCCCGAGTCTCGAATTTCCTCTGGTCTCTCCGGCCTCGTAAGAGGGGTCGTAAGAGGAGGTCATGAGGCTCCCACGCAGTTCGGCGGTGCCTAAGAAAAAAAAAGAATTGTGCCTCGGCTTATTCGTCTCCACAGTTTATTCGTCAGTCGGGCACGCACTCACCAGAACCACCACGAACCCATATTCCTCAGCAACACGAACCTCTTGACCTCGCGACATATCGACGATATCCAATCTCCACTCCTATCACGCGTCGCTTCTATCCAGAGAACAACCAGCTTTCCAGCCTGTACGAGAAAGAAAAAACATTGGGTCTCGATTAGGAATCAAAACTCGACAATCAGGGGACGATCACTCCGCCCTAAGTGACTGATTGTCGGATCAGCCACGTGCCTAGCCCCAACTTTCGCCATTAACTTGCACCAGTTCATCTCCATCACGATCCATCCGACATGTTACAGCCATACACACATTTCCTGATAATCGCCGCCATCCACTTTTCTCGGTCGCACTGCGGTTTCTTTCTGCATTGCTATGCGCACCTATTATACGGATCTATTATTGCACTTCACGATGGAGCGCACGGATCCGGCTTCTCCGTCAACCCCCCCGGCGTTACTCCGTCACTGAGCTGTCAGGGCGTCCTTGGTTGTGATCGCAGGAACGCAGGGCCCGCCGTGCTTCCTCCCGCAACAATCATACTTCACGTTTCAACTCCCGAGCTCTCATGGTTCTCCCTGTGGTCCGACCAGTCCGACGATCCCCGACAAAATTTCAATGTTGCCGACACAGCACATCGGCGCCTTCAGACGCGTCCAAATTGCAGACCCAAGCGTTACGTGATTTGTGTTGAACGGACCGAATCCTGTTATGCGACCTACCACGTGGACTCTAAGCCATTGACCCCCGTCGGCTTATCAGCCAAAGTGGTGATCCGGAAGCCGTGTCGCAGCCCTTCCTGTGGGTTGTGCACATTGTAGTCAGAGATGGCAGTGTGCGCCGTCACTCTGTTATCCCAAAGAGCGACAGTTCCCTCTTCCCACTTGACGCGGACCTGGAAATCCTGGCCGTGGTTAATGTGCTGTTCCTTTTTGTCAGCAGGGATCTGAATCCCGAATGGTGATATCACGAACCTTGAACAGGAGTTTCAGCAGTGCATCTGATTCCTCATCTCGAAGGCCGACAATCCTCTTTGTGAAGCCTGGGTTGATGAACAGCGCCTTTTGGCCAGTGGCCTGTCACACAGGAGACATTAGTAAATCGGACTTTATTCCCAGCTACAGGTTGCTGCGACATTGCATACCGGATGAATCCGAACAATGGGATGCTCCGACTTGACCGGCTCTCTCCGCACAAATTTGCCGTCTCGACGACCGTTGTCGGCTTGGGGGAAACCGCTGTGTTCTGCCCTCAACCCCTCGAGAAGGGCTTGTATTGGCCTCGACAATCGCGCATACGCCGCTGTCTGAGAAACCCACGCCGTGTCGCCGCCCGTCTCAGGTACTGAGAGAAGTGTTAGGATCGTGACGCCCGGTGACTGGTGCTCATACGACACGTCTGAGTGGTACCCGATGGTCGAGAGTTTGTTGCTTTTACTCCGGTTGCGATATTCATTGTCCGGGCCCAGGTAGATGTTGTGCAGCTCGAGATGGTCCTTGACATGTGCGCCGACGGGCTGGAAACTTGTCAGCAAACTCGCGGTCGAGATGCCAAAGGGAGAGGGTTACCAACATGGATGTGGAGAGGACCAAAGTATTTCCCAAATTCCTTTTGTTTCTCGATGCTGATATCCTTGAAGTCTTGGTCTCGGAATATGACGACGCCGCGTTCGGCAATGAGAAGTGCAAGCTCATCTTTCTGTCTGTCGTTGAGCTGAGATAGTTGCAGACCACGGATCTCGCTGCCAATGACAGGTGTCAGCTTCGTAGTTTTGATCTCTTTGTTGTCCTTGGGAAGGAGATTCGCCTTCTCCTTGTTCGCTACGAGACCGCGGTCGTTGAACTCAAATGGCTGCAGCGGGGGGAAGGATGTCTTTTCGTCGTACACCGGCAAGTATTCGGCGTATTTGTACTGTTGTCGTCGTCAATATCTTTCTTTTGATATACATCGAGTGATGTGTCGATGGCATACATGATTGTGGATCTTGTCGTCGTATGCCAAGGTCAGCTTGACGGGCGCCGTCTCGGCCTGAACTTGGGTTGTGGTGGTTGTAGACATTGTAAGCGATTGTTTTTTTTTATCTATTTCTTGCTTCTGAGCACTCGAAGCGACAAGTTTCATCAATGGTTCTTCCTGTTGCGTGTCACAGCTGTTTTATTAAGCCTGCTTTAAATATGGCATCAACCGAGTCTGGTCTCACAAGAGTCAATCGCGTCAATCGACGCGATATGGCGATTCCTGGAGCCATCCATCCTTTGGCTCACGCCATTGCGACTTGCATGCGGGGAAAGTCAGATAAGCAGCACCGCTATGCAATATCACCAATTTCACTGGACGCGACATCCGGAGGGGGTTCGTGTGTGAAGTTTGCCATCATCGGCATTTTCTTCCACCCTAGTCACTGGGATCTGTGCTCTCCAACGAGGACGAGTGGCATGGTCTCGCCATAGCTGGATGGCTGCTATGTATTGCCGGCAGTGATGCTGACTTCATCCTGTTGATCCATCGGCATTAGTAGACGTGATTTACGTGATTTGCGAGAAAATGGTATCAAGTCCGATAGTACCCCGATGCCGAAGGTGACCCGGGACCGCTTCGGCGAGGGTTGGGTGCCCCGCACCGGTTCCGGACAACATGCGGATATGCTGGGAGAGTATCGTCCGTGTCGTGTGGCGTCTCAGATAGGAAAATGAGTCCTTGGAATTGGGAACACCAACGAAGTATCTCCAGATAATTTGAGGAATGGTAGTTCTGGACGGATTAGATCTTTAGATCCTCCAAGTGGCTCAATTTTCGGCAGCAATGCCTTGACACTTTCCCACCATTGGAAAGCCAGCAATTTAGGTTTTTATTTTATTTATATCTTTCTTTCCGGTGCGATGTTTTGTTTCCTTGTGTAATCAGAAAAATCTTATTCACCCGTCGTATCATCTTGATTTATCCTCACAGGCTCGTGTCACCAAAATCTATCCAAGGTATCATGGTCTACGATGTTCGCAATGTCAAGGAATCACTGCTCCCCTGGATGAAATGAGCGAGTCTATACCGGTAATCCCAATTCCTCATAGAAAGGCTCCATCCGGACCTCGCGACCGAGAAACTCCATCAACGTCGTCATCTCGGGCTGTCCGCCTCCCTTCTCCAGCACGCCGTACCTATACTTGCGCCCTGCTTCCGCGCTCATGGGGTCCGCCTCGAAAATGGTTGAGAAGATGTCTTGCGCGTAAACCTTTGAGCTATTCGTCACAAATACCAACCCCGTTAGTCAAGCTTTCATGCATGCATGCATGTCTGGGCCGACGGGAGTAAGATCAAGACCAAGAAAAGAAGAAAAAACTCACAAAAAGTACCCATAGAACCCGGCATCGTACTCATCCATCAGGTGTCCGATGTTGGTATACCCGTGTCCCCAGTTAGTGTCGTCGCCTGGCAGGAGCGGCGGATCGTCTGTGGGTACGATTTCTCGTCGAAGGCTGTTCCAGAGCGTCGTAAAGTCCACGGCGGCTTCTCCTTCGACAGCACCAGCGGCAGCGGTCGCTGTTGGTTCCTCCTGCGTGATGGTCGACGCGGGCAACTGATGCACAGCCATATCGAAAACGCTAATAAAAAGCTGCTGTAGCGTCCCCAGCCCCTGGCCTACGTGTTTCGCGGCAACGAGGCCCTCGACGACGGACTCTGGGATTCGTTCTGGCGGCTGCGTTAGTCCTTCCCCTCCATCTCCTCGTCCTCCTTCTTCTGACGCTCCACTGGCAACCTGCTTCTCCCGCCAATCCTGCAGACACTCCTCAGAAAGATACGAGTAATGTCGGCCGAGGGCCTTCAGCTGCTCCGCGCTCCAGCACCAGTTCTCGAGCATTTGGGAGGGCGCCTCGCCGAAGTCGACGACGGTGCCCATGGGACCGTGGAAGCGTGCAAAGGAGGTACGGGAGACTAGGTCGTGGATCGCGTGGCCTAGTTCATGGAAGAGGGTTACCACGTCGGTGTGGCGGAGGAGGGTTGGGGAGGATGATGCTGGGGAGGAGGCGGGAGGGGGAAAGGAGCAGAGGAGGGCTGTGGAGGGGTATGTGCGGGTTTGATTTGGGTTTGTGAAGCCCTGGAGATTGTCAGTCTCAGCCATAAAGTGTGTAGTAGAGGAAAGGAAGAATGTTGTGATGATCTCTATGGGATAGGGAAATGAGAGTACTTACGGGTACGAGACTGAAATTCGCCGGATTCCCATACTTCCCCTCCCGATGATAGAGATCAAGGTAAAGGTATCCCAGAAATCCACCCCCCTCACCAGCAGAATCCCACGCAGAAAACAGTCGCACATCCTCATGCCAGACGATATCTTCCCCCTTCCCCGTGCTCGACAAGGCATCCCTCGCCTCCGTTCCAACAACCTCGCAAAACTCCATCCCTAACAGCCTCTTAAAGATACCCAACATGCCCTCCACGGTCTGCTCGAGCGGGAAATGCTCTGCAATCCGCTCCTGATCAACAGCATACCCCTCCTTCAGCAACAGATTCGTGTAGTACGCGGTGTCCCACGTATACAACCTCCCATCATAAATCTCGCCCCTCTCCTCTTCGACATTACGCCTCTTGAGCTTTAGGAGGAGTTCCTTTTCGCGCTGTCCACCCTGGGCTAGCTTCTCTCGTAGAGAGGAGAGGAAGGAGGTGACGTGGACCGGGGACCCAGCCATTTTTTCTTCCGTGCTGAGCGTCGCGTGGTCTGGATAGCCGAGCAGACGGGCAGCCTCGTGCCGGAGGAGGACGACGCGCCGGAAGAGCGAGACGTTGGCGGCGCAGCGGGTGTCGTAAGCTAGCCTGGCGCGGCGGCGTGTGTTGGGCCGGTGCGCCGTGCGGAGGAGGTGGGAGAGGTGGAGCGGGATCTTGATGCGTAGTTTTCCTGCCGTCTCGGGGTAATCGTCATCCCCTGATTCGAGGCGAGCGAGGGCGTCCGGAGGGAAGCCGTCTAGTTCTCGCGGGGTGAACCATAGCGAGACATCCTCTTCGGCGAGGTTCTTTGCGAATTCTGCCGTGAGGGACACAATCTCGGCGCGGATTGCGCGGAAGCGGTCCCGGTCTGGTCCAACGGGAATACGTAGACCATTTTTGACGAATTCTCGGTGTTTCTTGTGGAGATAGTTCCTGGCTTCCGGGTTCAGGTAGCGTGTTTCGGCGGCGTCGTTGTAGACTGCGTCGACGAGCTTGAAGAGCGCTTCGTTGTTGGCGGCTTCAAGTTCGGCGTCGCGGAGGAGGGCGCGGGCTTGGGAGGAGGCGGAGCGGGTTGCTTGGTCTGGGGAGACTGCGTTGTGGAAGAGGAGGAGGGAGGATGTGGAGTAGAGGGCGTTTTCGGCGTGGGCTAGGGGGAGGAGGGTGTTTGCGTAGGTTGCGTCTTGGGGTGAGATTGTTGATGGAATGGAGGATTGGGCTGCGCGGTGGGTTGAGATGAGGGTGTTGATTGTGGTGAGAATTTGGGATGGAGTGGTTGTGAAGATGGGGGGTGGTTGTGGAGGGTTGCGAGGACGGGGCGAAGGGTCCATTGTGGCGATGAGTCGAGATCTGGATGAGGTTTGGATTGAAAGTTGAGGGCGAGAGAGTGGTGTGAAGCTTGAGCTGCGGGAACTTGATGCCAAGAGCGGGATATCGTGATCTTTTGAGTCCGTGGTGTTTAGGCAGCGGTTTTGCTGGTTTGGCGGGGTATCACCCACTTGTTGGTTTCAACTTTTGCGATTGTGTTGGTACAGGGATGATCTCGGAGGGGCAGGCAGGGTGTCTGCCGTTCAGCTACCTTAGGCGATGGGACTGTTGGAATCAAACAGGATCTGACAGAGTAAGTGTTTGTGGATGCCTTCAGGTGAGACCCGGTGCCGTCGTGATGTCCACCAAAGATTGGATGAATCTGCGGTTAAATGTGAATCAAAAACCCATATATCGCTAGGCATCCAGTATTATCAAGGTACCGGCACCATCTGGATCTTGCAGGCAGCACTTTAAATGCAGCGTCCGAGTTGACCGACCCCTTTGCATGCAGGACTAAGGTGCCTCATGTCGGACTAATCTGCAAGCAGTCAGATCCGGGCAGGGCCCGGATGGAGACCCGTCCGTTTTCGGCTTGATTGGCCGATGAACTGTGCCGAGATCCGGCCGGCCGGGGGCGGGGCGGGGAAAAGCCGGGGCTCCAAGGTCGGACGACGGAGCCATCTCGGCTGTTTGCTTTGAGGAAGACTGATTCAGACCCTGTATAATAATAACTTCAAAGGCTAAATTGCTCCATGTATCCTGCGCAAGGACAGTCCGAGGATGGTTCATTCTGCTACTGGAGTCTCCAATCCTGAGGTTAGGTACCTTGGTTGATTTTCGAAGTGGCTTTGGCCATGACGGCGCATTCAGATCGTGCGAAGATTGGGTCCATAGTCTCCGTTTCGGAACATCACGACACTAAGAATATGAAATTTCATCCATGTGGAAGTAGACGGCACCGCGCCTTTGAGAGGATTACGCAAACCTTGGAGGGCCAAGTGCAATCCCCAACCATAGCGCGCCAGCTTACATGTTCCCCAACAATGTCAGCATCCTCCGCCAAGGATTACGGTGTCTTGGGCCATCCTACTCGCCTTTACTCCTTAGTTGAAGCTTCTTAATCGAATTCTTACTGACTAATTGCATCGGTCGGGTTGATGTTCCGGCCACCGACTTTATCTGACATCCTCACGCCACTCCTTCGGACCTACAAACGCCATCATTGATTCATCTCGTAGAACATAGCGTTCACAAGTTAATAACTTTGCTTTCTTTCTCTAGCAACAACAATCCTTAGATTGTAGTGAGATAAAAATGGCCAGCCTATCCTCGGGCCTTGCAGTCGTCTACCCTGCGGATGAGGGAAGCGGCAAGCTCAGGGGCATTGCACCCTTGAGACGAGGTCCTCCCAACGAGAATCACCATCGAACACCTTCATCACCACAGTTCCAGGAGCAACCCGCCTCTACTGACCGCGCTCCCTCAATTCAGGATGAACATCTCAATTACGCCCCCGAGCCCGACCCGCCTCTCCCTTCCAACCCCGCTACCGCCATCCCAAAACTTTCAGGCACAAGCATTACCCTCACAATGACATCCCTCTGCCTCTCAGCAACCCTCTCCGCCCTCGACATGACAATCGTCACCACCGCCGTCCCCAACATCGTCGCTTCCCTCGACTCCGTCGCCGGCTACATCTGGGTCGGCTCCGCCTTCATCCTCGGCTTCACGGCCGTCACTCCCGTCTGGGGCTCCGTCGCCGACCTCTGGGGCCGGAAACCTATTATACTGCTCGCATTGACCATATTCCTCGCGGGAAGCCTGCTGTGCGCGCTGGCGCCGCACATGGATGCGCTGATTGCCGGTCGCGCGGTCCAAGGGGTTGGGGCGTCGGGGATGGGGGTTATGGTGAATACCATCATCTGCGACTTGTTCTCGTTGAGGGATAGGGGACTTTATCTTGCTGTTACATCTGTTATTTGGGCTGTTGGGAGTGCGATTGGGCCGGTGCTCGGGGGTGTGTTTACTACGCGATTGAAGTGAGTTCTTGCTGGGTGAGATTATCTATGACTTCTACTGACTCTCTCTTCTGCAGCTGGCGATGGTGTTTCTGGATCAATTGTAAGGACCCCCGCAGAAGGTAGAACATCCAACGGGAAACTGACCATGTTCAAGTGCCAATTGGTGGACTAGTCTTCATCGTCCTTATCTTCTTCCTCGACGTCCCTTCACCAAACACACCAGTCCTAGCCGGCCTCAAAGCCATAGACTGGACAGGAAGCGCCCTTTGTATGGGCGGAGCTCTCATGGTCCTCCTCGCCCTCGACTTCGGCGACGTGGTACACCCATGGTCCTCCGCGACCGTAATCTGCCTCATTGTCTTCGGCGCCGTCGTCATTGGCATCTTCCTCGTAAACGAGTGGAAATTCGCCGCCAACCCCGTTCTGCCCCTCCGATTGCTCTCAAGCTGGTCGAAAGCGGCAGCGTACAGTGTTTTCGCCTTTAACGCATACGTGTTTATCGGTATCACGTACTACCTGCCGCTTTATTCCCAAGCCGTCTTGGGCGCGAATGCGTTAACGTCGGGGTTGTATATGCTACCGCTGATCGTCTCTTGCTCGTTGTCTGCAGCGTTCGCTGGGGTGTTTATTCAGCGGACCGGACGGTACCGTGTGCTCATGTACGCGGCGCAGGTCCTGCTGATCCTCGGTACGGGTTTACTCATCAACCTTGAGTTTGAAAAGAACCTGGCGAAGCTGTTCACGTTCCAAATACTCACTGGCGTCGGCGTGGGTTTAAACATTGAGGCGCCAGTGCTGGCTGCTCAGGCTGCCACTACGGTGCGTGATACCGCTGCTGTGGTGGCTACCATGGGCTTCCTCAGGTCTGTTGCGACGGCCATCTCTGTCGTTGTGGGTGGAGTTGTCTTTCAGAACCAGATGAAGGCTGAGAACCAGGGTTTGGCGGATATTATTGGTGGCGAGCTGGCCGATCAGTTTGATGGAGAGAATGCGTCGGCTCATGTTGAGGATATTGGTCTGCTTTCGGCTGATCAGCAGGTTCCTGTGCGTCAAGCTTACTTCAGAGCGCTCAAGACAGTTTGGATCATGGTAAGTGAGAGATCTCAAAGTCGAAGTATTGCGATGTGTCATCTCATCAATAGCACCGGGGAGTCATCGTTCAGTGTGCGTTCCATTGCTAACAAAAGCACGCAGTATGTCGCATTTTCGGGCCTAGCGTTGTTACTGAACCTCTTCGTATCAGAGCACCATCTGAGTGATGAGAGAAAGGCAGCTGTTCTCGGCGTCGATCGAGGAAACCCCGGCTTGTTAGATCAGCCGGCCCAAAGAGAGGAGATACCGCTCGAGACAACTGGCAGACAGCAAGACAATGTTCATCAGCTCAGGAACCGAGCCGCATGAGAAAGAAGTAGAAAAAGGCTCCTCAAGGGGAGTTATTAAAGCAATTAGATTGACAGGTACCAGCCCTGAAAACGCCTTGTAGCGTGTGGACTCCATGCCCTGCGCTGTCCTTGAACCCTGGACATGATTTTGATACAAAGAAAACTTGTCGAGCTATAACCAGAAACCCGTTCTACCTTCCCATTCCCCCGCTTCCCGCACGCTGACGGCCGTCATGGTGTACAGACTAGAATACGAAATAAGTGGCGGTCAGAAGTCTCTCCTTCAAGCAAAGGCCGTGATGAAATGTCTAAAAAGCTTCAACCGTACGAGTGCACGTGTCAAGACTTCCCTGCCAACGATGACTCTATCAGCTGTCTCTCCGCCAACCCCCTCTCCCAGAACTCGGAACCTTCGGTCAGGTTTCGCCGCAGGGTTTTGGCGCTGAGGTGCTTCGTGAAGCGGTCCACGGCCAGAATCACCAAGAGGAGAGCCGCCACGGTAGGCAGCGTCGCGCCGCTCTTGAGGTAAGCGAAGATGAACTTCTCGGACCCGGCGCCCGCGGCGATGCCGACGGCGAAGAGAGCGGCGACACCGCGGGTCGCGACGGCGGCCTTGTCGAAGATGTTGAGCGGGCGGTCCTTGTGTCTGGTGATGAGGATGAAGACGGCGAAGAAGGCGACAACGAAGAGGAATGAGGACCAATAGTAGATGTAGACGGTCGAGTAGGCCGGGTGCGCGATCTCGCCCGGGTCCTCGTCGCCGTCCGATGTGACGCCGTTGTAGGACTCGAATAACACGCCGAGGACGCTCTTGGTGAGGCGTTCGAAGCCGGGGGGCACAAAGAGGGAGTCGGTGCCGGTGATGTTGGCCGGCGCGCAGATATCGGTCGCGTTGCCGATTTTGTAGATTTCTTGGTAGACAAAGGGGACGAGGTTGCGGATCTCGGCGCTGTTTGGCATGTTGAGCTTCTCAAAGGCCGTGGAGATGGAGGTTGTGAGGGCTTGGCCGTCTTGGTGTTTGTTTACGCAGGCGTCGCGGACGGAGGAGAAGAAATCGCTGAAGTAGCTAAGGACCTGCCAGGCGAGGGCGATTTGTTGGGAGCCTTCGACGACGCCGATCATGCCGAGATGGAAGGGGAAGTGGAGGACGGCCCAGATTTGTTGGCGGACAGTGCCGAATTTGCATTCGGGGGGGTTGTCGAAGTAGAGCATCCAGTTGAACATCTAGGAGGGCGGGATTAGATTAGGATGATTCGTCTATGGGGAGAGAGTATGCTGTGGATGAGTGACATACCAGAATGAAGACGATGCAGCCGACGACGAGGCAGGCGTCGAGCCGGAGACCGGTATCGCCCATCAGAACGCCAACGACCTTTGTGGCACCAATGGCACCTTCGCCGATGATGACCAGGGTGAAGAGGCCCATCCTCTCCGTCAAGTGGGTGTGTTTGAAGCTGAGGTTCCTCCAGATGGAGGACAGGCCAAGGGTGATGGCGACCTCGATCACGAGGATGATGTACCAGACGTAGTAGATGCCCAGGCCGTTGCCGGACTCGGGGGAGAAGGCCGGCGTCATGGAGTAAAAGGCCCCGCCGGAGAAGATGAAGAGGACAATTGTCAGAGAAAGCGGCCAGTTCAAGGCCTTTGTCTTCTTGCGGACAAAGTGGAGGGCGACGGAGTACTGCGCTACGAGCAGTAGGCGGGTAGCGAAGAGGATGTTACACAGGAGTTGGAAGTTCTACATTGCATAGCTGTCAGTTGCTGCATCAAGATTTCCGAAGCTTCCGTTTCCGTTGTCAAGATCGAGATAGAGCAGAAGTAGAAAGTAGACATACCGCATTGTTGTGCTCTTTCGTACCAGGACTGAATGAAGACCCCACGAGAGCGAATCCGACAAATAGGCAGAACTGCAGAATCTTGCACATCCGTTCGTACCCCGAGTCGATGGAGAAGCGCACATCGTGCAACGTGATCTGGAACCATGTGAACCAGATGATGGCGAAGAAGCCAAGATAGGCAGCTAAACTGGACAAGTCGGTGATGCTGTGCGTCTGCGTAAATGTCTCGAGGTTCGCGACGAAAAAGAGGTCGGAGAAGAGCTCAATGGTGTTTGCATTGTGCCGGACAAAGAGGCGGATCTCGCCCGTGTCTTCGTCGGCCGAGGAGACGGGTGACTCGATCCAGGTGAGAGGCGCGATTTTCTCTTCTTGGAGGTAGTCTAGGCCCCTGGACACAGGAAGGATTTTCGTTAGTTTGCTGCGTGATGCGGGATGGGGGTTATCGAGATTTGGGCTGTTGGTTTGGCCGCCCTGTCATTCTCGCTTCCCACTTTCCCTTCGGTAGAGAGCAATAAGTGAGAGGAGGCGTATTGGATACGACGTATGTTGACTTACCAACTTATTGATGAGCTGTCAGAGTCGACCCGACGGACCTGGCTGCTCGGAAGCTTCGCCATCGTGTGGGCGGCGAACAATGATGGCGTAAGACGCCTTGTGAAGGTGTGTTTGGATCGCCTTGGACGCCTTCTTTCTCTCTCTTGCGAGTCCGAGGGGTGGAATAGATGTTGAATTGATGTGTAAGAATGCGAAAGGGAGGGGAGGGGAACAAAGAGTGGTTAACATGGTCTGGAATCACCGGAGAAGAAGGGGCCCAATGGGGGAGAGGGGCCGCCAACGGCCAACCGGCATTGGCAGCACGTCAATCAAGCCTTCAGCCCTGTGGACTCTGTCGTTCCGTTTGTCGTTCCCCGAAGATCCGATCCAACTTTTTGCAGCTGTTTAATCATGACTGGCTCTCTCCATGGTGGAGATCTTGCACCGATACGTGTATCACAGCCCAGGCCATACACGTATTGGGGATGACCAAACCGCACTAGCGAGTCATCTTCAGTGACAATTGCCGTTTCTCGAAGGGAAACGATTCGATATTGGCTATGTTTGGTATTTTAAGGTTCTGTCCCTACTTAGCGGTATCCACAAGTGCTGCAAGCTTCGCTCTCGGTCTCGGTCTCGCCCCATTCAGGGGTCGTTGGCGCAAGCTTCGAGTGTCACAGAGGGAAAGGCTTGGTATAATACTAAGTGCTCCCTCTCAATTTCTCAGCATCGAAGCGTATAGACTTTGGCCCCCAGATTATCAACGACGACTAGGGACGGATACGAATTCGACGAGCCAGCTTAGGGACGACATCACGGCGAATAGTTACCATAAACGGATTATGGTACATGACCAGCACGAGGAGCGAGAAGCCGGCATGAGAGATGAAACGCATCGCATCAGTTATCATGTCTTCGATAGGGAAGTGCCGTACGTTGGGTCCGCATGCAAGAGGCTGGCTCGATGGACAGTAAGACGAACAGTGTCAAGACAAATACATTTCTGGAAGCCTCTCTGAGTGTTCCTGAACACCTGCTTCTTCCAGTAGTTTGAGTCGGGCTAACGGTAGGTCTTAAATCTTTTTCTACTGAAGGTCGTTGGAAGTAGCGCGGTCAGGATGACCTCCCCGGCCTAGCTACCCAAACCAGGTGCCGGCTTTGGTTCGACTTGTCTTTCGTTTGCCGCACGCAAGAAAATGAAGCCTGCGTCATCTTTCGCGCCAATTATAGAATGCTCGGTTTTGTCGGCTTGCTTCTCAAACAAAGCAGACCGAAACTGCAGATGCTTGAGTTCGAATAGTTCATTGATTTGCAGTTCTACCATGCCTCCTGGGAGAGAAGATTGACAGAAAATACTCATTCCGGTTTGCATTCACTGTTTGCATTAGATGTTTCAATGATGGTCGTACATAGCTTTGGTAGAGCCTTTGAGAAGAGCGTGCGTTTCGATCTGTCCAATAGTGCTTCCTACGCGTGCTATGAAAGTTTGTTGAACTATATTGAAAAAAACATCCGGCAAAGTTATCGAAAAAACATGTTATGAGAGAGTCTCTTGCAGATGCGTTTGACTTCATGAATCGCTTGCTGAGTTCTATATTTACGCTCTCAATGGCAATATCACTGGCGACCACGCAAGTCGGATCTCCTGGTTCTGCTCACGGTCTTGCTCCTGTAATACGCTGAATGTACTCTTGTATCTTGTTGCATTATCAGCCACACTGTTGCCAGTTGTTTTGTATCAACGATTATCAAACGTTATATCTAAACTCTTAGTCACTGAGAGCCTTAGCAATGACTAGCGAAACGGATTCCCGCGAGCGTTCGCCGTTGGCATAACCTGTGGCCATCACGTTGAAGTGTGAGCGTCATAGAACACGTATAATTTCAAGACGGTTGTTATCATTCTGTGAAAACTACCCTTCCAGTCTGATGCTATGTTGCGTGAGGGACAGAAGGACACTGCTTTGTTCAGGGGCAGGGGCAGGGGTTGTGGTTGAGGTCTTGGTTACACGGCTTCTCTGCGGCGGTAGACTCGCAGCGGCAGCTTGACTGAACATATCGTATCGGATTTCTTTGTTGAGAATCTCTTTAAATGGAGTATCTCAGGTTCTGGCTCTTTCTTCCGGCTATCTATGAGCTTCATATCGCAATCTCTACCGACAGACTCTGTCAATCTCTGGCTACATTGTGTGCTATCCACGTCTAGGGCCTTCCATGATATGAACTTACAACTGATTGAGACTGGAATCATCCACAACGCTTGCCACCGGATCTCGAACGGATAACAAGAGAAATCTCATCAAATCCTGTGGAAGCGCTATTACCAATGTCGATGTCAAAGTTGATGCATTTCCTGCACCTCTTGAACAACGCAATGCCGACCTCGAGCATCTAACTAAACAAAAATTGCGAGCTCGCCTGAATGGCGAGATTCTCACAAAGGAAGCCATCAAGAATGGTATGTTTCCTTGCTCACTGACAACTCACCATCTTGGTCTTGCTTGCTGATACTGATGTCATGTTCATTCTAGTTCTACCAGAGGGATTGTCGATTGTCTCGGCCACGCCTTTTGGTTACAGTATTTGGTCCAGCACGGCCAAGCTCATTGCTCGTGATCTGACAACCTCGGGCACAATGAAGACCTTTTTCGTCAAGATCTCATGTGGGGAAACCGGCAGAGTCATGCTTCTCGGCGAGTTCGAGTCATCCAAGATCATCTATGACTTGATGGCAGACTTCATTCCAAAGCCCTTGAAGAACGGAAAAATTGAGAAAGTAGATATACCCACGTACTTCTATACATCGGAGTTTGTAGATTTCGATACCACAACGACACGAGATCCTTCCGAGTTCTGCAAGCGCCTGGCTGAAATGCACCGGAAGAGTCAGAACCTGTCGGACAAGTTTGGTTTCGGCGTTACGACATGTGATGGCGACCGTCCGCATATTGTGGAATGGGAGTCAGATTGGGCCGTGTTCTATCGGAAATTATTCCTCCACACGCTTGGCTTGGACATCAAGAGAAATGGCACTTGGCTCGAGTATGAGCGTGCGGCTCACCGTGTAGCCGAGTTTGTGATCCCGCAACTACTGGAAGGACTCACATGGGATGGACAACCGATCAAGCCCAGTCTAATTCATGGCGACCTATGGGAAGGAAACACGGGTATCAACAACAAAACGAACCTACCGATGTTATTCGATGCTGGGTCGTACTTTGCCCACAACGAGATGGAGCTGGGGCACTGGGCTTGCGAGTTCGCGGCGATTTTCGGGAACAAGGAGTACATGAACCGGTACCTTGAATTCTTTCCGAAGGCGGAGCCCGCCGAAAAGTTCGAGGATCGAATTCGGCTTTACAGCCTGAAAGGGGGATGAACTACTCCTCTGGCCATCCTGGCAGCCGACTGAGAATTTCGTAAGTGCTGTCGCCGGTATCAGTCATGGATGGGGTCTTGGAAGATTAGCTGACAATTGCAGGGCTTACAATAGCATGCTCTACCTCTGCGAGAAGTATGCTCCAATCGACGGCATTGGTAAGTACGATAAGCCCATTGATCCGATAGAGACAGGTGCTAGAATTGTATCCCATGAAGAGATCAAATGAGTTGGTGAATGGGTTTCTATTCCCCTCACAAGTATCACGCGTTTCATATTGCAAAAGGCCTTTACCCCTTTCGAGTTCAGTAATAGGTATGGTTGACAGAAATTGATCCAAAGATTTCACCTGATCGTGATTGAAAGAGTCCGAAGTATTAACCTCTTGGTTCTATTCAAATTCCTTGTGTGTAGGTGCTCAGAATACTCTCCCAGTCCTTATCACTCCAAATCTGTTGATCTGCGCTTCCGTCTGAAAACATGAAATCCGAGAAACTCAGATCAGTCTCCATTTCCACATTGCCATCAGTCTCCTCGACACTAGATTGCCGTGGTGTTGTCTTTTCCTCTCGAGAGATTCTCTTTACCATTGCCTCAACGTCGGAGAGCAAAACGTCGTGATCTTTGGCCGCAGGATTGCCGACGCGAGCCATTTCTCTAAGCAGTGCTCGTGTCCGCGTGTAGAGTGCCACGTCGTCTTCGCTGTTTGGGTTGAAATCTTTTCCTTCCTCGATGGAGACCCGCGCGAGTGCGATGATTGCAAGGCCGGAGAATAAGTGCAGAGATTCCCAGTATCCGAATTTCGCTGGGCAAACAACAGTTAGCTCCTTCTTCTTCTTCATTGAGGGGCATCGGAAGGATGCAAATGCTTACCAATCTTGTCATAATTCCAGAGTCCGAGTAAGATTTTGCAATTATTTCGCGCGGCTTGAAGACACTGTATCTTGACTACTCTCATCGTATCATCGGTGTCTAGTGTTGCGTCGGAGCCGGTGGAATTTGGCGGGTTGTTCAATCGTCGCTTTTGAACGATCGAGGAAAGCTTTTGAAGGTAGAGCGGCCTCAACAATAAGATGAAGCACTGCATCATTGTTAGAGGAGAATTCGGCGATTGATCCAGAAAGAAACGGAACATGAGCTCACCTGGTGATATCGCATGTAGGTGGATGCAAGAATTCTGCCATGAGGTGCTTCCATCAATCTTGTAGGCAGGCTCTCCTCAAACGTGAAAGCTACTTGTTGCGGCAGACTTGATCTCCACTCTTGCAAAGTGTCGAGACACGGTTTGATAATCTCTAGTCGACGCTCGTCATCAACGTCAACGTGCTGAGCCGCCGTTCTGACGACATTGCGCTTGATCTCGCAGAGCTGAGTCTGCATAGTTAAAAGCCCAGGATCAGAAAACTCCTCGAGGTCTTCAGCGTCTAGTCCGGCTGATGACGGGAGCTGCATGCCTTCTGGCACACAGGCGACGGCGGCGGCGACACCAAGCTCGGTTGATATCATTCTGTCCATGCAGTAGGATGTCCACCAGAGCCTCTTTCTGTGCTCGTTCATAACACGCACTTGGCGTTGCTGGTCTGGGGCTTTGGGCAGAGAATGTGGCTTGTGAAGATGCAAGAGTTTGGCAAGTGCAACGCTTTGGCTGGCGTACGAGTAAGCCGTTTTACGTCGGTTGAGTGAGTAGCAGTAAAACGCCTAAACATGTTGTCAGTGGTTTGACGTTGATAGATAGGCATATGTACTTACAATCAAGCAAAGTGCTTCTACATCTTCTGGCACAGGCTCCTCCGCAGACATCTTCAGAAGCATTAACCCTTGTTCGAAGAATTCGGACCCGGGAGGTGGCGGCAGTGTTTGCGACGATGACTGCGAATGTGGAGGTAAATTCAAGGGAACAGCGGCTCCTTTCTGAGGTGGACTAGTCGGATGCTTCCCCGCGATTTCCATGTGGACAGCTGAGGACATTCGAGAGCGGTTCCAACTCTCAGCGAGTGCGAGAACAACTGAGACCCTGCACAACCAGTTGCGATCGTGAGATTGCGACTGCGGATCTGAGTAGGTCAAGAGAATCCTTTCCCGGAACCTCTTGCGGAGAAACCAGTGATATTCGCTGAAACCTTCATCAAAGGCCTGAAGTAGGTGGAATGCATATGGTCGCGGCGGAAGTCGGAACGAGACTTCGGATTCTGTGCATCACATCAGCAAATGTCTTGTTGGCTATTACTAGCAATCTACTTACGTAGAAAATCGAACTTTAGTCGAGAATATGTGTAACTCTCGGCGTTTGCACCCGTGGACTCCTTAGTCTGCTTGCTGTTTGGATCACCGGATGCTGCTGTCCACGAGAGTTGCCGCAGCCTCTTCACGAAGAACTCTGCGCTGCAATCTTCCAGCTCTTCTTCTTTGATTATTTGACTAGACTTGGGCGAGAGTGGTGTCGCAAAGTCGTTTGAATCCGTGCGGACCGACTCTGGCGATGAGATTGTATCAACCGATCGTTGCGCCACTGCTGGCTGTCTCTCGAGTCTCCGCAAATAACTTTGAGGCACCGTGATGTATTTCTCTCTTACGGGGTAAACGCAGGGCCTCCCCCGGGTCTGACATCGCTCACACGGTGCTCCTTATGGGCGTCTCAATTAGTACAAAAAAGACATTCGCAACTGGATACGGCAACGTACCGCCATTACACTTGAGCTTTTGTGTATGGCAGGCCTTGCAGGCTACTGCGCTTCGACCTCTTGGCGTTCTAGTCATCATCACAACTATTTTCACGATGTCTCAATTGGTCTAACAAATTGCAACGGCAAAGGGACAGTGGTGCTCCATAAAGAACTGGACTCAATCCAAAGGACTCGTCGGATTAACATGCACCTTTGCCTAATGTCGTTTGCCGGCGGTATCGGAGGTGGGAAGGTCCAAGACGATGGGCAATACGGGGTAAAGAGGAGGGACCCACGTTGACCACGCAGACTGATATCGACGGTGCGGAGGTTCTTACTGATAACGAACATCCTCCAACCCGTTTAAGTAGTTGGAAGCATGTTTGCTGGGTCGTACAGAATGATAGCGGCGGGGCGGCATGCATCGGCCCCTGCTAGTTGTCATGTGTAATGACGGAGTGCTGGGATGTGTCAACTTGCGAAATGTTATTGGCGTTGGCTGCCAGGACCAGGCTCTACTGGATGTTGGTAGGTATTCGAAGTTGGACCACGAATCCTGCGTTGCGAATGGGAATAAGGAGGAATGCACCACGCTCAGATACTTTATTTCCGAGAAGACACAAGCAAGTGTTAGGGAGCTTTGCTTGGATAATACATCCCCAGCCTGTCATATGTGCATGTCTCATTAAAAATTGGTGTCAAACCAGATATTAGTCTAGAGGCGACTCCATGTCCAAGGGAGTTTGCCGTCGCCAGCCGCATTTCGACCTTTCCAACCTGATAAGTCTGAGATATCGCGGAGCGGCCACGGGTGAGGATCTTGGAAATCATCGGGAACCTTTCCAAATTTCCAAGCCCAGAGATCCTGCAATTCTTTGCCCAACTTCCCTTCGAGCATGTCGGCGACGTACTTGCCAATGATTGGGAGGAACTTGAATCCGTGATTTGAGCCAATAGTCGCAACGAATAAGTTCTGAGTTTCGGGATAAGGGCAGATTCTGAAATTGAGATCACCGGCTAGACCGTCCCTGAAGTACGAGTTAGCATTGAGTATCCAAGAGTAATGTAAGAGTTTCACAACAACATCTTTACTTTAGTAGTAGGTTGATGTCTCAATACGTACCAGCACATTTTGGAAGAGATGAACGGCCGGTCAGCCAGCTCTGGAATCATCTCTCTAACAAACGTTCGCATTTCATCTTCGACTTCCTTAGGGCATCCATCGTCTGGATAATCGCCTAGAGAGTGGAGGATAGAAGCCCCTGGAACATATCTGTTGCGATAATTTGTTAGACATCTGCAACTGCATAACTTGATTAAGCCATTTTCATCTGGTGGAAAGATGATGCCTAGATACTTCGGTCAGTTCGAATGCGCCATGCCACTCCTACAAGACCCACGGCGTACGTACCCTGCTCGAAGTCATCGATGATTGGCATATCCTTGTACTTTTCGATCTCGTGCGGCTCCAACTTCATCACACAGATGACTGATGTTTGTGCCACCACTTCTTTCTTTGCGTCAACTAGGGTTGCGGTATTGGCACCAGTGGACAACACAAATATGTCCGCCTTGTGCAGTGTCCCGTCTGCGGCCAAGACACCCTCGCACTTCCCGTTGCCGTCTAACACGAGCCTCTTGGCATAACCGGACTCTCCACAGATGTATTTGACCCCCTGTGACTTGGCGGCGTTTGCCATTTTCAACAGAGCTTGTCCGGACGGCACCTATTTTCCCGACCATGGTCAGTTTATTGTCACTTTGTTGCATTGTCGTCCTGCAAGTGATATCGTTTGATACAACGGGAACTTACCCAACCAGCCGCAGGACTCCACAAGTTGGTCCAGTCCGGGAACTCACCCGTCAAAGCGGGCCACCTCGTTTTCATCTCCCCGGCTGTCATGAACCGCACCCCCTCGCGACCCGCCTTCTTGGCCGTCTCCATGGCGCTATTAAGCCATCCCCGCGTCAGGCCGTGGCCCGCCATGATCCAGCCGCTCTCTCGATACATCCCTGCGAAGATGGATTTGGGGTCCTTCCACTCCTGCATGCTCTCCATGCCTAGCTTCGCGTATAACGGGTTGGGGTAGTCGGCGCGTACGACCTTGTTCAGGTCGGTTGCCGCAGAGTCTTTGGAGGGTGCGTCGAAGCGATCAAGCACCGTGACGTTTTCATAACCTCTTTGTGAGAGGTGGTAGGCTGTGGAGGTACCAAAGACGCCTCCGCCTACGATGAGAATGGATGGCTTGGCCATATTGAAGATCAGAAGATTTCGAGACGTTGCGGAACGGTTGACGTCGAGTGTGTGATAATCTTGGTCTTGATTACCCTCAATAGGCTACCTTTCCTACCTCGAAACCACCTCTCGGACTCTTATAACCAAGGAGGAGAGTCAAGTTCGGCCGGTGATGCAAAGACCACCGACCAAGAAGCCGAGGACCTTCCCTACGGCCGCACGCATGCGGCGCAGCCATGGGCAGAACATCCGTGCTTCCCCGGGAACCATATCGGTGGGATGGGGCCGACAAAATATTCCCAATCAAATCGCTACAGTGACAGCGCAGCAACTCAAATCCCTTGCCAAATGATGCTTGCTAACTTGTGCCAAGGGCGCCACCTCTCGATTCCACTACAGATCCAACGGGGAATAATGCCGTGAGCCATCGGCCTCGAGATCCGCCTCCGCGACGAAATGACGAGAACGCTTTGTGCATGTGCGCCCATCAGTCGGGTTCGTGGCGCCGAGTCCATCGCCGAGCCAAGCAGGGAATCAATGGGGAACAATGCCGGGGGGGAGGGGGGGACTCAGGAGACACAAAGGGGAAGATAAAGAGGGGATGATTGGCACCTCATCACACTTGGAGTCTTGTGCGACAACCACATCACAATACGTCTTCGGCTTCTCAGCTCTAGCGGCCGAATGATAAAGTGACTGTCTTCTTGTCCCAATTGCTTCTTTAACTTTCCCCCGCAATCTGCGACTCTTAAACTTTCGTCCATGGTCCTTGGCTTCAAAACTACGGCATCCTTGCATTAAGAGCCGTTACAAGGTGGATGCTGTTCAGACTGACAGCTTGACATTGAGCGGAGACGGTCGCATTTAGCCTGTTTTTTTCAAGGCACCCTCGTCCTTGTCAACGCGGGCACTTATCTCGAGAAGAAGATACCGATAACCTGTTATCACGATTAGAGGGGTGATCCGGGCTGGACCTGCCAGAAATCCGATTGTTCGACTGCCTTGGTCAATAGGTCAATTGTGTACTATTACAGACCTCTTTCTTCAGAAACTGACGGCTTGCTGAGACCGAGAAATGCAGGTATATATCCGTTCCACTTGTGTCTGTTCTCTATGACGAGAGCTTGAGGAAATGCTATCCCTGTACCCATTTGTTTTCATCATACCCCTGGAGTTTCCACCGAGGGGCAGTGACAAAGATGTCGACCCAAACAGAGGAAGTGAAACCTTCTGACCTGCAGAAAGCAGCGATGGACTTGGCATCGGACAGCAAGTCCAGTTCCGAGGGGCAGACGACGATATGGCCTGAAAGAGAATTGCCGGAGCTTCTCAGAGACTTGTCGGAAGAAGAATTGAAGAGTCTTGAGAAGAAGTTGATTAGAAAGGTTGACTTACGGATGCTGCCTACAATGATTTTGATCTATATCATGAATTACCTCGACAGGTCAGCAAGTTGCCTCCGCCGTATCACTTGATTCTCAGACTGATAAGCACATAGAAATGCCATCGGCTCGGCAAGGCTAGGTGGTTTGGAGAAAGACTTGGGTCTGACTGGCAACGAATTTCAGGTAAGCTGAAGCTCAACCAACTGATAACCTTCAAATCCAGAGGCTTTTAGCTAATTCGGCAATTACACCAGACCTGCGTTTCGATTCTTTTTGTGGGGTACATCCTGATGCAAGTTCCTTCAAACATGTTCCTCAACAAGATCGGGCGCCCTGCGATCTATCTGACAGGGTGCATGTGCGTTTGGGTAAGTCTGATTTGAAATTTCTTCTCTCTTTCTCGCATTCGGGATCGACCGGTTAGATCTCACTGCCGCGTTGGTTGGTGAACCCATGGCCGCATTGCGTGGGTGTAACGTGACGCATCACTTACAGCACCGGCTGCTAGAAATTCTTCATTCGGATGTCGGTTTGTGTAACCATCCTTCAACAGAGCATCATGCTGATGATCATACAAACTACCAGGGTGTATTGTGTGCCTGCAGCGGCGCAACACATAGCTTTGGTGGCTTGCTGGCAACTCGATTCTTTCTTGGGTTTGTTGAAGCAGCCTTTTATCCAGGTAAGTCAAGATTGATACCCCGTCCGCGTAAAAGTACCGCAGAGAGAGAAGGTGCTAATGAACCTGTGACATTAGGCTGCCTTGCAACTCTCAGCTCATGGTACGTCCGTAAAGAACTCGGCGTCCGTACCGGACTATTCTACAGCGGTTCCATGCTCTCCGGTGCTTTCTCGGGTCTCATCGCCGCCGGCATCACGAACGGCATGGACGGCGCCCGCGGACTGCTAGCCTGGCGTTGGCTCTTCATTATCGAGGGATCACTCACTGTCGCAATTGCCCTCGGTGCATTCTTCGTGCTGCCGGACTTTCCCGCCAACACCAGGTGGCTGACGGACCAGGAACGACAGCTGGCTATGTGGCGCATGGAAGTCGATGCTGCGGGCGAGGAGGACTGGACGAGCTCCTCGTCGCAACCCATCTTTGACGGCTTCAAGATGATCTTGGTTGATCCTATCAACTGGATCCTTGTTGTGCTTGTCTATGGCGCCGCATCGTCAATTTCGATCAACAGCTTCTTCCCCACGGTCGTCGCGAGTCTTGGGAAGGATCGTATTACTACGTTGCTTCTTACTTCGCCGCCTTATCTTCTGGCATGCATTGTTTGTGCAGCGGTCTCATGGAACGCCGACCGCATGAACGAGAGGTACTGGCATACCGTCGCCCCGCTGGCGTGCTCGCTCGTTGGATTCATCATCTCGAGTGCCGCGACGGGGATCGGGCCGCGATACTTTGGCGCCATGATCATGCTTCCTGGGATTTACACTGGCTTTAATATGTCCATGGTTTGGACCGCCAACACGATCTACCGACCCACGGCAAAGCGCGCCGCCGCGGTGGCATTCAACAATGCGTTTTCTACGCTTTCGGGTATCTATGGCTCTTACTTGTACCCTAACAACGCCACGCCGAGGTTCGTCTTGGCCTTCAGTGTGAATGCCGCGATGGCGTTGATGGCGATTGTTGCTGCCACTGTGTTGCACTTTATTCTGAAGAGAGAGAACAAGAAGTTGGAGATGAGAGAGCAGGAAGCTGAGGCTGCCGGCCAGGCGCAACTGATTGGAAAAGGATTCAGATATGTCATCTGAAGGCAGAATGCTAAATGGATCTACCACAAATATTTTTCTCGTTTAAAACACTCGGACATCCTTGGACAACTATTATTAGATCTTCTCTCGTCTCTTGGTATCCAACCCATAGTCTCGCGCAATTTTCTCTGCGGCAAGTTGCCCAATCACATAGGCGACAATCTGAGGATCTAGAAGCATCAGTCAGCAATGAAAAACGCGAAGCCATTAAACGCGACGTAAAAGGTGAGCCTGTAGCAAACTTACGACCGCTGTCGACCTTTTATTAGCAATTGCCTTGTCTCTTTAGGGAAGATGAGAAACATACCTGGGTAGTATAGTTGTCACACTCAGATCTGCAACTCGCAACCCGTTCAGCCCATGAACTCGAAGGTCTCCGTTGACACAGCTGCCATCTTGCTCGCTCTTGCCCATCTTCACACTACAAGATGGATGCCATAATCCCGCCACGTTCTCTTGGATGAAGTCCTGGACATGCAGTTAGCGTAAGGCCCAGTAAGGCACAACTATCCCTAGTTGCCGATCTAAGCTTCAAACTCACGTCAATGTCTTTGTCGCTGTCCGACTTTGGTGCAAATATCGGTCTTACGAAGTGGTCCTTCATCGTGCTAGTCTTCAAGAGATTCATTCCTTCCCTCAGGGCTTCTCGCAGGTTCACCAAGTCGAACGGGTTGCTGAGATACTTCGGGTCAATCAAAGGGGCATCCTTGGGGTCGGCGGAAGCCAATTTGATTGTCCCTCGAGAAACGGAGTTCATGTTTGCGACGAATACCGAGAAGAACCCGTCGCTAGACTGTTCAAATACATGATCAGGAGGAATCAAAGGTCCGATCTGTAGGCTAATGTTAGTCGAGAGGCATACTTTTCAGCCCTGCTGAAACTTACCACGAGCTCGTAGCTTGGGACACCGTTCTCAAGTAGATAGCCCTTTACATCAGCGGGAAGTTGCTTGAACTCAGGGGACTCGTAAGCCCGATCATTTTTGAGGAAAGCATGGGGAACCGATGAGAAGTGCCCCAAAAGCGGGCCATTTCCACTTTCTGCGAGTTGCTTCACGGCCTCCTGATACTTGCTTGGATCGGAGAGCCCCATCCTATCGGTGAAGCCAGACTTCATCTGGAAGCAAGTCACAATCATGGGGTGATCCGTAAAGGATTTCCCCACTCCATCGAGGTTCTTTACCACGGGAATTCCAAGGGCATTTAGGTCCGCCTGGGGGCCGATGCCTGAGAGCAGCAATAGACGGGGGCTGTCAAGGGCGCCAGCCGATAGAATGACCTCGTTCTTCGCTCGAACTGATTTTCCAAGGTCAGTGAACCGTAGTATATTAACCGGGCGTTTCTGCAAACGCACCCTGCGAACCATCCTCTTTGAGAACACCCACGGCGCGATCCTTCTCAAAGATGATTTTGACCACACGACTCTCGGTCAGAACGGTCAAATTTGCCGTCACGTTCTTTTCGAGAAAGGCAGATGCGCCGGTAACCCGGACACCGTTTAGACTGGTTGTTGAGTTCAATGAGAACCCAATCAGGTCACCATCGTTGGGGTCAAGGTTGCGCTTGTGCTGTCACAGGGTCAGTATTATTGTCTGCTGCCTTATCCATCCTCATCTGGCGTGTCCAAGAACTCACTCCGAGGTCAACTCCGGCATCGATAAAAGCCTTTGTTTCTCGCTCCACGTGTCCGATGGAGACATCAATAGGCCTATTCCGGGTCAGAGAGTTGAATCACTGCAATAGAATGTGCCATATTACCCAGAGAAACCGTGGTACCTCGGGTCGGGCTTTACATATTCAGCCCATTCCTCAGAAAGGTCATTAAGGTGAAGGTTTTCCAGCTTTTAGATGTCAGCTCAAGAGCAAAACAGGGTGAAGTCTGTGTGCAAGTCTGAGAATGCCTTGCCTTCTTAACCCTCTCGATGACGGATTCAAATGCCCAAGCATCATCACCTGCAGCCGCAGCCCAGGCATCGAATTCTGCGCGCGCACCAAGCGACCAGACTTGAAAATTGGTAGCACTCGACCCTCCTAGGCCCTTGCCGCGAGCCTGCGGCACCTCACGATTTTTTGCGTGCTCCTGCGGCGTCGAGGCATAGCCATAGTCGAGACCCGGCTGTGCAATGGTGCTGAATCTTTCAGCTGTGCGTCGATACTCGGGTTTGCTGATGTCGCCGCCACCTTCTAACAACGCAACAGTGGGCTTCAATGCCGTGTTTGCGAGGCGGGAGGCGAGAAGACACCCCGCTGTGCCGCCTGATCGTCGTTTATTGTTGTTAGTGCGGTTTCTCCTCTCGTGAGGGGTTCGTTGCGATATCCGAGGATGAAGAGGCGGAACCCCTCACGGCAATCTTGTCTTCTGGAACATACAACTTACCACCAACGACTATAAAGTCAAATTCTTGCGTCATATTTGCGAATTGGCGGTGATTGAGATAATCCTTGTGCAAAGTTGGGTTGCGTCGGGCTGTTTTTGAGTCAACGATCACATCCGCCAGCTTGCTTTTTTATACTCTGACGAGCTGAGAAAGTGTCTCTCGTTTATACACCCAAGCCACCTGACCTCCGCACCTAAGACTCTAGGCTGAGAGATCATCTCTTTAGCGGTGAAACTATCGGCAAATGTGCGCGGCATCGCATTGTTTTCCCCTGGTTTCCATATAGCCTTACATGGGGTCGCGGGGTGGTCTGCTGCGCCGTGGGCAGTCCGCGAAGGAAGCTTGAGCTGTATTGGTGACCATTGCACGTCCAACGCGAGGTTGGCAGTGCGCCCGATGCGATGCAACTCTGACACTACGACTCTGAGGCGTGCTGATGTAACTCAAGTTTGCAATATCTCAGAACCTGTTGGCCAAGGCGAAGGGATCTACTTTTCCGACAGCAATTGGGACTTGTGTGTATGGCAATCTCCAAATCATCTATCACTTTTCGTTAGGTATGTGGGTTGCATTGCGCAATCGGCCGGATGAAGCAGGCTCGACGACTCAGCGGCTCTTTACTTATCGATCCGCGTTCTTCAGTGGGGCGAGACTGAGGAAGATAGACTGGTTGAAGAGTTTATTAACAACGTATAAAACAAAATAGTTGATACCCAGATCCTTAACGCCAGTGAGCCAAAGTCCTTGGCTATGCAACCCACGCTATGCCTCAGCAAATGACTTTTAATGCCTATGCCCAAATGTTGACTACCAGTATTATGCCCCATAGATCAATGCATATTTACAAATGTCATTCCGATCGCAAGCCATCAATATCTAAGAGTCTAGTTCTGAGGAGCACCAAAGATCTCGTTAAGGTCGCGCTTCGCGTTGCGCTTGATGCCGCACTTGTTCAAGCAGGCGTCGATGCCAAGAGCAATGTTGGCAGGGATGTGCTTACGGAAGCTCTCAAGGTCAGCACCGTCAATGGTCTGCACGCCGCCAAGAGTAGCAGAGACGACATCCGGGCGGAGGTTGAAGAAGGCCTGAGCAACCTGCTCGACGCCAGGGTCGACGTTGTTGAAGCCGGCGACGAAGACGGCATCCTCGCAGTCGGGGTTGAACTCTTGGTGGATCGCGCCCTGGGGAAAGACGGACATTTGGTACGTCTCCATGGTGTTGGCGATGGGGCCGAGGCCGTTCTCGACGACAAAATTAGTGACGAGGCGGCCCTTCACGATCACATTGAGCTCGGTGGCGCGGTTGTGGACGTGGGCCGTGTTCATGCCGCAGGGGCCGAGGAAGCCGAGGGTCATGGCGGCGCCGTTGCCGATGAGGGCCGGGAAGGTCTTCGCCGTGGCGGAGGTGGAGAAGCCACCCTTGCCGCGGGACTCGGAGCCCTCGGGGGCGCCGGAGTCATTGAAGTCGAAGACGAAGTCGCCGGGCTGGTTGAGGAGGCGGACGCGCTCTTGTTGGGTGGGTGCGGTCATGAGCTTTGTGATGAGGTCTTCGTTGCCGGCGCGGGTGTTGACGGGGACGATGGGGGGAAGGACATTGTCGATGGAGCTGGTGTCGGTTTGGGTGGAGATGGTGGCGGAGGAAGAGGGGTGGTTCGGGTTGGTGGTCGGCGCGGCCAGAGCGGCGGCAGAGAAGAGGATGGAAGAGAGAATGGTGGAGGTGTACATCTTGATTACTTTATGTATTTTTTTGTTGTAAGAATGACAGATAGGGTATCCAAGCTGACAAAGGAGACAAGGAAAAGAGAAATAGGAAAGATGGGAAACCGGAAAGCGAACTTGTTGGCTTGTTGATGCTGTGATGTGTGTGATGATGAAGGGAAAGAGGAATGAAGTGGCGTTCGATGAGGTTGTTATATAACTTCATCGCAACCCAGAAAGGCTGCAATATAGTGTACTTCATCAGGCGACCGCAGATGAGCGTCAGCCCCCTTCAAGCCAACAAGCATACATCTTCGGTCTAGGTTGGTAATTCCCACGATATGGGGCACAGCATCCTTCTGCTCATGGCTTTGGAATCATACCAACATAGGCTACACCAAGATAGCACTCATTGTCCAGAGATGGGTGCAAAATGTCAGCTGAGCTGTTGCCTCGCTGCTGAATCCGGGGTCTTGCTGCTGACCAGCAATCTGAACACCCTAGCCACAAGTCCAGAATATTGCCGTCGTAGGATGGCAGCTGCATGTTTGTGCTGACGGTCCCAGGGCTGACGTCGGCGGTGCACAGAAGTCGTGCCAGCCTTTTGGGACCCTTCTAGGAAACAAACAGCGAAAAATGGTGGGGAGGGACGGGAGCCTGTTCGTCCGGAGGAGTGCTGTCAGCATTTAGTTATTGGTTGGAGCTGCCAAGTAGGGCTGTGGGATTCGGTCGGTCTATGTTTAAGTGTTTGATTTTTTTCCCTTCCGCTCCACGTGGTGCTTGTCAGTCAGTATGCCTCTAGTCTTACGGACTGTTTGAAGTTTCTCGGTCATATTTGGCGATCACGATAGGTACTCAGGTGTTCCTGACAGTCCACGCCCAAACCATATTAGCAAATATCCAGCCAGTGAACGTTTGCACTGGATTTGCAGTACGTTCCCTTAGCAGCAGTAAGAGGTCTTCGGCGTTCGCTGAGCACCAGTCACTACTTGTGGAAACTCGCCGTAAGATGCCCAACACCGCACGAACAAGAAATGTAGAGCATCGTGGAACCTAGGAGTTCATCGCCAACATTTTGATCAGTTGCCCGTCACTTTCAGTCGGTCAAGAGAAAGTTGATCCCATCCTGGAGACTGTAGATTACATGTTGACGAAGAGAAGATCCTCCCAACGCTGATGGGCCAATGATCCCTGATCCCAGCCCACACACAACCTGTAGTAGCGCTTACACGATTAGAACAGGCTGCAGAATTTAGCTGTCGGGCGGGGAGGCGAAGCAGCTATCCTAAGCTTAATAACAAGCTGCGCATTCTAATTTCGTCCCAATTTAACCCTTTGTTTATTCATCGACTGCGCATGCAGGTCACGAACATTTCACCCACGATGGTTCCTTAGGCAGCATCAAGCGTGCAGCTCCTTTCCGGGTGCATGGAGATCCTTTTTCTTGTGTAGTTGATAAGATGTGTTGAATATGTTGTCATTTACAGGAAAACCAGAGTATCCGCCGCTGGTAATGACAGTGGAGGCTTAACGAGGAAGAAGATTTTCCGTCTCAGGTTATACCTCAGTGGATCACTGCTGGACGGCACGGTTCAATCATCCCACGGCGGTGCACCGAACGACTTTCTATCAGACGCGATACTATAGCTGATATCATTCCGAGATTTCATACAAAGACGGAGCATTTCTTTCGGCACCATGCCCTCAGGCTAAACAATCATAGGATAAGGTCGCGTCCACGTGTATCCTTTCATCAAACCATCAAAATTTGGCTCATAGATCTTTTATGGGTGCATCCCCTTCGGTCTTGCCAGTGCCATACTTCTTCACCTTGTTCTTGCTAGCATCCTTATCCGCTGCGAAAGCTTCAACCTCGTTACTATCCATGACCTTGATAACGTTGTCCGCTTGCCACTTCTTGAACGAGAATCCAACGCCCCTAGAATATATGATTAGCCTCTTAAGAGTCGGTCTCATTATCTGTATAAGCTTACTCATGGCTGTAGTCTTTGTCATTGGCCTGATCCTTGTGGTACTTGACCTGAATGAAGTCGCTGTCGACAGTGCCGGGATCAAGGCTCAGACTAACAAGCGCATTGATCGTCGCGGTCTTTGGGATGAGCTTAAAAGTCCAGCTTTGCTCATTCCTAAACTGAATAAGGTCTCGGTCGTTCTTGACAATCTCATACCCCTCGTTGACGCTCGCGTTGAAGAGCTTGGGCAAGGCGAACCACTGCCCGGCCATCTTGTACCGATCATTGGCGTAGACAAATTGGTCATCGTAAACACAGTCAGCCGTGTACCGCTTCACGCGCTCGACTGTGGGTTCCATTGAGTACAGCGCGATGATGTCGTCGATCAAGCGCTGACGCGCAGGTGAGAGGGGGATTGACTTGGACGGGTTGGGGTGGTAATCCTCAGTTGTCGAGGTCTGGCGGACTTCGAACTCTTCACCTGGGGTGGCAGAGGTTTTGCCGGGAAAGTTAATGTGTCCGGAGTCTGAAGACATCTTAGTGGTGGTATGTAATGTACGATACAAGGCTTTCGGGGGTTGTGAGCGAGCGACTGCAAAAAAGTGTGTTCTGATAATAAATCTGAACATCGGTGAGGTTTGTTTATGGGCAACGGGATCTCATCGACAGCGCACATTCACTTATAAACATCTGACGAAAGCTTACTCTCAGGACACACCTCATAGTCATGACGCGCTGAACTACCTAATCAAGACAGCCTGGGCACCCTCACTCATTTTTCTGTGATCATAACCACGTGCAATTCGTAGTCCGACGCTCTGAGAATGTGGCGGTCATATCGATTATGTAGCGCTGACGTCAACATCTCTGCGTCTTCAGATGGGCCTAACACGGACTGAGACCAGCATCAAAGGATGATTTCAATTTGAGAAACATGAAGAACGCTGATGAATAAAATACACTGAGGTTCTAGATCAAAAGTTCTCATCACAGATTGCGGTGAAAAGGTTGTTTCTTCCTTCGAAGGCTACTTGATATCTTTCAGATCAACTACCTCACCTGCTCGCCAGCTCACATTCTGACCAGCATCACTACCTTCCTTCCACTTCCACCGAACGATACTCTGCTCTCCTTTCTCTACCAAGTCCTTGATCCATTGTCCAACCACTGGAAGCATCTTAAAGCCGTGACCCGAGTCGCCTGTAGCCAGATACAAGCCCTTCTTGCCCGGCACAGCATCAATAACATAATCCGAGTCCGCCGTATCGGCACACCAGCAGATGTGCTGATCGATAAACGGTCTATCGGCCAAGCTCGGGAGAGTTTCCTGGAGAAGCTTCCGAATCCGACGCACATCAGCTTCGGGCACGAAGTTGTTCTCCTCTGGAGGCGTGGACAGGCCTGTCGTCGTCGAGTAGTTGGTATATCCTCCACCACTTGGAGACAGCTTGAGGATCCCCGTGCCTGGTTCTGGCTCAAAGAAGAAACCCAGGTCCCGAGCGTATGTGACTGGTATTCCTTTCAAGCGCGCCGCTTCCTCCGACTGGAGTTGAATATGCAGGACACTCCATGCCTTTGCCGTGACTTGACGATCGACCGACGGGAGCACGTTCCCGAGCGAAGCCCCGACCGTCAAAATGGTTGTTGCGGCCGTGAAGTCTTTTCCAGAAGTTGTGCGGGCGCCTATGCACTTGTCCCCTTCGTACGTGAGGCTCGCAACCTCCTCTCCAGTATGGATCTCAACACCCTGAGCTTTGACGTATTCGGAGACCGCCTTGAGTGCATTCGCAGCATGCGCATAACCCGCGAACTGGTTGAAATATCCTTCCCACCCTTCCATAGGCCCATCCAGGGCCGGCGCAGCTTTGGTGATATCTTCCCTGGTCTTGATGGGGTCGATCCTACCGGCCCAAGCTGGATGCACCCGGATACTTTCGAGGGATTTGGCCAGAGTCTTTTTTGTCTTTTCTGGCGCCGCTGCAGAATTGGCTAGGAGGTACCCCGTCTGGTGGTAGTGCGGCGCGAATAGCTTATTATCGGTCCATTCCGATATGGCCTGCAAGGCCAGCTCTGTGTAGAAGGGATCTTCATACTCGGCGCGGACAATTTTGTTGACGTCGTTACCTGCCGAGAGAGACGAGGGAACCGATGTGCCCTTTTCGAGAATCGTGATGGACTTATATCCGGCCCGGGAGAGGTGATAGGCTGCTGACAAGCCAAAGGTCCCAGCGCCAACGATCAATATTGAGTCTTGCAGGTCAGGCATCTTGGCTGTTGCCCTTTCCAGTCTACGGTAGACAAAAACTCACAGCCAGAGGACTATGGCGAAATGATGTCAATTTTGAGTTCCGCGAGCCAAGTCGCATCCAGCTCCGACGTCGGATCGAGGGCCGCTCTACCGCGCTGTTCGGAGTCAGGCCACCCCACGGCAAAGGTGTCCGAGATAAGGATTCCACCGCGGGGAAGTGGAAACGGCGACCCCAGTCCGATGCCACGTTGTCGGCGCCCTCACACCGAAGCCGAACCGAAATCCCATCCATGCCTATCGTCGCCTATCTTCACCCACATATGGTCTGCGTATCTGCGGGGTAAAGGGATTGCGTCGGGCTTCCTCCGCTGAGGCTCACGAGTCTGCCCCTGGTTGTTATGATCTCTAATTTGAGGTTCCGAGGCCTTGTCTGAAGCTCATTACCGAACATGCCATCAACATGCCATAGCCCCGTTGAGGGAATCATCACCTTCTCGTTTATCCACATAGAGGAGATCTAAAGTCCCACTTCGTCGTGCCGCGATAGAGGAAATATTCCGAGCATGTCCGACTCCAAAGGCCCGGCGCGTCGGCGGAGAAGCGGGGACTTTCGGGCAAGAAGTGGATGCCGTACGTGCAGAGGTATGTAAAATTAGTAGTAGTTGTAATCACGAAGGACCAGCCAGCTAAAAATGCATGCATCACAGGACGTCGTGTTAAATGTCCCGGTCCGCTCCAAAAATACTACCTTGAGCTTCAATCAAAGTGAAATTCTGACTGAGTATATAGAACAACGTCCAATATGCGATCATTGTCGGCGCTTGGGACTAGTCTGCCGATATGAGTTAAAACTCAGTTGGCCGGCAGTCTTTGGGTGTGAGCTGCAGCAGCGAGGTTTCTCCAAGAGACGTTCACAGGCATCAAGTAACAACGAGGACACTGAAGAGTGGATGTTCCTGAACCATCATGTCCATGACTTCGAAGATGCGCCTGTCAGAATCATCCTCAACATGCCGATGCACGAAACGTCAACTAAAAGTGCACGCAAGATTACTGCAGACGGTTCCCCGATATTTCCTCTATCATCATCACACTTTGGCTTGTCTTCACTTGGTTTGAACCAAAATGAGGCCTACTTATGGCATTACTTCGACAACTTCATAGCTCCGCGATGTGTTGTGAATTGTGATAATAATCCGTACCGTCAAATCATACTTCGAATTGCAGCATCATCGCCAGACGGCCCGGTCTTGCAAGGTATCTTGGCTGTGTCGGCCCAACAAATGAAGGCACTGGGTCATGTGAAAGATACTGTCCGAATCTGGGACCATAGAAATCGAGCTCTCGAGTTGTTGCGCAGCTACTTATTCACTTACTCAGAAGCGGAGGGGAATACGAACACGAAACGTATGCTCGCCCAAGAAATCATGGCTTCCACTTTGATGATGTGTTTCTTTGAGGTAAGTTACTCGGGCGGCGCTATCCGTGATTGATGCATGTGCATGGACTGATTGAAATCAGATCTTACATGACTGCTCTGGTTCTTGGAAAGTCCATGCCAGTTTTGGCAAATCCTTCTTAAGGCATGAGCTAGCATCGGGCCACACCATGTTAACGGACTCCAAAGAACTGTATGGCTTCGCGGCTGCCTACTTCACGTATCATGACGCCCTTGCATCGACTGCTGGAACCAATCCAGAAATGCAAGGCCACAACAGCAGCCTTTTCCATCTCTTGAATGGCGAGGAACCTGTGCTTGAAAACCTTTCGGGTTGTTCAAGGCGTCAAATAGCTTTGTTATCCGAAATTTCAGATCTTGCCAGCGAGGCTCCCTGTCACAAGGAAACGCTTGAAAGGTCAAGTTCCTGGGATCGAAAACGAGATGCCATCGAGAGAAAGCTACACCTGATGAAGGACACATCAGTTCCATCATCGTTAAACAAGTTGTTATCTAAGTCTGCAAAGGAGGAAACCCTCTGGCTAGTTCCAGAGCTGAAGAGACTCACGTGCCTATTATACTTCCACGCGCGAGTTGATAAGTCAAACCCCTCAGATCTACACATGATCAGACTTACAGGAAAGATCTTGGAACTTCTGCCGCGTATTTCTCTCCAAACAAACACTGTTCTTTGGCCACTTTTCATAGTTGCGACACTTGGAGTCCGCCCAGAATCTGATAGCGACAGGAAAATGATATTAGAGCGGCTGCACTTACTACAACAGACACGGCAGCTAGGGAACGTTAGAAAGGCTAGGCAAATTATTGAGAACGTTTGGAAAGCGAGGGATGTCAACTGTTGTCGTGGGAATCAAGGGTGGGCTGTTCTCGAAGGGCGTCACGATGCCATGAGTCTGGCTTAAGTTCAGTTGGGGAACTCTTCTTCTCGAATCTTCCTCTGCCTTATCTAAGTCATGAACCGCCTTCGAAGGTAGCACCATTTGACGAAGATCCTTAGGTTGTGTATCTGAAGTCTTTCTGCTCCTTATCCGTAATATCAACGAATCCATCAACGGTTCCTTCCTGCAGTTCTTGAGGTTTGCCGTACTTCTTGTCTCGCCTCTTGTTCTCCCAGGCAGCGACAAGCCAATATGAAAGCATCAGCAACACAGATACAGCATAGCTGGTCAGCATCGCGATAATGGCTCCCGAATATTGAGGTGCTTGTTCGGCTCGGAAGGTTTGGGGTCCAATCAAGTTGCCGGCTGCGTAGCCAACTTGTACCAGACTGAAGCAGACTGCTTTTTTCGTCTGACCCGCTGTGTTGGCCTGTGGAAGCGAGATCCCGACGACGTAAGGAGCTAGTGTGATCCCTGTTAGAAAGAATTCTTTCAGTTCCCCGGTGAAAACTTACGCCAATAGAAGTACATGAAGTACAGTCCAACCATTTGTGCTGGAACATTCGACCTCGGGAAGCCATGTACCAATCCAGTGCCCAAGATTGGCAGCATGAGAGCGATACACGCCACCAACGTCCTTCGATTATGCCACCTCGCGGCAAGATAGCTAAAGGCCCATGCACTAGACGTAGCGAGAACGCCAAACGGCATGGTTAGCAAGCTCGCCTCGAGCGAAGTGAAGCCAAGATTGTTGATAATGATGCTTCCAAAGTTGACGAGACCGCCGTTCGGGATATTGATGAAGATGTTGAAGACGAAAATGATCCAAATTTTGATGTCTAAAAGGGCCTCCCATACCTGGTCCCACTTCCAGACCTTGTTGGAGATGCCCGTGCGGTTGGCTGCAAGACGTTTCGTCGCATGGTACTTCTCTTCGTCGGTCAGGAAGCGGGCGTTCATCGGGCTATCTGGTAGCGTGAACCAGATGAAGATTGAATAGAGGACGTTGATGGTTCCGGTAATGAGGTACAGATACTGCCACTTCAGGAGAGGGGCTGAATCTGGGATCTTGCCTACGAGCCAGGCGAAGAAGCCGTTGAAAACCGAGGAGAAGTACGCGAAGATAACTGGATGATGTTTGTCAGCATATCTTTAATGCTGCATTGCATCACTGCCGAAGTCAACACTTACTCGCATTCCTCGGAGGCTGCTCCTGTTTGGTGTAAAAGCTGGATACGAGGATGGTAAGAGAGGGAGAAATGGCTGCTTCAATGAAGCCCATGAGAAATCTCAGTGCCATGAAGCCTGACCAGCTTCGGCAAGGAGCATGCAGTAATGTCAGGACAGACCACAGCAAGGATGATCCGCAAAGGAATTTTGCTGGCGGAAATTTGAGAACAAGATACGAAGCAACAACATATCCGATCAATTGCTATTTCGGTCAGCTTGAATACCAGACCTCGAGTCAGAGTAATTCGATGGTCTTCACTCACACCTAGAGGGAGAACGCTTCCAAGCCAGCTATACTGTTGACCAACAAAATTGTTGTCTGTCTGGAATCCGTAAAGAGACGCCGTTCCCATTTGGACTTTGTCGACTGCGCCGAGGGTTGCGGTGAAGAGGAGCTGTGAGTTCTCAATCATCAGATTGATGTCATGTAGTTGAACAGAGACCTCCAGGAGCCATACCAAGGGAATCATCCAAGCATCGATCTTCTTAACGATTCGTTTCTCCATCTCGGGTGTCATGGGCGGGAATGCATCAGCATTAGCGAGAAATGTCGCTGCCTCGTCGAGGACTCCATCTTGGGTCGACTTGAGGATCTCAGACTGGCCATGTGTATTAGAAACGCTGGGTTGAATACCATTTTCGTCGGCATGACCGTTTGGATCTTCCTTCTTTTCGACCATGTCGCGATAAAAGTAGTGCAGGCTGCTTGATGTCTCAATGTGAAGAAGGAAATCTTTCTCAAAATCAGTACCGGCTAATGATGGACGGTTCGACGGCAGAGTATGAGTCTGCAGGCCACGGATAGTCTTATGGTCAGGACGTGGAAAATATTATAGACGTCGGAGGACCTATTGAGACTTATCATATGTCTCTAGCGTGTACATGCTGCTTTATCTCGAGTCTGATGCACGAAGTCAGCATCTGTGAACGAACCTAGCCAGGACTATCGCTTAAAGTAAGGCAGTTCTACAGCAGACTTAGCCATGTCTGCAGTCAACTCAGACGTATCGTAGGCATATCAAAAACCATCGGAAAATGTTATCATTTGGGTCACCCATGCCCGTACTGCGGCTCCATGCCTGTCTCCACTCTTCGGTCAGCCGTTGATAAGATTTGTAAACGAGGAAGGCCGAGGCGACGTGCTTGTAGTAACGTTGGGGGATGACTTATCACACCCTTCCATTCTCTCCAACCTCCAATATGACATACCCCACTTATGCCGCTCAGTATGCACAAGCTGCAGATCACCGGCATGCATGCAACGATATCTGTCAGTGATAGGAGCGAAGCTGCATGGCAAGCCGAAACGACGGCCTCAAGTTGGGCATCGTATCATGCCTATCGGGTATGTAAGTCCGATAGCGATAGCGGAATGAAGGGGCTACGTTTGATACCAGCAGTGAGGCTCTCGTTGGATACAACGACTTAAAATCAAACTTGAATCTGGCATTTCTCAATCACCTCAGGAAGACTTTCGGAATCAGTTCATTACGATTCAATGAAGCAAGCATGGCGAAAGAGTCAACTCCAAATAGTATTCAGCCTAAAAGTGTCAAGTTCGCGATTGGTATGTCGAGAAGTACAAGATGAGTGCATTTTTAGAACCACTTAGCTCACAGCATTAGATCGCGGCGGAACATTCACAGATGTTTGGGCATCGATACCGGGCCAGAGTGATGTGGTTTTGAAACTGCTGTCAGTCGACCCGGGCAACTATGATGACGCGCCGGCAGAGGGCATTCGGCGTGTCCTGGAAATGGTGTCTGGCGCAGCCATTCCTAGGCGGTCTCCCATCCCCAAGGACCTAATTCGTTCTATTCGAATGGGCACTACCGTGGCTACTAACGGTAAGTGACTATCTCTGGATGATTTGCGCCCACAGAGATGCTGGTTAACACCCGCAAAGCTCTGCTGGAGCGGAAAGGAACTCGACATGCCTTCGTTGTGAACCAAGGTTTTCGCGACCTTCTCGATATCGGCTATCAGTCCAGACCGAAACTCTTTGACCTTGGGATTCGCAAGCCAGAGCTTCTATATGACGAAGTTATCGAGATCTCAGAGCGTCTGACTGTGGAGGCGTACGACGAAGATGCCTTCAAGAGCAGTCGCACCCAGCCTAAGGAGTCCCCAGGCCTTTTCGTCAGGGGTATGACCGGAGATTTACTCCGCGTAGTCCGACCCCTCGACGAAGATGAAGTCCGCCAGAAACTACTGGAGATCAAGTCCAAGGGCATCGAGACACTAGCAATCTGTCTCGCTCACTCTTACATGTACCCGGCTCATGAGAACAGAGTTGCCGAAATTGCAAGTGACCTCGGCTTCGGCCATATCTCCACTTCGTCAAGCGTCGGTGCAAACATGATCAAAATGATCTCTCGTGGCAGCTCAGCTTCGGCTGATGCATACTTGACGCCGGAAATCGTACGCTATGTTAAAGGGTTCGCGAAACAGTTCCAAGATGGCAATCTCGGTGATGTTTCGTGCGAGTTCATGCAAAGCAACGGTGGCCTCGTCAGCCATGAGGCATTCAGTGGACTTCGCGGTATTCTGAGTGGTCCCGCCGGTAATTTTTCCTTCCTCTTCTATAGCACTGGTTGGTGCTGATCATATGATGCGTTAGGTGGTGTTGTCGGCCATGCTAGAACGTCGTACGACGGGAAGTCCCCTATTGTGGGCTTCGACATGGGTGGAACATCAACAGATGTCAGTCGGTATGGCGGTTCTTTGGAACATGTCTTTGAGTCTACTACAGCTGGCGTTTCCATCCAAAGTCCACAACTAGACATCAACACTGTGGCCGCCGGTGGTGGAAGCATGCTTTTCTGGCGGGATGGGTTGTTCAAGGTTGGGCCAGAGGTACGTTTCCCCGTTCCTGACGTCGATGAACCTCGATACAGACACTAATATTTGCTCGTAGAGTGCGGGTGCTCATCCTGGCCCTGCTTCGTACAGGAAGGGCGGTCCTCTGACAGTAACTGATGCAAACCTCTTGTGAGTATACCCAACATGATGTTTCAAAATTCTTGATGCTGACAGCCTGCATTGTAGTCTCGGTCGGCTCATTCCGAGTTACTTCCCTGCCATCTTTGGCCCAGATGAGAACCTGCCTCTCGATTCCGATATCGTGGCAGAGAAATTTGAAGAGCTCACAAAGACGATAAACGCTGACACGGGACGCACGATGACGCCACATGAAGTTGCGATAGGCTTTATTGACGTCGCAAACGAGTCAATGTGTCGCCCGATTCGTGCTCTGACTGAAGCTCGCGGGTTTGTCACGGCCGACCACAACCTGGCTACCTTTGGTGGCGCTGGTGGTCAACATGCCTGCGAAATCGCCGAGAAGCTCGGAATTGGACGCATAGTGATCCACAAGTACTCAAGTATCCTGTCGGCGTATGGCATGGCACTTGCCGAGGTCGTGCAAGAAGCTCAAGAGCCCAGCTCCGAGATGCTATCAGAGGACTCCTTGCCAAGGTTGAATGACAGATTATCCTTCCTCAAAGAAAAGGCTACCGCTGGTCTCTTGGCACAAAATATCAATCAATCGGCAATCGAACACGAGTTTTATCTCAACTTGAGGTACAATGGCACGGATACTAACTTCATGATCTTGGAGCCAGATGACGGAGACTGGTTGGCGGCACTTGAGCGGGAACACCTACGGGAGCTTTCCTTCACATTTCCCAGAACAAGAAAGGTCCACGTTGACGACATCCGCGTTCGAGGTATCGGGAAAGCGGAAGAGTCCAGCAGTGATAATGCCCGTTTAGTTGGAGAACTCAAGTCGCTCTCTTTTAAGAGTGCCCTGAAGCTCGAGGATGGCTTTGTGAGTTCGGCTCCTAACATCAAAGCATATCTTCATTAGGATACTCTCTAATAACTACTTAGACTGACGCGTTCTTCACCGTGGGAGGACTTCAATCCACCAAGATCATCCAGCTCAGCAGTCTGCAACCCGGTGCCGTGATCATAGGTCCGGCGATTGTCATCGATAATACCCAGACCATTGTTGTCGTACCCGGGGCTGAAGCCAAGATCCTTACTTCTCACGTGGTGATTGATCTCGTTGAAAAGGCAGGCAAGAGCTATGCAGTACAGAACACCGAGCTGGTCGTTGACCCTGTGAAATTGAGTATTTTCGGACATCGATTCATGAGTATTGCCGAGCAGATGGGTCGCACGCTGCAGAAAACCAGCATCTCGCTCAACATCAAAGAGCGATTGGACTTTTCGTGTGCCATCTTCAGTCCAGTCGGCGACTTAGTCGCGAATGCCCCGCATGTACCAGTCCATCTGGGCAGCATGAGCTACGCGGTCAAGTATCAACATGAGCTGCATCGCGGTAGCCTCCGTCCAGGCGATGTACTGGTCTCGAATCATCCCGAAGCTGGAGGAACCCACCTTCCAGGTACGCTCCCAAGTACTTTATAACTGACGAGAATGTAATAGTATGCTGATTGGCACCAGATATCACGGTGATAACTCCAGTGTTCGACGAGGACGGCAGGACAATTTGTTTCTACACCGCATCAAGAGGTCATCACCTTGATATTGGTGGATCAAAGGGAAACTCAATGCCTCCGTAAGTCTAGTCCGCAATCGTACTTGATGTATCATGAGTCTTAGTTAACTCAAAACACAGCGACTCTACGGAACTTTGGCAAGAGGGTGCAGCTATCAAATCTTTCTTCTTGATCCGCGACGGCAAGTTCGACGAAGAGGGCATTGTGAAGATCCTCCTTGACCCCGGACTTTTCCCAGATTGCAGCGGCTCTCGACGCCTGCCGGACAACCTCTCGGACCTGAAAGCCCAAGTAGCAGCAAATACGAAAGGCAGCGTCCTTATCAAAGCACTCATGGACGAATTTGGAATATCTGTCGTGCACTTTTACATGGCGAAGATCCAAGAAAACGCCGAGGTCTCTGTCCGAAGATACTTGTCGTCGGCATACAAGCGCTTCGGCTCAAAGCCGCTGAAGGCTGTCGACTACCTTGATAATGGCTCTCGGATGCAAGTCTCCATCACGATTGATGAAGCCGGATTTGGTACCTTCGATTTCACCGGCACCTCTTGCGAGATGCTCTCCAACATGAATGCACCGCCCGCAATCACCTACTCAGCCCTGATTTACACTCTTCGTTTGCTAATCGGGTCCGACATTCCGTTAAACCAAGGTTGTCTTGCACCTACCAAGGTGATCCTTCCGAAGAACACATTTTTGAACCCGGGACCCCAGTCGGCAGTTTGCTGCGGGAATACTCTCACTTCACAACGGCTGGTTGATCTGCTTCTAAAAGCCTTCAGAGCTGCAGCCGGATCTCAAGGCTGCATGAACTGTTTTGGGTTCTTTGGAAATTCTGTTGACCCTGCGGCTTTCTCGGGGAAATCTAAAGATGTCAGCTCCGGAGGTTTCGGTTTCGGCTACGGCGAAACCATTTGTGGCGGCGAGGGCGCTGGTCCGACTTGGCACGGGGCCTCTGGCGTCCAGATCCACATGACCAACACCCGGACGACGGATATTGAGATCATTGAGAAGCGTTACCCGGTCCTCATTCGCGAATTTTCTATCCGAAAAGGCAGTGGGGGTGATGGAAAGTTCCGAGGAGGCTGCGGTATTGTGCGGGACTTTGAGTGTCGGGCTCCTCTTACGTACGGCATCATCTCAGAGCGCCGCGTACACCAGCCGTACGGGATGATGGGCGGGGAGAACGGAGAATCCGGTGCTAATTACTGGGTCCAGAAGACTGACGATGGCGATGAAAGGTGGATCAATATCGGGCCTAGAGGCCAAGTTGACATGAAGACTGGCGATCGATGTGTAATTCATACTCCGGGAGGAGGAGGCTGGGGTATTCCAAATGAGTTGAGTCTCCAGGATCATGAGCACAATGGGGTTGATGGTCCTTGGACAGGTCAGAATGTGTACCCCAGGGCCACAGGCAGTCTTCATGCTTTTGCTGCTGCACAGGAGGCTTCGTCTTAGCTTCGATACTCGCATACATGTATGTAAGATGTGACGAGGATAATATTTTACTTGACACCAATTTTCTCATATTTATGTGAAGACTCAGTATATCATGCAAAGCGTGGCGTGAATTGGCAGGCAAACTAGAGCGTGGCCAACAATGTGATCCGTCGAGAGTATGGCTCACCAAGGAATGTAGGAAACTGGATATCGTGCATTTCAAAACCAAAACTGGATCAGAGCTACAAAATTTGAAAGTCGACCGTATTCGCCCAATCATTCTCGCAATCGAAATTACGGTCTTCAACTTCCTCTCCATCCATTTTCCCATGGACATAGGCCCCGCCCACCAATACGGAACAGTCGAATGAGGGCTTTGGGCGCAAGATGACAGGGACAGAGCAACCAAGCAAGATACAGACAATTTCTCCTTGTCTAGTATCAGGGGAACAAAGCCCAAACAGCTTCTGTTGGGTTTCCGACGGCCTCTCGCCAATACTCCTCTCTTTGCCTTCAACTTCTGTTAATGACTGAATGGTGCTATCCTATGTCGACCGCTTCGTACCGTCATCTCCCATTTCTAGTTTTGAATTTAGTGATGTGTCTGCGGAAAGACCACTCATATGCTGTCTTTTGGTATTCTTCCTCATGTCTTCTTGGAATAGGACAGAGTCTGGCAACTCTGTTGTAAAGAATCGCCGGTTCCATGTAACATTGCGTACGCGCGACAAGTAGTTCCGAAGCATCTCCGAATTTGCTGTCAAGAGCTCACCGACGTTGAGATATCCATTTTTGAATGTATCGGCGATCTCAAAACATCGCAGGCAAGCTCGCTGATACAATGATGATGGAAAATCTCCATTTTGGTCGCGATCAGCAACGAGAGTCCTCCAGATACGATCCGGGACGCCGTCAGTATCGCTCTTGAATCCTTCCCAACCACCCATCATCAACGACTCACGATGAACAATACCTCTAGTAGCTTAACACTAGGCCGCACGTGTTGCCCGTCTAATCAGTTACAACCCCCACCCACCTCCTCCACGACATTGTCTATGTGGCTTGAGAGACTAGGCAAAGTGACCATATTCCTTTGCGTGATTCAATTGATCTGTTCCTAGTCTTCAAGTCCTTGGCACACCAAGTTGAACAAGATGTTCTGTCAAGCCAAAGGAATCCCAGCCACTCCTCTCTGCTTGATCTCGTAACCACACGAGACCTACCATGCCGGCACCATTGGCTCCAACTCCGTCTTTTCCAACAAGTCGCCGGGGCACCACGCAAATCCAATCTTCAGCCATCACGACATTGTAATCACTGCCATACCCCGTAGTTGTCTTGACATTTCTGGAAGCTGAGACTAGTCTTGCAAGATTGCAATAGGCCTGCCTAGATGTTGCTCCTTGAGGTAACCGCAATACGAAATGCATATTCGGAACGCCAAAAATGTTTGAATCGATGTCTGTGTTATGGGAACTGTCAACGTCCATGCTTAAAGGCGAATCTAAACTCAATGCTTCAGTAAACAACCAGTTTTAAGGATTCTTACCGTTTTCGGAGGTTGCTTTTTGAGGATATAGCGAAAGTTGAGTCGGCTGAGGGAAAATCTGCACATGCTTGTGACCCTGAGAAGATCCGGCATCAACACCACAGTTGTAAATCATCAGTTGAGGCCCCAGGGTTGGCTTGAGTGCAGTCATCACAGCACGTGCAGCCTCAACGTCAACCAAGTTGAGGTCTTGCGTCTGAGACTCAAATATTCGGGTATATAGGACGAATGCCGGTCGATACATACAGCACAGATTGAGCTTTAGTGCATGATGGAGTCCTATTTGGGCAACAACGAAGTCGGGATCTGGGTTGAGAAACGGCCCCTTGTCCGCCGTACGCTTGGGATCATCTCGCTCCAGGTATGGCTTTCTTTTCAAGGCTGGACTAATGCGGAACTCGAACTATTGAAGTCTGGTCAGAAGCCTCTTCGAAGACTGATTGCCTCTAGGGTAGAGATTCAGGCTGATTCGCACCTCAAAGCCGTTATGGGAAACAATCTCGCTTTGAGATTCGCTGTAAAACAGCTTCCCTCTAGAGACCAAGTCGTCGAACATAAAAAGAGACTTTGAACCAAGGTCTTCTGGTAACGTGATATTTGCCATTGCCATGTTGACGACCCAGCAGTATCAGGAGAGTTTCGTTTATTTTTCCTCAAGTGTTCCCCCTCGAATCCTGGTGAGCTCCGGGTGACGAGTTGGATGAGCGGTCTGAAAGCAAGACATTCTCCCTTTACTCGGCTCGTGTGGGGGTTATCGGGATGTTAGTGGCCAGGCTGGAACTTGTAGGCCGTGCTATCTTGAGATGATTCCGCCCATTTGGCAAGACATGCACTCGACATCAACTCACTGATTGTAACCTTTCTACCCAGGTTCTCAACTCGGTCAAAAATGACCGGTTACGATCCGATTGAATAGAACAGTATGCAAGCGATGCGAATGGTTGTTTTTTCTATGCTAAAGTGCCTCTCACACCCAGGCAAAGTTTTGCCGGTTGGAATCTATGGGGTTGCTAGAATCACTGAAGGTCCAGCCATTTTAGGCGCCTTGGCTCAGAAACGTGCTAGAATTTTTGCGGCCGTGTTCAGTGCACGAATTAAGTGAGATTGGTGGTTTGCGAAACGCTTAGCGGATTGAAAGGTGTGCGGCTTAGACAGGTTTTGTTCATCTTTAGGGACTTCTTGGCTGTGTGCACTGGATTTCATGAGATTGAATTCGAGATGGAGAGCCGATGTCTTGAAGAGGGGATCCTGGACTCTGTTTCCAATCTTTGTGACAACTCTATTGCCAACTCCCGGCCAGTAGCTGTGAGAACACCCACCCATGTTGGAGAAGAATCACAATAACTTTGATTCATCTGTGCAACTCTCCGCCAATCTTTGGCCTTTCAAATGACTGAAGTGAGACGTACGGTTGAGTTCAATAGCACGCGGAAGTGACGTGGGCTGCACAGTTTTCTCGAGCAGTTCTTAGCGTCAAGAGATGTTCGCCATGGTGATGTCGCGCATACATACCAGGTCCTGGGTGCGTGAAACAGTCGAAGGACCGCAATTTCAGAGCCTCTGAATGGTGGCACTCCCTGTATTTACACGTCAGTCATCGTCTTCTCCTAGTAACCCTGCAAGAAGTCGCTGCCTAGTGGTCGTACGTTGGGGCTCGGCTACGTTGCTCAGTGGATATAAATAAGCACGCAGCCTCACTTTGATTCCTTCATTGGAGAACTCCACAGGGCTGGCTGACTGAGCCATGGATATGGACCTGCAGAACATATTTCGTCTTGTGTGGCGACTAGAGTAATCTTAAATCACGACATCGAAGTGAAGATCCGGTGTGAAACAAGTCGTTGGCGATGAGACTGAGCGCAATTCGGCATAACACCTTGCGATCCCTGTTGAGAGCCAACGATGTATCAGCCACTGGATCGCGACACGGCAGACCAGTCACCACTGAACTGCAACAAGAGCCAACAGCCCGGCCAAATTCGCCCCGTTCAAACGCAACACGGTGTAGCTAGCCTGAAGCCGAAGAGAACATCCAAACGACCACCAAAACGTCTCAGTCCCTTCCTTAAATTCAGTCTCGTCGCCTCGTTGCTCTTCCTCGCAGGCGCCGTCGCCTTCATCTCATGGCTATGGTGGGCACCTCACGAAGACGTCCGCTGGCGAAAATGGGTCCTCGCCCCGAACCGGCTCCAACTAAGCATAACTCTATCCGCCGTCGTCATCCGAACTGCCATAGGCATACTGGCGACCGCGGCCACGGCCATGATTGCGTCGGTTGCGGTCGAACGGAGGGGTGTATATCTTCAAGACATTGCCCAAGTCTCTGTCGCGCGCTGTTCCAGCGACGGACCGCTCTCGCTTAGTCTCCTCGCGCTCACGAGCTCATCGCTTCAGCCGCTGGTCCGCCTGATTCTCGCGCTCTTGGCTATCACGACGATCGCTGCGCAGTTTACATCCACTCTTCTCGTAGCGGATCTCGAGCAGCGTCGGGTCGTTACATTTCCCGACTCGGTGTCGAATGCATACACTTTTATTGCGGGGAATCTCTCGAGCGGCAGGCCGCCCGAAGCCGTCTCTGGATATGCGCACAACTACTGGATCCAACGACCCCGACTCACAGAAACATTTGCAGAATACACAGGCCCCGCATCGGACGGAGAAGGACTAGATGACACCGGGCCGACAGTCAGGGCGTTTCTGCCCGTGGCGTCGCAGCAAGAGCGCGAGTCGCTCGTCGAGTTCCAGGGCATGGCCAGAGTTCTAGACACGCGGTTCATTTGCATGAGGCCGGAGCTCAGCAACGTCCGCCCGTGTAACGGCACAGACGGCGTCGACATTTGCGGGTCGATACGGCTCGATCCCACCGTGGATGCGTCGGCTGCGGCGGGGCTGACGTGGACGGATGAAATGAACTTCAACTTTAGCTGCCCTGTGACGGGATACATGGGTAATCAGTACGACTGGCAGATTTGTGCGTACGAGACGCTGAACTGGACGTCCTTTGACTGGTCTCTTCGGAATACCTCGAGGATGACCACGATGAGGATCGTGTGGGATGCGGGAAGGATACAGGGAAACATGAGCTCTGATAGCTTGAAGTCGACTGTCAAGGCGCTGAGTTCGACTGGCTCGGGTCCGTGGACGAGAGAGTCTTTGCATATTAGACTTATCGACTCTGATACCGTTGGCAAGGACCAGTATATCAACTTCAACATGACGATGTGTGCACAGTTTTACAAGTGAGTACCCTGATCTCTTGAGGCTTGAGCTGTTCCACAAAGTTCTTCCATGTGGTAGTATCTAACAACAGGCCCTTCGTGACAGCTACCCGGACTCGATCCAGTATCTTAACGTTTCCGCAACCAGCTCAAGCAACAGAACAGAGCCAACCTACGAGTGGGATGTAGAGCGAGAGGTCTACAACACGAGCGCAGTCCGCAAACAACTCGGCGCCGTCAAGGATGGCTCATCTCTATCCCACGAAGACCGCCAAGTCCTATCTATCAGCGAAGATAGCTTAGAGTCGGCTGTAACTGACGCTCGCGATGGGTCTAAGTGGCAACAGTACGCTGCCGACCGCAGCCTGGAATGGTTCTTCGACCGCGTCACCTACGCCCGAATGCCCTCCATGCCCATCGCCTTCTGCCACAATTGCGCTCCGAATCTTGACTCCCAGGACGGCACCAGCGACGTCGTGTACGAGCGGCTTTTTGGTGATACTATCGACGAGACGGGATCGCCGGCTCGCGCGATGCAGGCTGTTTACTTTACCCTTGCGCGACTTGTCTACTACGACTTTCTCAGCGCCTTCTCTTCCAACACTGCCGCTCCCGGGATGGACACCGCGGATGTTGTCACGTTTGAGCTGACTTCGATACCATGGCGCTTCAGGGGGTATCTAGCTGTCGTGGGGATACTGATCATCTTCTTGGCCTCGTTTGCTGCAGCGGTGGTCCTGTTCAGGTCTACATGGTACAGCTTGCCTGAGAATGCGTGGCACACAGTTGCGCAGATCTCGGAGAGCCCTGAGCTGGCAGACTTGCTTCACGGTGCGAGAGTTGCTACTGATGACGATATTGTACGTCTGGCAAAAGCCTCCAAGTCTCAGCGCTTTGTTGTTCGTGATGGTGTCTTTACTCAAGCTTCGGGGGCTGATTTGGATATGGAGCTAGAGTCGAATCAGTCCCGTCGTCGACTGACGACGCATGAAGCGGTTTCGTAGAGCACGAGTAGGATTGCCCAAAGGAGAGAAGTCCACCCTCAAATAGTGTAGGAGCAATGAAGTGAAATAACGAGAGAATGAGTTGAAATTTTGGCCATCATCACAAAGCCTTTGCCGCCTCCGTAGCAGACTTCTTGTGGCTTTCATCTCCATCTTCACTCTGTACATCCACCTTCTCCAACGTAGCAACACTGTCCCCAGCTTCCCTCAACGACTTCCAATTGAGACCAAAGTCCAGGATGTCGGGATACTTGCGCACATACCACAACATCCCAAGGATCGAAGCGATACTCCCAACACTAAACGCCGCCGCCAGCGGGAACCCGATAGGATACCTAGGCGAGTCCGCCGTCTTCCACGCACGGAGAGGAATAGTAGCATGCCCAACATACACAAGCGTTACCGCGAGTCCAACAATCACCGACCTTGCCTCGGGCTCCTTGCGCAAGATGATAGCCAGCCACGCGAGCAGCGCATACCCCCACGCCGCAGTCGCAAACGTCAAAAAGTAAAACGTCATAATCGTGCCCCTTCCACCAGGCCAGGCCGCCAGGACAGAGGTAGCCACGAGCTGAAGTAGCGCCGCGCCGATAGCGACCTGCCACCGCCAATCTTTCCAATCGCTCAGCGCGTTGAGGGAAATATTCGCCACGATGGAGATTGCGTAGCCGCCGAGCGGGATGAGGTTGACGGTGTACACTGAGTACAGCGCCGTCGTGCCGTCCGCGGCCTTGAGGCCCTTGAGGTAGAGCAGGAAATACGAGTTTGCGCGCTGGGACCATGCGAATTGCAGGTACGCCGCCAGGAACAGGTACGTGATGGGCGAGGTAAAGAGTTTTCGCACGCGCGCCCAGAGGGCCTTGCCCTTGATAACCTCCTGCGTCGTTGTCCCCGACTTCCTCATCCGCGAAGCGGCGAGAACGCGTTCGTCTGCGGTGAGCCAGAGGGCGCGGGTCGTGGTCGGCGCGTCGGGAATGACCAGGAACCCGTAGAGACCCCATACGATGGTCATGATGCCCGAGACGACAAAGAGCCACTGCCAGCCCTCGAGACCGTGTGCGCCGTTGAGGTTCTTATAGAGCGCGGCCTGGAGGATGCCGAGGAACATGCTGCCCGCCTGGCTGCTCACGCCAAAGATGGCCAGACGCTTGCCGAGTTCGGACGGGGTGTACCAGTTGAAGATGAGGTTCACGATGCCCGGCCACGAGGTCGCCTCGAATACTCCCAAGAAGAACCGCAGGACGAATACGGTGCGCGCGTTCTTGGCGGCAAATGTCGCGAGGGTGATGGCGCCCCAGACGACTTCGCAGAAGGGCAGCCAGAGGGAGGGGCGGACGCGGGTCTGGATGAGTTGGGAGGGGACGATGAAGAGGGCGTAGCCGATGGAGAAGTAGGTTGTGAACTCGACGAGTTCGTTGCCGTAGAGGGAGAGGGCTTCTTGCATGCCTGAGACGTAGGCTGCTGTTGTTGCGGACTGGTCCATGTCCTTCATGAGGCCTGCGATGAAGGCCCATGATAGGAGGAGGATGTCGAGTTTGAGGACGAGGACGTGTTCTGCGTCTTCAAAGTAGGGATGGATCTTGGCCAGCCATGGGATCGAAGGCTTTGTTAGGTTTGGGCTGGCTTCCGCCGAGGCTGGTTCGGGCTCGGTCTTTGCCATTGTTGGTGATGCCTCGTAATGTAGCTCGACAGGATGACTATGAGATCCAGACTGACTTCTCGGGCAGGCTTTCGATGGCCATGCAGCTGTTTATACAGTGGCTTTCAGGGTCGTATTTGAACTTGATCATTCAACCAACATTCGCCATCGCCGTATAACAAGACTACTCCCTAGAGCGGATAGATTCCGACAAGACGTCGGGATACACCGACGCTCAAGACGATTCTTCAATAATACCGGGCAAAGGGTCAGATGGCAACATCACCATCATTCATGATGAAATGGGGAAACGAAGGAACAGAGTCGGGAAAATAACAAAGCAGTTGGGACGGATCAGTTACTTTTTTGGCAGAAATTCAGATGAACCGTTAGCCAAAACTCTGTTTTCCGTTGCTGAGTCGTAGCGTTCCATGGGCTATCCCAGCTCCGGGGAAGCGTCCGCCGGCGGGCAGGGATACAACGTAAAATGTCGCCATTTCGCCGGCTTATGCCGTGACGCGTCGGTATCCCGCCGAAAGATGACAGGAGATACTTTTCTGCGTCTACGATTCGACTGTCGACCTCGCGGTGATTGGAAACTGCAAGCACGTTTGTCGGGGTTGCGCCGACCGAGTGAGACAGGACCTGACGCGATAATACCTATTTGAGTCTCATCGACAGTTGATAGAGCCGATACATATATCAACAGCAGACGACGGGATACTCTCAATCAACCGCAAAAGATTGCGTGCTTCGCCATTCCCACCATCATTCGCTGCACGTATCCCAGTCCAGCCACCATGCCGACCGAACCATTGTACCCGGCCTACCTCCCCACCAGGCCCGACGGCTTCCAGCCGACAATCGACGTGCCGTTCTTTGAAGCCGAAGAGCCTGGTGTCCGAGCCAAAGCGGGCCAACCCGCCTCCTCCGGGTCCTTAATCTTCAGGGACGGCGGCGGTGCCAAAGTGGAGAATATCACACCCCGCGTCGGCGCCGAAGTCCGGGGTATCCAGCTCAGCCAGCTTTCCAAGGCCGGTCTCGATGAGGTTGCGCTGTTAGCGGCCGAGAGAGGCGTTCTTGTTTTTGTGAGTTTTCCGTCGTGTACAGAGAGTGATGATGGTCATGTCATTGCTTGGTGAATGGATAATAACACACCTGCCTATCTAGAGAGACCAAGACTTTGCAGATATTGGGTTTGAGAGGCAAAAGGAGATTGTGAGGCATTATGGGCCTCTCCACAAGGTACGATACTAGGTAATAGAGGTCACGTAGAGTAGAGCGCAAGCTGACCTGCTTCTTCCTTCACGTCCCAGCACCCCACGATGGGATACCCAGAAGGCACAGGTCCAGAATTCCACGTCGTCTACGCAGACGAGAAAGCGTAAGCCACTCAACCTCACGTCACATCTGATGGATTTCGTTCTCAAGATACTCACCACTCACCCTGACGACACAGAGGCAACCTCCGCACCCTCCTAGGTCCCCGCACAACCTACGACCTCTGGCACATAGACCAGACCTTTACCCCAAATACCCCCTCAACAACCTTCTTCTGGGTCCTCGAGACCCCAGCCTCAGGCGGCGGCGACACGGCCTTCACATCCCTAACAGCAGCCTACGCAGCCCTATCCCCAGCCTACCGCGCCACCCTCCGCGGCCTGCGGTTACTACACACCTCCGCCTCGGTAGGCGAAGTCGCGCGCGTGGGCACGGAGCGCGCCCTCCGCGAGGCCGTCTCCACGACGCATCCCTTGGTGATCCGGCACCCTGTAACGGGCGAGCCGAGTTTGTTTGTGAATCCGACGATTGCGAGGCGGGTGGAGGGGTTTTTACCTGAAGAGTCGGATGCGCTGTTGGGGTTTTTGCATAATCATGTCAAGAGTTTGGATTTTAGTTGTCGGGTGAGGTGGGAGGCGGGGTCGGTTGTTGTGTGGGATCAGAGGAGCGTTGCGCATAGTGCGGTGCCGGATTTCAGGGAGGGGGAGAGGAGGCATATGGTGAGGATCATACCGTATGGATCGAGGCCTGAGCCTGCATTTCCTGAGGAGCATGAACGTAGTCGAGATGACGAGGACGTGTAGTGGATATTAGCCTACCTCATGATCTACAGCTACATGGGAGAAGTCGATAGTCACAAATCCAGTATCTTGTAACATTCGAGGTACGAGCAATAAAGTATCTCTCTTGGATACGTGTGCGTGTTACCTATGTAAGTAGACAATAATGAACCACTTGGCTTGCGAGAGATAATAGAAACTCAGATCACTTTGCCGAGCTTCGCTTCATCAACCCCGCACACTCGATTCTTGTGCCCAAAGTTGAGCCTCACAAAAGGCTGACAGGGATCCAGCATGGATGCGATGGGGTGAGCGATGTGCGATGATCATACGCATCCATACCGATTTGGAGTGCGACATAAGTGCGAAAAGTGCGGTGAAAGTGCGACGGCAATGCCATTCGTCAACCCCACTGCTGTCCCGCTCGCGTGCATGAAGGAGTGTGTCGCACTTACAAGTGCGATGGCCAACCCCGGTCCGGATGACAGCCTTACGAGCATCATCGTGAATAAGTGTAAGTCCGGTCCGTTGTTCCAAGCTACTCGACCTTCAACTAGAACAGACTCGTTTTCTAGCTTAACGGGCGGTCGAAGGTTGATCTTAACTAAGAGTTTCAATGGCGGCCAACCCGGCTCCTAACATCGGATCGCCGGTTGGACCACCTGCTGCGCCTTTGCCCTTCAGCCTGCAAACGTCGCATGATGTGAGGGATACTCAAGAAGAGTCCAACAAACGGAAGAAACCACCAAGAAAGCTGGACAGCGAAAAGTGCCAGCTTTGCAGACAACACAAGTTGAAGGTATCTCGGTCCCCTTCCAAGCGCTTACCTCGCCCCGCCTGTACGGTAGAGCGCTTATGGCTCTGGTCAGAAAATTGCTGACAAGCGAGCTGCGAAGTGCCTTCCTCAACCTCGAACATGGCCGCAAAAGTGCGATCGCTGTTTGTCGAAAGGACTGGAATGCTCGCCTGGAGAAGTCAAGAAAAGGACACGAAGACAGGCTCCAAGCGAAGAAGAGCCTGAAAACATGATGCGTATCCCGAGCGACCGGGGATCCCACGGCCGAGATCATGATGGCTCCAGCATTTCTTGGAACTGCGAAGATCTGTAAGGCCCATGTCAGCTTCTTTCTTACGTAGAGGCTGATTCTATGAGACAGGATGGATATACTTACCGCAGTCCAACTTCTGAACAGCGTATACGAAGTCCATCATCACCAGAGAACCTCCTTGCTGGATATTCTCGATTTCCAAAAGGCACCTTGCCAAAGCCATGGACCTGGTACTCAGGCGCAGCTCGATGTGCCCTACGTCTCGGGCCTCCATCAGAGCTTACCACTTCTCAAAGACAGGATATCGATCGCGCTCAAGACGAGGCTCGGTCACGGCAAGACCACATGTCTCGCGGAGAGGATGTTGTTTGAGAATACTCTCACTGAGCTACACAGCAATTTACCGAAGCGTCCGATTATAGATGGCCCTGTCGAAACCCATCGACTACTCATACGCGAACAGATCTCCGACCTGATGTTCCGGTCCAGCTCAAGCATGTCAGAGACTATTACCTTGAAAGCGATAGTCTCACTATCCACCACACTTTCTTCGAGGCTTCCGATACTCTTGAAAAAGTTTGATCTCTATGACTGGTCTTACGTGGAACAGGGCTTCGGCCCAGAATGGGAGAAGTTGGTCCCCCATGCGGTTATTGGGTGCCTCCTCTTCGCTCCTGGTGACCTCTACTCAGACTCGCAGCCATATGCCAAGATCTGGGCCCACGATATTCTTGTTAAAGAGGGCGCGAAGTACCCCATACTCGCACGGGATCTCGCCCTCATCCCGCCCAGATCCAGCAGCTGGTCCCTGAAGGAGCTTGCCTTCCTCACCAATCACGTCGGACCCGACCTCAAGGACAATCAAGGGCTAACTCTCGTCCACGCTGCCATCTTGGACCGCAGGCCGGACATCGTGCATCAACTTCTCGAGCCTGGAGGCGCCAAACCGTGGCACCGAATATTCAGGAGGCGGTTCTCGCTGTTCCATTTCGCGGCCTCGGTAGGATGCGAGGCGTGCTACGCAGAATTGCGCTGTCACCCTGAGATCCGGCCGGCAGAGGAGACGCGGGACCGGAACGGAATGCTGCCCTTGCACGTCGCTGCCCTTCGCGGGCAAGTGAACGTGGTGGAAGCTATTCTCAAGGCGCACTTTGACGGAGAGGAGGAGAACGAGGAGTACGTGAATCGAGAGACGTCAGAAGCCGGGCATACCGCGTTGTATCTCGCGATAGCGCGGGCTGAAGATGATGCCACCGCTAGATTCTTGGCAATGTACCCCGGCGTCGACTTCCTCGTGGATCGCCAGGTACGGCAGACAGCGCTTCATGTTGCGGCGTCTCGCAAAAGACACGGTCTATTGCGCTTTCTCCTCTCTAGAGCACCCGAGCATCAGCTCAATGTGCAAAACGAAGACGGTGAGACGGCATTACATATTATCGCTCGTCATGGTGACCGAGAGACATTAAACGCTGTCTTGGACCTCCCCTCAATCGAACTGGACGTGACAGCCAGCGACGGATCAACGCCACTAGTTGACGCCGTGACGAGCGCGAACATGGAGGCGATGGAAGCTTTGATCGGGTGCCCGGGGGTGGATATCACGGCGTTACGGCGGCCTCTGGAGCCCTTTGGATTTTCTGCACTGGAACATATCTTGCAAGAGGTGGACGGCAACGATGGTTCTGGGGGGTACACGGAGATTTTGGAGTGCTTGCGAATGCGTTGTCCCGAGCTGGAAGACGATCTTTATGAGGCATCGGTGGCTGAAATGGAAACGGATGACGGGTGATCTCGTGGTTAAACACCCATATGAGGTGAATACTTATTCGAGCAAAACGGCTCTAGGCTGGCGAGGTGCCGTAGAGATTTCAACGGCAAGCCATACTTATGACTGTCAGCGTACTACCTCGGGAGACGCTTGAACCGCGTGAACTCCATTATTAGTATCCTCCGAGGCTTGTCTTGAAGTCATCGCCAAATTCCAGCATCCGGTCAGCTGGGATAGAGAAACGAGCGTGCTGAAGCCTAATAGGTTGTAGTGTACTAACAACACTGGTTGACCCGACGGCGCAGGTGCAATATCGCTAAAGGGCGAGGTTTTCGCCGGGGTGATTGACTCGGGGGGCGGGGATCGAAGCGGACGAACCCCTGGGTGTTGGTCCCACCGATTGCTCATGGGGCGATGTAACGCCGAATGCGAAGGTTCAGGGGAACTAGGTGGCGGAGGGGAGGGGCGGGAGGGGCAGACACGAGGATGATGGTATCATGGTCGACGGTTGCTGGTGTCAACTTGGTGATGGTTCGGTGCGTTGTCTGGATTCGTCGTGCCTGGGACCCTGAGACGTGGTCGGGAGAATGAGATGGTGGGCAGTCTGGATTCTGGTTAAAGTCAGCGAGCACGCAAGCGAGGCGCGGGACACAGGACAAAATACCCGGACGGAACATCTGGTGCATCACTAACGGCATCGTGGAGCATTCCAGGCCGGATCGACACAGCGGGTCACCGTTTGGGAGCAGCGCTCAAGTGGTGAGGTCGAAGGCCCGTCTCGACTCTGGAGTTATCCGACGAGTGCCCGGTGGATTATTCGACAACGGGCCGAGACGGGCGAACCATCCAAAAGAAATGTAGACGGAGACTCGGGAGTTAGTACTCTAGGCTCTAAGCCTCCACCATCAACGCGTGGTTTGTGTCCTTAGTACGAGACCGGTCGTGTGGAGGCTGACGGTTGTGGCCGAGAGAAAGGAGGAAAAACGTGACATAAAGACGGATTGAAACGGCCTGGTCAACACGAGGCAAACGGCGAGAAAATTGACGACAAAGAAACGACGGCGGAGCTGAAGAAACCAACAAAGTGAAAGGTGCGCAAGCCAAAGTTGGGAAAGCTGGGAAAACATTGGCCGCAAGTGCAGGGAACTCCACCGGAAGAGGAACGAAACTCGGAGCAGACACCAAGAACGAGAAGCAACGTCCGGGAGAGCCATGAAGCTTGGGAAAGAGCAAGTGGGAAAGGGCAGGAGAGCACATGGCGGGACAGGGAAGGTGTCCCGGCTGGCGCCATATCGTTGGCTGCGATTGCGTGGAGAGTGGGGCCATGTAGAGATGAGGTGGATCCAGGTGGTGTGGGTACTAATCCCACGCTATTGGTGAAAGAGGAAACGATGGGCAGGAACTGGCAGGGAAGAAACGAGGCATGAACCGGTCTATCGGAGGACCCGTCTCTTTTCCATCTTTTCCCATCTTTCCAGCGCTTCTCAGTGGCTGGAAGATTCTTGAGAAGTTTGGGAGCGAGCGTTGGATGCATCCAGGCGCGACGCTGAGGGTGACATTCGATATGCATATCCCAGACCTGCACCTGTCTGCAGTGCACCACCTACTGTAGGGTACTGTATGTACTTCGTAGTGCTGCAAGCCTGCACCTGTGGCTCCAATTGTCAATTGTGCAAACTTTCTTGGATTGGTCCAAAGTGTCCAGCCAGCCCAGTGCTTCAGGGCAATGCTCCCTCCCACGGAATCCACCCCGTCTGTGTCCGTACACTAAGGTACCGTCCAACCTAAGACTCCAAGGCAAGTTCCAGAAGCCCGAGCACCGTGCCCCACTCCCTTCTCCAGTCTCCATTGCTCCAGAGGAAAGACCAACTCTTGCTGCACCTGCCACCTGCAGCTTCCTGCGTCTGCTCCTTCCACTGCAAGTTGACACACACCAAATCATTCCTTCCCGTCTCCCCTCCTTCTTTCCCTCTCGCCTTCTGTGCCTTCCAACAATCCGTAACAGCATTATCAAGGTTCTCTTCCTGCAGCTGCAACCGTATCTGTGCCTGCCTTTCCCATCTGCTGAATCTGTGATTCGTAGACGGTTCTTTCCCTGCACGACTCATTCTTTCCCCTCCTTTTGAAGTACCTTACGAAGTACCTCAGTGTCTCCCTCCCCCTTCCCTTCCACTCTGGCAGTTCCCTTCTCAGCCATCCAATCCTTTCCCTTGCACCTTGTCATTCTTCCCTTTCCACCACCACCACCACCACACCACACGGCACACACCTCTCACCCGACCACACCTCACACTCCGGCCCGACCTAAAGGTACCTTTCCTTCAACTCACTTTACCACCTTGGGCCAAGCCGCCGTCGCCGCCATTCTTCCAATCTTTTTCTATCCATCCTGACCAACCCAACCCAACCACTCCAGACCGGATACAACATCTCCCTCACTCACACACACACACTCTCCCACCCAGTCCACTCGTTCCAACTCAACTTACCTTAATAAACCAAAACTACCCAAGAGGTCTCGAAGCCCGGCGTTTTGACTACCTCTCCTTCCCTCGCTCCCGCACCGACTCTCAACAAAGGTCACAGACACCAAGCTACTATCAGCCACAGAGTGCTGAATTAGAAAAGAAGAACAAATCCAAGAGCCAAGGCTCCCGATCACGGCACCACCATCAGACACTTGCTGCCAAGCAGTGCTCAAAATACGACAGACATCTTACCGCAAACGCCAGCCGGCAGAAAGGGGGAGTTGCAACACATCCGAGCCACCAGAGACATCTGTGTCACAAGATTGCGACCTCCATTCCACCCATTCCTACTGCGAACGATAAGCTTTTCGTCTGATCTGTTGCGCCCCTACATTACGACGTGCGTCTGCCACCGTTCACAGACATCGTCCTCCCGTACATCACGTCCCGTCATCTGTACTTGCACAACCATCTCATCCCAAGTCGAGTCAATTGAGTTTGCCTCGTCCCGCCATCAACTTTGAAGAAGATCGATCTCGCCAATAACATCCCAATACAACAAGCTTTCCAAACCTGTCCCGACCGTCTTCGCTGAAAACCCGTCGCAATGGCTCCCGGTATCCTTGAACGTATCCAGCAGAAGATTGAGCTCTTCCGCCTGGAGCAGCGCTACACCCGCCGCCGTCACCGTCGCTCAACTTTCGTTTCCAACGCAGTTTACGTCGATGGCGAGTATGTCTACCAAACTCCTACCTCGACCGGTTCCTCGTCCGCCGGCACGACCAGCAGCAAGGAGTCTTCATCACCACGAGTGAATGCCCTCCACCACGCCGAGCCTGCTTCGCCCACCGTCGCCCCGACACAGACCGAGCCCAGCAAGAAGCGATTGAGTCGCTTCGCCTCCATGCCCGGCTTCGGCTCCTCAAAGCAGACCCCCACCAACGACTGGAGGTCAAGCCGCGTCAGCGTCAGCGAGATCCAGCGGTAGAAGCGTCTGGCCTACGCTACTTGAATCGATCAAAAAAGAAAAGCAAAGAAAAAAAAGAGGTTCTGAAACGAACAATACATAGATCAGGGCGGCAATCTCACGACGGCAACATGATTACCCTCGGGGCGAGTCTTCAAGGTTCGACGACGACGAGGTTTTGCTCAAAAGCAATTGGCATATTGCACTTTACGACCATCTTCCGTCACGTCTCTTAGCGGCGCACTTGCATGAGCATTGGGGGGGCCTGCTCTTGTTTCTTTCTTCTTTTTTTTTTTTCTTGCTGGGAGGTTTGCAATGGCCGACATGCCACATGCATATTGGCACCTGGTGCCCCTAACATTACCAGACGCTGTGTGAGAATCGCACCGGCGCTGGTCCTTGCTTGTCTGGACACACTACACCGACTTGTAATCTTGACTGCTGCTCGGGACAGATACCCATCAGCTTACCGGCGTCGTGCACGCACCTTTTCTCCTGTACATATCCAATGGATCATATGACTACTTCAAACACTCTTGTCTCAGTGCCCCTATTTTGTGATGTTCGCGGATTACTAAATCAGAGAGGTCATGTTTGATAAACGCAGGAATCTGGCGAGAGATTGCAAACACTGGATGCCGTTCCGTGTCTCAGATTCTTGGTGGTACCGGTAGTGATCGGCCGCGGCTTGAACGGGTGCAACTCGAAGGCATGCAGAGAATTCGGACGATCGTCCCGGACACGTCGGCGACGCTTGGCTGTCTGACCCGGTATTGCTCGAAGGGGTTGGGCGAGACCCTGAAATCCCCTTTTTTGCGGGGTGGATCACTGGATGGTCCCAAGCTCCCGATGGATCCCGTGATTCGATTCTTGGGTGACCCTTGGGTTTTTCTTAAGGAGGATGGCACGAAGTATAATCACATCAAGAACAAGGGTGCCCCCTCAAACAGCTCGTCCCATAACGAAAACTTGCGACCGTGCTTTGTTTCCCGCTGCAGCTTCTCGACGAGACGAGCACCGTCTATCATGCTTACCGTACCCAGTTCTTGACCGACCGCTTGCATCCCCGAGCACATGAAGTCTGTGGTTTCTTGGTCGTGGTAAATGAGGGCGGATTGGATTCCGCCGATGACCATTGGCCAGATGACGAATTTGTGTAACAGCCCCGCGCTAGTTGCAATGGAATTTGATGGTGTATTGTTGTTGATGGCTTGTGAGGGATGCCGCTGGGTTCTTTGGGTGAAGAGGACGCGGAGACTTGCGACGAGTGTGGTGTACGCTGCTGATTCTCTTCTTGCCAGATGCGATGAGGCTTCTTTAGACCAGATGGTGCTTGATCTTGGTGTGGTCCCGAGGCCGGCGAGGCTGTTGATGGCGTATAAGGCCGCGGCGCTGTGATATGTCGTCATCAGTGCTACCCAGGCGTCTTTGGTTTCCCGGTCCTCGCTCAGTTTGCTCGGTGCCAGCGAGACCTCCGCGGTAGCTGAGATCTCGGCTGCCCATTTCTCGGGCGGTGAGGTATCGAGGTACGCTAACACGGCAGATAGACCTTCCGGGAGATGCTTCGCCGTCTCTGGGCACAGTGCCCTCCGTGCCCGCAGCCCGTTGATACGAATCAAAATCCTGACTAGGTCGTTGGGGACCAGCCTCCAAGGGTTACGTGCGTCAGTATCAGACTCTTGGAAGATTGCTTCGTAGGATTCCTGCCTTGCCAGGATTGTGCCGGCGACATGGACGGATGGTGGTGGTGAGTTGCTGCTGCTGCTGCTGGTGATGTTGTTGTTGATGGCACCGTGGGTGGATGTACCGAATATGTCAAAGATTGCGAACTGCTGGAGGAGGCGGCAGAGTTCTGGGTCTGATTTCGCGACGGCGGCGAAGGGGCCGTGGGTGAGGATTATGCTCCATGCGCCGGCGATGTGGGATTGCCAGGGGGCGTAGGCGGAGAATTGGATCTTGAGGGAGGGGATGTTAGTCCTTTGTTATGGGATGAGGGTTTGTGTAGTGGGAGAGCGAGAGAGAGAGGGGGGGAGTACCTGAGATGTGAGCATCACCATGATGCCGAGGAGGATACTGGGTCCCGGATCTTCGGCGGTGTTTGTTGAGCCGTTCCCGCGAGGTTGGTGATATGCGCAGAGTTCTTGGCCCAAGGCTTGTAGGGCGGCGGCTTGGGATGCAAAGTGGACGCTTTCGAAGTCGCCTGCTGCCATGAGCCTGGATAGTTCGGATGTGTCGCCACGTATTGATGCATGTTGTCTGATGGAAGGACGGGATGTGGAAGTAGCGAGGGTCTTGTTATCGTTTGATAGTTTGGATAGGACACTGGATGATGATGACGACGAAGACTGCCCGCTGATGTGTCTGTGGAGGGCTGCGATAGAGATGTATGTGTTGCGGAGGTAGGAGGCGAGTGAGGCTATTTGGTGGGGGGAGATTTGGTATGGTGATGTTGATGTTGAGTAGGGGACTAGGTCTGGTGCTACGTGATGATTATCTATGGATGAGTAGTTAGTTGGGTGGTTGGGCGAGCAACGACGATGAGAGTGAAGATGTGGGAGTGAGATTCAAGTAGTGAAAGAGTGGTGATGAGTGAGTGGTGATGAGTGAGTGGCGATGTGTGAGTGAGGTTGTCGGAGTGAGTGAGGCTCACTGTACGTGGTGGGCGAAAACCACACGGGGAAGGTGTTTACCCACAATACTCCATGGCATCAGCCGCTATCCTCAACTCTATCACGGATCCGGCGGTTCTTGGTGATCGGCATACGATGCCAAGGACCGACGCCGGTGGGCTGGCGCTGCTGCTGCTCCGTGTCTTTCCGCGGCTACGGTCACTGTCACTGTCGCGGTGTTGGTGGTCCGCGTCCGGCTCCCGATCCCGGACCCGGATGACGACGCCCTTTTGCGTCAGGACGAGCGGGTCTCGGAAGGCGATAGGTCGCTTGTCGCCGTAGCCTGGGCATTCTGCGCGTGCGATGATGCATTTTCGGCAGGCGGGGACGGAGGAGTCGCATCGGAGGCGCTTCTTGCGGCAGCGCCAGCATTGAGGGCCCAGGGTCATTGTGGCTCTGGATGAGGAACCCAGTGTTTCTGTAGAGAGTGTGGCGTTGGATGATGGAAGCGTGAGCGGGGGAAAAAGCCTGTGGCTGGTTTGTCTTGAGATTGTATGAGCCGTTGTGCGGAGATTGAACAAGGCAGTGTTTCTCCTGTGCGTTTATTCTATGGTGATGTCTAATTCATTGGTTCGAACGAGGGAAACCGGTAGTGGTCGTGGGGGAATAAGTTCCCCCACTTCAAAAAGATTAGTATTCACGTTTTCGGCATATAGCGACGGTGAATTTGCGCAGAGCGGCGATGTCGGCCCCCGATTAAGCCCAATCAACGGGCCATGGGTTGCCCGAATCGGAAGCGTGCACGGTATCGGCGGTTTGCACAAGACTCTGCTGGCCGACACGGGGACGCGGAGCTGATTGCCTTCGCACGCGGCCGCACTATAATTCGGGGTGTATCTAGTTCACGAGAGCCGAGCATTGTGATCATTGCGGAATGGGACGACAATGAGGGAGGGCACATTCTTGGGGAGCGCGACGTCGTCAGGAATCGACGCCGACGTGAGAAGCTGGCAGGCTGCTATGCGAGAGGAACTTGATCCAGACTCTCATCTATTGACATTCTGCGCTGGAATTACATCTGTGTTTTACCAGACCTGTGACATGGCCGCTCCCGCGTGGATCGTGGTTTGAGACGGCCAGCACAGCCTCGCAATCTTGGTTACAGGTCGATCGAGAGAGTGCCCGTCTAATTTAACCCGCGAGGGAGATTCGAACTTGATCGACGAAACAATGGGGGACGGCGGCGGGTTTCTGTGGCTCTTGCGCATGCCGTGTTTTCCATGATGGAGTGACGCAATATCAACGTAAGTCCAGACTTTAGGATTCCTCAATTCTCTCGCCAGGCAGAAGTCCAGCCCTCAGATGCTGATGGATTCTGATGTTGTGAGTTTCCCGGGGCATGGCGCGGTGGTACCCATCCGCTGGGCGACAATCTTGAGAGCTGACGACTACCCCATTCTTGGCGATCAACTACCCCTGGTATTTGGACCTGGATATTAGAAAGATCTCAGTAGAAAGTGGCGCAGGCTAGGTGAACAATGCGAATTGTATTGTTTTATACCGTACGTACTGCTCAAGGTTATTGTCACTCGTTTACCGAATATCGGTCTAGAGAGGCTGTATGACGCTCTTCATGAGACCTTGACTCGAAGATCATGTACGTACAGAATAGCCCTTGACTACATGCTGTTCTAGGCGATACAGAAGCTGTGAGTCTATGAAGATTCGATTGCTTCGTTTCATTCTCAATACGGGTAGTAGCCATTTCTCACAGTTGGGCATGATTGGATGAGCGAGAAGGAAGGAAAAGTAGCCCGTTGCTGCGAAATTCTAGTCGTTCAAAGGAGGCCTACAAAGTCACAGTATGGTGCTGCCGCCAAAGTGTTGCCAAGCTGCCAATTGTCGTGGCACTTTACTCTTCTCCAGAAAATCACTCTTGTCTTGGGGCTGTGAACTTCACAGCCTCAGCCCCTTGCGTGAGATTGCAACAAGGGAAATTCAGCGGTTCTCATGTTCTAATCTCATTCTTAGTATGAGTACTACGTATTGCTGTCTCGTCGCGTCTGCGATCCCAAAGCTGTGCCCATCACTGAGTTTCGGTTCCGGGCCTAAGCGGGTTTGGAAGACTGCGTGGGTCTAGGATGCCTCTTCCAATTGTACGAATAGGTGAGTTCATGTAAATGTAGAAACAGGAAGGGATAATGAAAGTGCGACACAGAGTCGCCAATTGTATCAATAGTCACCTCTCTTCTAGGTTCTCAACACCTACAAGGTGAAGTTCGGATGATTTGAGATTCAATATCATTCTCGACCAACATCACAGCATTAGTGTTGGTCTGTTGGCTACGCTACTCTGCACTAATAGCGACCGGTACCGGGGCCAGGCTCTAGAGACTGCCACCATGGCATTCACTGCCCACAACCCGGCCCTGCTCGTATGGGCCCTGTTCGTCGGGTTGGGCAAAGACTGGAGCCAATCTCGGCTCGACATTGCCGTATGGTGGTAGTATTGAATCGCTAGGAGGTGATTACTGTGCAGATAGCAGCCGTGCATTCTGTTTTTTTTCATGGAGCTACCGCTACCCCTGAGCTATGCATAGAGTTATGCTTGGGAGCGGGGCCGCGCATTCTGCCCCGATTCAGACCCTTTGTGTTCCTATTCCTTTGAGAGCACGCTGTATCTGTGTATCTGTAAGAATATAAAAGGGGGATAATAGGGCAGAGGAAGCATTGAGAATACTCGTATAGCCGCCGTGCGTGCCGCCCAGCCCAAGACTGATTTGTCCAAGCCGGGCACTCGCAGTGGGTTCAATTGGGTCTCGTCTCGTTTTAAAGGAGGGTCTACCGTCTCTGGGCCGCAGGTTCGCCGCACAAAAAAGACGAAAGAGAGAGGATCAGTCAGTCACCCAGTCATGGGCTATCATGCCAGTCTTTAGGCAACCGAATATCATCACCCTTGGGGGCAGTGCAAGGAAACGAAAACGACCCTTCATTGGAGCGCTGACGGCGCGGACCAACGCTGCTAGAGCCGCCAGAGAGCTGCCAAAGCTGTCAGGGCTGCCAAAGTTGTCACGGACTCACGGTTTGTTCCCCCTCTCAGAGTGCCATCCCTCCTCAGCTTGACAAGGGGGAGGAGAGGTACCGGCATTGGCTGGTCAGGAACGGCCGGCTTGGGCCGTTCTTGGTGCCATGGCGGCCCATGAGCCCCGTATCCCATACGCAGGTACGGCGGCTGGAATGTGATGGGATTGGATGCGTGATCGTCGTGGGCATTCCCATCTCACATCATCTTCAGGTGGAAGAGCCGCCAAGCTGTCACTGGCCAGTGGTTTTGCAGTCTCACCTCTTCTGAGTTCTCCTCCAGGTGCGGTGCTAGCCAGAAGCTAGCCCCTTGGATTCTGACTGACTCCTATTCCAGCCGCCGTTGAACAAGGCGTTGGAGGCGCTGGAACATGGACCAGAATACTAGGGAAAGACATTCTGCTGCCGCTACAGATTTCTCGGTCTGTAGATTGTTTCCGTACGAGCAAAAGCTCGAGCTTGGCTTGAACTGTTTAGGCCCACAACCAAGCTTGCTTCGCCTCCCCAGCTATGCCGATTATGTACAAAGTGCAACGAGGGGGACACGAATAAGGGAGCGGCAATGTCACTGACGGATCGAGGATATGCACAAACCAAACGGGAAATTGAAGCTTGGCAACAAACCACCCTTTTTTTTCGTACCTCTCTGACTCTCGTCGCCAATCTGTCGGGTCTCTCTCTCGTTTAATCTATCCGTAGAAGAGCGACCGTGTGCCCTGTCCCCCCCGTCCGAGTCTCTTTCGATCATGCAACGCTGTTTTCTGTCTTTCCTTTAAACAATTGACGTCGAAGTTCCAGTATAGACAACGAGGAGCTATTCGACGTTGAAGGGGAAGAATCCTCTCACTCGCTTCGCCTCTTCTTCCCCCCCTCCCCACCTTGCCCAGTTGCCCCCTTCCACTCTTTCAGGGGACAACCGTGGAACCTTAATTGGACCCTTTTGAGCTCATCGGATGATTCTGCACCGCGTCCAACTATCGTGAGTAGAGACACTCTCTCGCACACGCACATATCGAGGGGACACACGAGGAAGAAAGAAAGCTTGAAGCTTCAAACGTCGCCATCGTAGAGTGCTTCCAATCGCAAGCTGACGATGCCTGCGACCAGACACCTTTGACGGGCAATAACATTACAAACACCACACATTCGTTACTACTAAACATAAAGCAATAATCATGAAGCTCACCCAAGTCGCTCCTTTTCTCATCTACACTCTCCTCGCCGCCCTCCTCCCCTCCTCCGCATACGCCGACCGCATCCTCCAGTCCTCATCGCTCAACAACTGCCAAAAGAAATCCGACTTCTCCGCCAGCTTGTTCAACGTCGTCGTCTCCGCCAACAATGGCTCCGTCATGGCAAATATCGCCGCCGTCGTCTCGGTGGAAGGCAAGGCTGTCTTTGACGTCGCACTGCGCATCTACGGCTACGACTACCTCAAGATGACGATAGACCCGTGCACCATGGACCTCCAGGGCCTCTGCCCGATGAAGCCTGGCAAGATCGACATGGAGTTCTCTTTCGAAATCGGCGACAAGCTCGACCAGGTGCCCGGTATCGCCTACACCATCCCCGATCTCGACGCCACCATCCGCGCCATCGTCAACCTCACCGAGACGAACACGACCGTCGCCTGCGTTGAGGCAGACTTCTCCAACGGCAAAACCGTCGATCTCGTAGGCGTCAAATGGGCCACCGCCGTCATCGCCGGCCTCGGTCTCGGGTCCGCCGGCATCATCTCCGCCATGGGCCACACCGATGCCGCCGCCCATCTCGCCGCGAACGCCCTCTCTCTGTTCGGATACTTCCAGGCTCAGGCCTTTGTCGGTCTCTCGGGCGTGGATATGCCGCCCATCGTACAGGCTTGGACGCAGAACTTCCAGTGGTCAATGGGTGTCGTCAGATTGGGCTGGATGCAGACGCTTTGCACGTGGTACCAGCGCTCGACGGGCGGTGAGGCTGCACGACTATTCGACTCGTTGAGCGGTATCTCGGTACAGGTCTCGAAACGCTCGCTCGATATTGTCAACAGCATCGGCCCCGTCAAGCGCGGCCTCAACGCCATCGCGAAGCGTGCCAACATCCTCCAGGACAACGGCTCCTACATCGTTTACGGCATCCAGCGCGTGGCCTTCAGGGCAAAGATCGAATCGACGAACCTGTTCCTTACCGGCCTCATCGTCTACTGCTTCTTCATCATTTTCACTGTCCTCATCATCGCCGCGTTCCGATACGGTACCGAAATCGCCGTGAAGCAGGGATGGTCCAAGAAGGATCGCTTCGTCGAGTTCCGTCGCGACTGGAAGACTACCCTCAAGGGCGTCCTGTTCCGCCTCAACCTAATCGGTTTCCCGCAGATCGCCGTTCTGTGCCTGTGGGAGTTCACCCAGATCGACTCGGCTGCCCTCGTCGTCCTGGCCGTCTTCTTCTTCCTTGGCACCCTCTTCACGCTCATCTGGGCCTCGTGGAAGGTCATCCTCATTGCCAAGCAGTCAATTCTCACCCATCAGAACCCCGCGCACGTTCTTTTCTCGAACCCTCAGATCATCAACAAATGGGGCTTTCTCTATGTCCAGTACCGCGCCTCTGCGTACTACTTCATCATCCCGTTTATCGCTTACATCTTCCTGAAATCCGCCGTCATCGCGTTCGGTCAGAAGGCCGGCGTCGCCCAGGCCATCGCCCTCATCGTCATCGAGGCCGGTGCCTTGATCGCCGTCAGCGTCCTCAAGCCCTTCATGGACAAGAGCACAAACTCCTTCAACATCTCAATCTACGCCATCAACTTTATCAACTCCGTCTTCCTCCTCATTTTCACCAACGTATTCGACACCCCCGGCATCGTCGTCGGTGTCGTGGGCGTAATCCTCTTCATCGTCAATGTCATCTTCGCCTTCGTCCTCCTCCTCATGGTCCTCATCTCCAGCATCCTCGTCTTCTGGCGCGTAAAGGGCCAACCGACCGGCACCGGCCCCACGCAGCTCAACGACCCCTCCATCCTCGCAAAGGGCGACCGCACCGAGGGCAAGTCGCTCCTCGACCTCGACGAGGATGACAAGGTGAACCCGTACCGCCGCGAGTCGCTGCGCTACGGCGAAGAGAAGGCAACCGAGAGCGGCATGAGCCTGCACGTGTCCACGTCCACATCGAACCTCAACAGCCGAGGCGATACCCACGAAATGTCATATCTGCCCTCGCCGGGCTCTAGGCCCGCCGTGAGCCCGTCAGTGCCTATGTTCCCCGCCGACCGCTCATTACGGTCTCAAAGTCCCGCCCCGCCGCGGTCACCAGCAGGTGATTTCCCGCCGCCAAGTCCGTTTGGGAACGGATCTGCACGCAGTATCCACGAGTTTCGATCCCAAAACAACAATAGGTTAGTAGCCTTTGCTGAAAACTTACTCAGCCCAGTCTTCAGTCGTTCAATGCTAATATTGTGTCACAGTCCATGGCAGCGCGGTGCTGGATATGATCATTGAGGATTATAGATAGTAAGGGCACACCCGCCAGACGTCCATCTTGTCTCTCTTTCCTTTTTCTTCTCGTTACCGTTTACATCACACTTTTCCGGGGGGCGTTATATTAGAGTCTCATCTGGAAACCTGCATCAGCAAGCGTGCATAGAAAAGAACAACATCTACTTTGTGTAATCGGGCGTACTTGACGAGGTTTCCCCTGGACAGCCACGTCTGACGACTGCCGCGGGATTCATTCGCTCATATGCCTAGACTTGAGAAAGCTTAGGCTAATCAATCGAAAAGGGCCATGAAACAGAAACGTGGTTTTTGAACTCTTGCTGGTGCCATGTTATTGAGTATTCAAGGACCGCGCAGCTCTGACTCCTTATAGTTTCTTCGTGTGGTACTAAACAGGGCACCAGCCAGTCATGGTAGTGGTTGGCATCCACGACAACTTATAAGCTCCTGCTACAGATTTCAGTCGCGATTCAGCGCTTTGAGAAAAACCTCCTAGTAAAAGCTCCGGGAAGAGTGGCATAATGATTTCGTACTGCTTGGCGTGCCATCGTACATGGTGAAGTTGCGTATCTTCTTCAGTGCAGCTTATACCTCTGTTATAGTTATACTAGAGCTTAGGAGACTTTTCTCCGGCTCGACGAGGACGTGACCCGCAATCTCGTCAGTAAAATCCGCTCAATCTGTGATCATTCGCAACCTAAACTCTGTGGTACAATGGCTGCTCCCGCAAATTTCCACATTTTGACCCATTATTTGACGTCACTGTAAATACACGATGCATGCTGCGATAGTGACGCTCGATTTACGCAATACACGTCATGCAACTGTTGTGTTCGACAGAAGCTGAGGAGATCGAGAGGAGCAGTGTTGTCAATAATCTTTAAATGCCATCAACGTCCAATCTGGAAGCAGTCGTGTTCTAGTCCTCGGCTTTACACATTTATAACCACACTACCACACAAAGAACCGGATAATTCACTGTCGCTTCAACTCAACAGTCTCGTCCGTACAAGACCTTATCTTCAATATGCCTCAATACCAGCCTCAGGCCGATACCTTCAGTACGTCATGTTCCAGCTTTGCGACCAAATCCGAATACTGACGATGCATAGAGGACCCTTCCAGTAAGGCTGAGGCGAAGCAGCAGATGGCGGAGCAGCAATACGAGGAGAGAAAAGAGCATTCTAAGAGCGGTGCCAATACGCAGACGGGGCATCACGCAAACATTGTCAAGGAACCTAAGCAAGACTGAAGAAACATTACTCGGGCAATATCAGCACATGTAAAAACAGCTTTATACCTCCCTTTCAACGATCTGTCTTACCCCGGTCTCCTATGCCTACACTACACGCGTTCGCCGTCAGATATAATTGATATTCATGATCAAATGCCCTCACACAGCTGCATTCAACTGACTAGTCGATTACTTGACATCATTCCCAATTCAACTCATATATCATGCTATGTACCTTGAAACTCTCATTTGCCTGGAAGCGAGCCTAGTCCAAGGTCCTTCCTGTAACAGCTACAACAATCCTATTTAGTCTTGGCCCTTTCTACCTAGAACTGATATGGCTCGCAGGATTCATCAATGACTGCATCTTATACGTTGGAGACCAAGTTGTGGTTGTGCCAAGCGTAATCCTACAATCCTTCAAGCACACCTTCCTTGATCAGACAAGCTTCGGGTGAGATCAAGACTTAGGCTCAGGTTGCAACATTCTATAAGTACCTATGCACGTAGGGCTTTGACTTCCTCATCCTTTCGTCAATCAAGGTATCTGCCTTCGACCCAGCCCCCAGTACCTCACTCACCTTCACAAACCCCCTTGCGGAAATTTATCTAGCCCAGCCTTGGCTTCCGCTTGCCGCCCTCTCTCCAAATTCAATATTATACAAAATCTTGCAAGTATGGCTTCCAGGTCATCATCAACTTTTCTGCTCGTCTATCACTAACAGATCAAAAAGCTCAACGGTCAATATGGTGAAGATCAGCCTTGCTCTTATTTTAGCTGCGGCATCGGCTGCTCTCGCCGCTCCTGATGCTATTGGCGCTCGTCAAGCCGCGGGATGTCAGCCTTCCGAGACCGTTTGCCGTGATGGCTGGGCGTGGTGTTGCAGTGGCTCAACTTGCTACGAGTTCGCTCCTCCTACGGCCTGCTAGGAGAATATGACTACTTGTTGAGATGAGATGTAAAAACCAGATAGAATAGAGCGGATTACATTGAGTGGAATCTCATCTGAGGATGTCATTGAGACCGGGTAAATTGAAACCCCTACACTTAGATCGAATACAACCTCCTCAATTGTATTGATGCCCGAAATGCCATCAATTCCGATTGTAGCCATAAGTACAAGTAAACAGGATAGCTCATTAGTCTTCCTTCATCATGATACGGCATCGCATTTGCATGGATCATATTAGCCTGCGTCTCGAAACTACACATGACAGACGCCACAAAGCGTGTAAATAATTACATGATACAAGAAACATATGTCGGCCAACGAATTTCCATCATACATTGCCAACTCACACAACGGGTTTCTGAGCCATGAAGACGTTCGCTGGAAAAATGCCGCCCTGCTCAGTCATCTCCTTTGTGTATCTCTCGTCCAGGTTGGAATAGATTACCGGATCCATGTCGGGAACCAACACTACATTTGGTTAGTGAGGGCCGGCTTACGGCAAAGACATCTCGCTTCTGGTCAACTCACTTTGGGCGTTCCTGGCGACAAGCGGAATCGTGTGCATGAAGGGCTCGATGGAAGATTTGACGGCGGCCTCATCGCCATGCACTTTACCAATCCCACACTCCACTCGCTCGACCTTGACGTTCTGGAGACCGGCCATCTTCATTGCCTCTGGAATTTTGGACGCGTATTTGCGATCCATTCCCTGCTTCTCAAACATGGTCCCAATGATGTGAATGAGATCCTTCAGTGACTGGGGCTGGTTCGGCTGGCCTGGACTGATATCCAGCTCCATAATCTGCAGCCAGCCTCCCGGAGCCAACGTATCTTGCATCAGTTAGACTAGAACACGCGCAATCCATCAAGCCGCATCCCGAACCAACTACAACCTACATACGGGTACTTACCGGCGAGGTTTGCCACCGCCTGCTCGACGCCGGACCGGTGGGCGCTGTGGAGAACATTGCGAACGTGGGTCAGATCGAACTGGCCTTTGAGATCCCCGGCCGGTGGATCGCAGACGTCGTGGGTTACGTAGTGGATGTTGCCCTGAGCTGACGTGGGCAGGAAAATGGTTGAAACGTCGGCGCCGACCATGTGCGCGGACGATGGAACCTGTGTCTGCAGGTCCCGTAGCAATGTTCCTGTGATAGCGCATGTTAGAAGTCCCATTTCCACAGTGCAGTCGAAGATTGAGATACCGTCAGCGCAGCCCATGTCGAGAATCTTGAGCCCGTTCTTCGTGGTATCCACCGGTGCGAAAACGATCTTATCTTTGAGGCACATCTGGATCCAACGATGCTGGACTTGAAGGCGCGTCAGCTCGGCTTGGACATCGCCGACCATGGCTAGGTACTGGTTGTCGGCTTGGCCATTTTGTCCTGGTTGGCTATTCATGTTGGATCTAGATCGTCGGCGTATTACTATGGTGAATACTATGGTAAATAATTGATTGTGATGTTATTCACCCTGAAGCCATCCAGAGCCACACGGAGGTCAGGATGATTAAATGCAATCCCATCGTCCCATCTTCAACCGATCACAAGCCCTCTAGTGTCTGCTGAGCATAGGTGATCGGAAAATTCAACAAGCAGGCAAGCTCTTCATCTAGACTGAAGTCTAAAGGCTACTGGTATTCTAGAAGGCGTTTGTAAAGGTGGTATAAGATCTAGATTTCGTGGACTTCCGCATTTGGCTCACTCCGAAGTATGCATAATGTCTAGAAGGCTTCGGCATGAACTCGAGTCACTAACTGACAGGTCGACTCAGCAACAAGTGAAGGCTAATTCTTTGCTTACAGCTGAAAGAATCAACAAAAATTGTAAAGGCCGAACAGGCGAGCTTCGCGTATTTTTCGCGTGACGATTGCGATAGCGATAGCGATGTTGGACACGTCAAGTTACAGATATCACGAACACGAAGAGATCCGATAATATCAGTAATATTCAGTCTCCAATGACGAGTGCGGCTGGAAAAACTCATGTGATTCGAAAGTGGCGGTTGATAGATGTATGCAGGGCGGGTGACGGCGTCGATGTGTTCTGGAACTTGACGTGAGGGAGGGTAGGGACGGAGTTGCGGGCTCTAGGTGCGGGCCATCGCTCATGTTTGCTGCTCCGAGACAACACAATTAAACATGTGTCTGCCATATTGGGCCACGCAGCAGACTACAACCAGTCGCAAGTTGTACATAGGCAAAACGTGGAGAACTGCCGAGGTTTGTTTCTTCTAGTACGGGTACGGAGCTGATACCAAATGGTTGGATGGATGGATGATTGAAGTTTTGTATCCGTAATTGACTTCGGGAATAAAGGCCCGCCCGGCGTGCTCCCACTCGGGACCCCGTGGGCCGTCCGGTGTCCCGCGGCGAAAATTAGGAACAAGAATGACTGAAGACTCGTACATATCGATGTCATTCTTCGGACGATCCAAGTAAAGTAGTTTCTTCAAGGGCCTCTGATGCAACTCAACTCGATGCCGTGATTTTGGAGGGGGGAAACAGATGGGTTACAACACTGTGTCACATCGGCCGAGCCAAGCGGGCGATCCATGCTCCTGCGCCGTGCGTATCTGCGTATACTTGAAACAGTTAGGCCCAATCTTGAGTTAAATAAGCAAAGTCACGCCATCCCTGGGCAACGCGCAAAGAGCCCAGGGTTGCGGAGTGCAACACCATAGTCTCCAGTGGGAGATAGGCACATCATTGATGATAGGAAGGGAGGCAGGGCCAAAGAGGCACAGCTGTAGGCCAAGCAAACATTCACTGTAGGGCTGTTTCCATGTCTCTTTTGCAAATCTCTCTGTGCATGGCGAGCTTCCTTAAGCGAGTCAGTCTAGCTGATCCCGCTCACACCTTCCTGCAATGACCGTCCGAAGATCCGAATCTCTCATGCTCATTGGCTCCACTTCAAGACAGTCAAGGTTTGATGATTGATTAAGACTGTCACAATCTTACAGAGTACAGACACAGAACACTCACACAGTCACATCAGTCCGTGGCCGTTGGTGTGCCGTGCCGTGCCGGGCCTTTTTAATAAGCCTCGGGGACCCCTCATCCCACCATCGTCAAAGTGTTTCGAGTTCCTGTGTTCGTGTCCTTCAGTCCCTACGACATCGACGAGAGTGTTCGGTTGAGCTGTCCCGCCTCGCCTTCGAGTTGACCTCGACAAACATACACATCCATTCCTTTTGAAAAGACCGCGAGAACGAGAAGAACTCGTCGCAATATTCTACAGACAAGATGAAGACATCCATCGCTTACATCATCGCCGCGGCCCTCTTCGGAGCTACGCAGGCCGCCATCACCCCGATGAACAACATCATTCGCCACGAGTACAACCTCAACGCTAGAGCCGGTGTTCACGGCAACATTGAGAGAGACGAGCCCGCCGTTGCCCCCGAGGGCGATGTTCTGCAGCCCATTGTCTAAAAAACCGGCGCTTCTATCTAAACGACACACCAAACACGAGCAATCAACGTCACCCCGTTTTCGACTGTCAGACACGGGACCGAGACGGTTCACTTTCTACCCCGCGGCTCCGGCCCCCAAACTTTGAGGGCCTTACACCACGAACAACTTTCAACTTCAATTCTACACATGCTTCCAGACATGCGACCTAGGGTACAGCGACGAGGAGTTTAGGCGGAGACCAAGACAGGAAGTGGGCGTTTGGTGGATTCTTTTTGACGGGTGTGGAAAACACTTGGAGGACGGGAGCAAGACCAAGGGATTGGGATGACTTTGGGCTGGCAATGATATTCCAAGGCGAGGAGAGGAGAGCGCTGGCTCAACGCATTGAAGCCACGATGAATGCAAACTTTTCAAGTTAAACCCCTACTTCTCTGCGTGCACATTTTGATGATCCTTCGACCCCACGGGCTCGGTAATGAGGCAGTCCATCACCTGGTGAACTCCCACGTGTAGTTCCACACCTGACGCCCATCAACGATAAGCTCATAGTCTACCGTCCATCGGCCCTCCTCCGACGTGTCAAACGACACCCGACCAAACTTTGAATTCCCCCACGGGTGCGAATACACAGAGACGTCCGTGTCCTCAATCTGCCTATGGAACCGATCGAAGGGTTCATAGAACTGGTTCAAGGGCGAGGTGGAAAATTCAATCACGGACTTACCACCCTTGTCGCTAGTGGGCGGAAAGATCGTCGTCGCGTGCTCATGCCGGTCCTAGTCAAAGAAAGAAGCAAAAAATTAGCTCAAGCAAACTATTGAAATTTTTGGCAAGGTCGATCAAACAGAGACCAACTTACCCCACTTAGGATGATAACTCCGTCTGTTTGTCTCATCATCTCCAAGATCATGTCTCTCTCCCACAGATATCCCGACCAGCTATCGGCCGAATCAGGACCCCTCCAATTTCGCGTGAACGGGACGCTGCTGACAACTACTTTCCACGAATTTTCTGTTTCAAGCCACTCTCGCAGGTCCTCTAGCTGCGCCACGCCAAGCATCGTCTTCTCAGGCCCGTCCGTCATGTTTTCAGCCGATCGATAGCGCCGCGTGTCTAGGACGAAAAACGAAACGTCGCCCCGTCGGAAGGTGTAGTGCGTTTTGCCGACGCCATACTGCGAGGGGGGATTCGCATGCCCTTGATAAGACCAATATGGCCTCATGGCGGACTGGTAGAGACCTGTCTCGTTCGCCGCCCAGTCGTTGATGATTTCGTGGTCGTCGTAAACGTGCAGCCACGGCGTAGATCGGAGCGCGGGTGACCAGCTGGGCGAAGCATAGACTTGGCGGTATGCCGTGGTGTAGTGCTCTGGCGTCCAGCCGAGGGCCACTGGCAGGTCGATGTAGATGAAGTCGCCTAGGAAGAGCATCATGTCTGTCTGGTTTGCCGAGACATGCTGGTCCAAGTACTCCAATCCTTTGATGCGCAAGCCATGATTCAAGGGGTTGTAAGGGTAGAAAGGCTTGATGCAACTTGTGGAGATGAGACTCCATCGCTTTGGTGAGAGGGCTGCTGTCCTGAAGGAACCGGCATGGCTGGCATTCGTGGTGTAGGTGTACGGCGTATCTGGCTTCAGCCCGTCAAGCAGAAAGGTCCCCGTGTGATCATTGGAATCAGCGATGGCGATTGTCTGCGACATGGCAACCTGACCACTCTTATTGAAAGGCGCCCAACTGATCTTGACGTAATTTGTTGGGAGAGCTGGCGCTCTTACTACGACGCGCGCCGTACTTTCATCCACATAGCCCATTCGAGAGAAGGAGAGATGATGACTCTGGTGGAGTACGCTTCCTCTGTAGATGAAGTCCCATACGGATCCGAGTGATAGGATATTCAGTAGAACTGTGACCAGGGATGTAACCGGCGATGACCGGTCAACCCAACCCAAGAGCAGAAGCAGCCATGGGCGATGTTGCCCAGAGGCCCGCCTCGAATTGGGCAACAGAAGCCTAGTAACCAGAGACAATGCGTACAACGCGCAACTGCCATAGATACGATTGAGATATCTCTTCCCGAGAGGATGCTACTTGATTGTTAGAATAAGGCTCATCGATTCCCAAAAAGGTAAGCCATGGGGTATGACAAGACTCACGAATCTTATGAACAGGATTGTCATCAACCTAAGGCTGAGAGTTGCCACTGCCAAAATGGCGTCTAAGACACCAGTGAGAACCATATTCAAGTCCAAGCTCTGAGACAATGGCGAGTTTGCTAGGTTGATGAGACTCGAGAGGAGGTGTGTTCCAAAGCCTCCCAAAACTCACGAGACCATGCACCGAGTTTGAATTGACAATCGACCCCCAAACATTGACAAAGACGAACATCCAAGAAAGGGCGCTCAAGATTAAACTTTTCGCCTATGCAATTCATGGACCCGGAACCACGGCCATGGCACTCAAATTGCGCTTGAAGGATGAACACTTTCCCCTTCACCACGTAGCGTACTTCCAATTATCAACACACGTGCAATGCCATTACTCTCACTCTTCGTCAGAAACAAGCAACCTTGTTATGGACCCTTCAAGCCGTGATCCCGAGTCAAGTACATTTTTTTAACCTGGAAAACTTCCTTATCACTTCCCGGACGAGCAGAGTCGCCTCCGGGAGCAAGACCGGTGGGCCGCGGCATCGGGACCCCACTCCGATGGACGTCTAAGACGATCGCATTCCACCACGTGGGCGTCCGAGGCCCGTGGGATGACCATTTTTTCTCCCGAAGGCGGAGATCCACCGGGAGGAAAACATGACGGCCAAGCTCCGACCACAAACTTTACAGGCTAGTCAAAGCTTGTTCCTACGGCGTCAGGAACATAAGGTAGGCAGAGAAAATAACTTGATTAAGGTGAGGCAACTACAACCTATTCCTTCAGCGAACACCCGACGGCTCCCGCATGTCGGACATCTTCCGGGTGTCTTGGCCGTCGGCCCCGATCTCGACTGTGGTGTTCATTCCGGGGCACGTGGTTCAGACAGCGTATCGAATGGTTGAGGGAACCGCTACCTTTCTCCTTAATGCCGATAGTTCGGCAAAATACTCTTTGACGTAAGAAGGCCTAGACGAAGGATTGCAACAGCTTGAGTTTTCGCGTGGATGGCTTTTTGACCCATACGCGTCCCAAGAAGTTGGTCGGAAACAAGGACTCCACGTGTTAATTTGCGACGCCTTCGGAATAAGCGTACATCATGCATCCGCAGTACTTATAGCTAGGCAGATCATACTCGGGAGATGTTTTTGTAGCAACACATTTTAAGTCGTTGTCGACCACAAAGTCATCCGACATGGAGTCCACGCCGGGTTCAGTATTCGATACGGTTGATGATGCTTTCAACAAAGATGCCGGAGTCATGATGTCTTCTCAAAGTGACGACGCGTCATCTCGAGAACCTACTTCTCCTACCAGAACCGCTGGGAAGCTCGACGTGCTAGTTCAAGGTGTCGCCTTGTTTTCCGATGGCTACAACATTCAGATCATTGGATACATGAACACCGTTCTGGCTAAGCTGTGAGTCACGCATATGAGCGATAGTCATATCGTTGTTCGGAAAGTTTGACTTACAAGTGTCAACAGTTATCCGAAGCAGATGACGAATGCTGTGAAGACAAGACTTTCCAATTCCATCCTTATTGGCGACATCTTTGGCATGCTCATCTTTGGGCTTTGCATTGACAAGTTTGGTCGGCGAGTCGGAATCATTCTGACTACTCTCTTCTTGGTTTTGGTATGTCCGCACCTTCCATATGATCGGTCATGAAAACGTTTCCCCGATGAAAGCTGTGACTGATAGCCAACCAGGGTATCGTCATTGCTACTGCTGCTCATGGAACTTCCATTGAGGGTATGTTCTGGATGATGGTCATCGGTCGTGGCGTTGCGGGTGTCGGTGCTGGTAAGCAACCTTAGCTGACCGTGACGGGAGCTTGAAGACTGACAGCAATGCAGGAGGAGAGTACACAGTCTGCACCTCGCAGGCTCTGGAGTGTGCCGACAGCACAGAGGCCATGCGTAGGAGGCGCGGAATGCTCGTCGCAGTTTCCACAAACGCCGCAATCATCTCTGGTTTCGTCGGCTCTAGTATCGTCTCTTTGATTGTCATTGCGGCGTACAATGGTCAAGCCAGTGACGGCATTTGGCGCATTTGCTTCGGAATCGGAATCTTCGTTAGTCAACCCATATCGAAGGGACTTTTACCTTGCAAAGAATATGAACGGAAACTGACCATCTTCTTAGCTTCCCTTGGCAATCTTCTTCTTCCGCCTGCGCCTCGTCGATTCACAGCAGTACCAGAAGCACGCCATTCAGCGCAACATTCCGTATCGTCTCGCCATCAAGTTCTACTGGAAACCACTCCTCGGATGCTGCAGCGCATGGTTCCTCTACGACGCCGTCGTATACCCCTTTAATCTTCTCGCACCAACCCTCGTATCCGGCTTCTCCGCTCAACAGACAATGATCCAGTCAATCGGCTGGTCTGCCATCATCAACGCTTTTGCCCTCCCCGGCGCCTTCATCGGCGCGCTACTGATGGACCGCATCGGCCGCCGCCAGACCTACGCTCTCGGCTGGGCCATCGTCTGCGTCTTCGGATTCGCCATTGGCGGCAGCATGATCCAGCTGAACAACGTCTTCCCGCTCTTCGTCACCCTATACGGCCTCTTCCAAACCTTTTTATCTGTTGGGCCCGGAGACTGCAACTTCTTGGTCTCGAGCGAGTCCTTTCCCACACCGCTTAGAGGTCATTTCCTCGGGTTTGCTGCCGCCGTAGGCAAGGCAGGCGCTGCTATTGGCACGACTGCGCTGAGTGCGGCACTTGCAAGCTTTGATGAGAAGTTGAAAGGACAGCAGGCAATCTTCCTCATCGGAAGTGGCATTTCGGTCGTAGGTACTCTGTGCGTGTGGTTCCTGATCCCCGACGTAAGTTGCCATCCGTGATCACTTTCATCTCTTCTATTGGATCTATCTAACATTGAACCGTTCGCTAGGCTCCGAAGCATCTGGAAGACGAAGACGTTCGTTTCAAGAAGTATCTTGAAGCTAACGGCTATGATACGAGCCAAATGGGCCTCAAAGCGTAGTCTCTGGTGTTGATTCTGGTGCTTGAGGTATTTTGGGACTATAAAAGGTGCCCGGCTTATATCAAAAAAAAAATTGAACTTTTACCTCTCAATTCACTGCGAAGTAGCTCATATAGTATGTTAGTACCGTATACTGGTTCACTCACTTGAGAAGACAGTTTGATTGCAAGCCTTGCAGTTTGTTGCTAGTGACTCAGTTTTACATGGTTCTGAAAGTCCCCTCTATGGTCAGGGCGATGAAGCCTTGATTCGATCCCAGTTCGACTGCTGGACAATCTTCTCTTAGCACGTCTTTTGTGACAACGATCTGCTGGATTTCCATGCAAGTTCAACAATAGACGCACTCGGAGGTCTAGAGACGTTGACAAGCTTCTCTCATGAGTACTTTAGGCATCGAACCCTTGATCTTGGCCAATGCAACTCAGCCAATGACACCACAAGTTTCTGCATTTTGGTGGGTAACACCGTTCGATACGATCGGCGCAATGAAGCTAGCCACGGGAATGGCTTCCGTGGTAAGATTAGCGGCGTGGACAAGAGGCATGGGGAAGCTGCATTAGCTTGCGGAGGACCGCCAGCGGCCGCCATCATCTATGGAAGATACAGGGGCAGAAAACCTCTGTAAGCGAGACGTAGATCCGTCAGCAAAAAGACAAGAAAATGATGATGCCTCGATTCATCGCACTTTTAGTTCAGTCCTTCTTTCACCATTTCACAAAGATGCGTTCTCTGCTGGCGGTAACGAGCTTGGCCATCCTGGCGTTGAGCGACAGTTATGCAACTGCATCGTCAACAGCCAAAGGCAATGCCACAGACTCGCACACAGTGCCGACCTCGAACGGACTGATTACCGGCCACCCGGCATCAAACAGCTCCGATGTTCTCGAGTTTCTCGGTATTCCCTATGCGAAACCTCCAGTCGCCGACCTACGATTTGCTCCACCGCAGAGATTCAGAGGCAATGGGTCATTTGAAGCATCTCACTTCGGCTTCGACTGCCCACTTTCGCCCTCTCGCCAAGTCGACTACCCGAACATGACAGCCCAAGCGCAGCGCATCATTGGATACTTCGCTTCTGCTGCCGGGACGCCTCAAAGCGAGGACTGCTTGACGTTGAACATCTGGACAAAGCCGACAGCCAAAGCTCTCACCGCTACCAAACCAGTCATTGTCTTCTTCTACGGTGGACGTAAGTGACCAAGATCTGTAATGCTCCGAGTCTTGCATGTTACTAACAGGAACCCGTAGGTTTTGCCATTGGCAACACAAACAGCCCTTTCTACAATGGCAAGTACTTTGCAGATGCACAGGATGTCGTCGTAGTCACAGTCAACTACCGTATCAACATCTTCGGGTTCCCGGGTGCCCCAGGCCAGCCTCAGAATCTCGGCTTGAGAGACCAACGCGCCGCCCTGGAATGGATCCGCGACAACGTTGCCGGCTTCGGCGGTGACCCGACAAAGATCACCATCGCGGGCCAATCCTCCGGTGGCGTCGCCGTGGACTACTGGTCGTACGCTTACGTCAAGGATCCCATTGTCAACGGCCTCATCGCAACATCTGGTAATGCCTTTAGTTTCCCGCTCAACAGCCCAAATGTGACTGTGCGGAACTGGAACACCGTCGTGGCGGCTGTGAACTGCACTAATACCACCGATTCTATGGCATGCATGAGAAGTCGGAAGTGGGAGGATCTCAAAGCTGCAGCCGCTGCCATCAGGCCGGCGTCTTCCAGCAGTGTTCTTCGAGGGATCCCGCCATTTTACCCTTCGATTGATAATAAGATTGTTTTCCCCGACTACGTCTCCTTGATGCAATCTGGCAGGTTCGCCAAACTAGTGAGTACTAATCTAGCATCTTACACTTCCATCCGATCTCGTGCCTGAAGACAGTAGCTGACGCTCCAGCTACAGCCGATTCTTTTTGGAAACAACCACAACGAAGATGGATATTATAGAATTCCCGCATACGGCAACGGTATTATCCCGACTCAGGCGCAAGTTGAATCATTTCTACTGGAATCCTTCACTTGTCCGAACTCCCACCAGGGTCAGGCTCGCTTGGACAATAATGTCCCGGCGTGGGTCTACCGCTACTTTGGAGATTGGGATAACACAAGACTCTTCCCGACAAGCGGTGCGTATCATGGTGTGGACTTGCACATGATATTCGGCGCTTCAGGGGATGTGAGTGGAATTCCGCCGTCCGGTCCGCAGAAGGAAACCACTGCACTCATGCAGAGCGCATGGGCGGCCTTCGCCAAAGATCCGGCGGATGGCTTGAGTTCGGTCCTCGGATGGCCAAGGTATGATCCAGAGGAGGAATCACTGGTTCTCTTGGCGGTTGACAACAATCCTGAGCCACAGTTCGTCAAGCCCAGCACGTTCGATGCGCCGTGTTCTACAATTACCTTGGGATCGTTGGGAACTGCGGTACCCTCTTCATAAGTTTTGATCACCAAATGTGTAAGGCAATGAACTGTATTGGTAGCACTGGCCATTCAGACAAGTATAGTGTGGTTTGGTTGTAGTCGTGGTCCAAAATGATCAGACATTGAAATTATTCAACTTGCTACCTCTAATATCTGAGTGCCGTCTTGATTGGACCCCTCAGTAATGACATCTGGCTTCCCATCTTTCCATGCATCTCCCTCCTGAAGTCTACCGTGATCTATCACTCTACTCAGTAGACGTAGAAGTTAGAGGCGTTGGGGTCAGCCTCTCTCTTCTTGCGGTTGGTGCGCATCAAAGCCAACTTCATTCCCCAAGCGCAAATGACAACTCCGATAGAGAACCCGATGCTGGCAAGCATGGCGGTTAAGAACCGAGGCTTGTCAGAGTCTGGCCAGAGATAGGGGGTGTAGATGCTAGCTGCGTTTCCGAGCGTATTGGCCATGGCAATGGCAACTGCCTTCTTTTCGTCGGTTTGACCAAGAACGGACGAGGTCCAGCCAAGAATCAAATTGTTCACCTGTTTATCGTTTAGTTTCATGTGCAGGAAAGACTGAGCCAACGTCAACTTACACCATATGTGGCTCCAACAAACAGCATGATACCTATTGAACAGCATTAGCATCGATAGTGGAGTTGGGATGTCAGGGAAAAAGTTCAGGGCTTCTTACCTGTGTAACGAACTCCCATGTTGAGGGATGAAACGCCCATGACAAAACCAATACAAACGATAAGCTTGCTAATAGTAATGTGCCACGTGCGCTCGTTGTACTTTCCAGATGACCAAGGGACCAAAACGGAGAAGAAGGCGGAGAAGACGTAGGGCGGGCAGGTCAGCACGAGACTGACGGTAGTGTTGTAACCAAGTGTCTTGACAACAGTCTGCATGCCAAATGTTAGCCCGAGGTTCGTGAGAAGCAGTAGGTTTCTTGAAGAAAGGAAGCACATACGGGCAAAAAGTTCTTGAACCCGTTCGCTGAGAGATGAAGGTTGTCCATGAGACAGAAGACCCATGTCCGCCAATCAGTGCAGGCCTCTCGAAGACCCGTCCAGACGCTGGTACCCTCGCGACGGTCTGTGGTATCGTTGTAGATTCGGGTGTGCGCGAGCTGGCGCTCCTCCTCGGTGAGCCAGCGGGTCTTGAGGGGGCTGTCGGGCAAGAGGAAGAAGGCGAGAATGGCGACGAGGATGGAGACGGCTCCTTGGATGATGAAGAGCCTGCATTAGAAAAAGTCAGCCAATTACTCTTCAAAAGACCACCTCCGTTGGTGTGAAAAAGGAAATGAATGTGCAAGAAGAAGCTTACCACTGCCATCCAGAAAGACCTTTCACGCCTTGCATTCCCGAGAAAATGGGAGCTGCAATGAGACCAGAGAAAGCACTTGCGGCCATGTTGCCAGTATAGAAGATAGCCATGCGGGTTGAAACCTCCTTCCTGGTATAGAACATGCTAAGCATGTAAAGAGCACCGGGGTAGAACTGCCATTTGACGTTAGGAAGCAGCTTTATATCGAGGATTCAAGTGCTTTCTTACCGGCGCTTCGGTGACTCCGAGCAGAAAGCGGCAACCCAGCATCGTCCCGAAGTCATGGCACTTGTAGGTCAATAGACTCACAATAGACCAAGCCATCATGAAACCTTGAGATTGCTCCAGTAAGTAATATTTCCGCTCGTTGTATATCGAGCAACTTACCAGCCATGTAGTACGAGGGACGAACCCGGTTGAGGATCATGTTGGAAGGAACTTGGCCGCAAAGGTATCCGACGAAAAGGATGGAAACGCAGGTATTGTACTGATTGCCTTTGAGGCCCAGGTCGGTGTCCAAATCATTGAGTTTGCCATTAATCATCGCATTTCTGTCGAGAAAGTTGAGGAAGTACATCAACCATAGAATAGGCTGTTGATCTTCCGTTAGACTTGTGCCGTCTTAGAGAGGAAGGTGCGATGTTTGTGGCATACCAGAATGTACCAGTCAATCTTCTTCACTAGAGCGATCTCTTTCGGGTCTGTCTTTGTGTGGGCACCGAACTCGTCTACTTTCTCAATCACGGGCTGCTTCATAAGAGCAGGGTCGTCGGTAGTCAAGACGTGTTCCATCTGGTTGACCGCAACCTTCTCCTGTGAAGAGACAGGTCTCTCGCCATGTGCGTTGTGGGACATTGTTGTCTTTTTGTTGGAAACGTACCCGCTCTCGAAGAGGAAAGAGAAAAGTTGCTGAAGAAGCAGTGCGGAGCAGTTGGGGAAAGAATTTGAGGTTGGACAAATTTCCGGCCGGCGATCCTGCTTTAAGGTTTGGATGTGAAGGCTGGCAGTCCTCTGAGTCCACGAGTTGAAGACGCAACGTTGGACCAAGGTCCGAAGAAGCACAGATATATACTTTCAAACCCCAGCTCTTAATTACAATCCTCGTTCGACCGGCAAGCCGTTCGCAGCCATCTCCTCGGGTCAACAAGCGCGGAGCCAGATGAGCATAATCGGTGGAGAAACTACTTGAGTCCCCCATGGGGTAAATGGGGTACGACGGCTTTTCCGCGAAGTGCGAGATGCGGAGTGCGGGGAAAGGAAAGCAGGCCAAGACTTCTGAAAAGTTGTTCACATCCCGAACCAGGGCTCGCATATTTAGTCTGGAGACGCCCCTTTCAAGTCTCGGCGGACGGGGACTAAAGTTGATTAGCACCTTGGCCTGCCTCTCAGGCTTCTGGGCTCCCGTAGAGCCAAGGTCAAAAGCCAATGTTCATTCATACAGCCCCGAATGCCTCTCTTTGCTTCACGACCATGTAGCTCTCCCTAGATCCCGAATCATTGTGCGCAGATGTCGTTCAACGCTGTCAGAGAACTGCTTATTGACTAGGAAGCCGAAACACGTTCAAGGCTTGCCTTCCAGTCATCACAATCACCAGAGATCTATGACTGAAGATCGGTACTCACCGCAACCTGTGCGCGATAACGCGCCCGCCATAGTGGTCCCCTGTCGGTCCCTGCCACCCAACTCATAAAAGCTTGGCGTTGATGGCGTCGAGAGACATGTTTTCCATAGCACCCCCATGCGCCTCTGCCAAATGCCAAGGTCATCACGGAAAAGCCATGTACGGAAAAGCCACGAGAAGCACGGAAATGGTTCACAAATATCAACTTCGTCGTATGAGAATGTTGGTCGTCAACTACCAGCTTCACGACGCTGGTCAGGCAATCAGCAGATGAGGTTTATCCCAATGTTTATGGTTCCATCGGAAAACCCCACAACGCCACAGCAGTTGGGATCCGGGAACGAATGGGAACGCACCCATCCGTGGCCCTGACCATGGTGCTCATCCAGAGTCTCAGTCATCTGAGTTCCCGCAGCTCGCCGTGCGCTCGGAACATCTTTACTTGGAGTTACCATGCAGACGGCTGACCCACGAGCATTGGCCCCTCAATCTTCTGCATTCAACAGAGTGATACTGATTAAGTGCTGAAGTGACAATAGCCGGCCCAGCACGCTGCAGCTCTCGTAATCTCTTCCATCCGTGTTCATTTCCGCATTACTCCGGACCTCTAGACCTGAACGCACGCTTTGGGTATCGGCCCTCCATTCATGCCATAGGGAGCGGTGTTGCATGGACAATATTCCAGGGCGTATCGTGTGACCCCTGTTCACCAACCATTGAGATGAGGTTACAGCAGGAAGAGACCCAGCATGCCACCCCGTATTATCACAGATCCGTAAGAGCTCTGCGTCTCTGTGGCAGATGCTTTTGTCCCTCAGCAAACTTTTACGTATTTCGCAATAGCTTATGTCCAAGAAGAAGAGAGCGCGAGCATACGCCATTACTGCTGAAGAGGCATCAAGTACCTAAGGGCATCAGCGCCAGTGAAATGCGAGTTGTGATCATTTGAGAGATAGCATTACAAGATCGTAGGCAGGAAGAGGCATACTCGAACTAATCTGCCACTACCTATTCTCGAAGAAGTCTTGGGATCTACCCGGAATGGAGCGAACATCAGTTGGCAAACGCCTGATTACAATGGTTTCTTGTCCATCTGGCTGGCTTGAGGTAGCCTCGATACCAGACTCTTGCAGGTGGGGGATTGGCGCCCGCTAAGCTCAAGACATTGTAACAGGATGTTTTCATACTGCCTTAGGACGTGCGTCAAGTACACAAAAGTCAGAAGGTATATGCCAATTACCGAGCAGTTGGAACCGCTAATGCACTGACTTGGCCTCGTAGCCGAGCCGCACCACTTCATCCGGCGACGTTTCGGAAAAGCACATCACAAGTCTAGCCACCGCCAGTAACACCAGTTGCCACCTCCTGAATTTTCCGAAGCTGCCGCAAGCACTCACAAAAATTTGAAGTGGTTCGCATCAGACTTGAAAGTGATTTGAGCAATGTCACAGCCTGATAGAACTGGAGATTAGGATGAAAAGTTGCTTCCATGAGGGAATAAGAGGTTTGCTGCCCTCAGGCTTGTCCACCGAGATACACGACGTGGGGTGGCTCAACCTCTGGCACCTCTAGGCCATGATCCCAAGACAGCCTTGAAAGCTTTGTGAAAAAGTGCTGTCTTTATGTAGGTAATGTTTGAGAAACGAAACAGTCACGTCTAGACATTTGACACCTTGGCTTCTTTCACCGTTTATTGAGTCTCGGGAAAATTACGTGATCTCGGACAATGAAACCATCATCTTCGTACGCATTGATCAGCGCACAACGCGCTGATCTGTAATCCTGAATATTTTTTTTGTCTTGGTGGCCAATCCTAGGTCTAAGAAAAAGCTTTGCTTGAGAATTCCTGAGGATTTCGTCAAATATCTACATATTTGTAAGGACATAGGCCTCGTCGACTGACTCAACTCGTCCTATCGTCCTGTCATATGCAGCGTGTGTCTCTCCTTTGCTCCTATAAAGACTTTGATGCTTGTCGACACTGCTTACTTTCTCATGAGAATCTGATGCTCAATAACTGGCCTGACTGTCTAGCTTATTCGAGAGTGCGAAAACGGCCTGTATGACTGACGATGCAGACTTGCGCAAGGAGCCTTTGCCTTTGCTGGTGGCCGAGCAAGATCTACTTTGAACCATGAAAGACACTCTTATACGCAGGAGCGTAGTGAGTGCTATAAAACATAATCAACGGCCTCATGCGAACGTTCGTCGGCCTTACCATCGCACGCGACCTTGCCGGAGTAGGGGACGCATGGGCTGGTGCTTTCGGCTTCGTTTGGAAGTAGGTAGGTTGGTGTCTTTGATTCCAGTGAGAAGCCTGCTGACACTATCTTTCACCCACCCCCTGCGGTAGTCTGGGATGAGCCTCACAAGTACTCAATTCTCATCACCTCAATAACTTGATTGCCTTTGTATTATGGGAGCGAAACTTGGCAAAATACCTATCATGCCATCCAATATATGGAAGGCGCCGTTGTTCGTGAAACTAATCACTGCGTTGATCCTCTTCTTCATGCCACCCGGAGTTTTTTTGTGGTACAGATTTGTGTGGCTGATCACGGTTCGGAACTGGACGCCCCTCTTCTCATCAGCTGCACTTATACCATTCATAGTTCAGGCACCCTGACGGACATTCTTTCAGCTTGACTGAATTCTAGCGCATACTAGCTCGGGATGTCTTGGCCATCGACGCATTATCCGTCATTGTCTGGACAAGACTGGCGACGGTGTCAGAAAGGCAGTCCTACTGGCCTCAGCTACCCCTTGGCAACAATCTTGACGACATCTTGCCCACTTCATCTTCCTCGCTGACTTTGAATTCGTTTGGGCAGAGCTGATGAGAAGAACGGCCGGGAACGGAGCCGGAGGTTAGGAGCAACAATGCAGTGGAGCCGAAGCCAACGGTCTGGTGATACTCTTTTTGTGCAGGAAACTACTTTTGAATCTCATAAACTCCGTCTTTCTCGACATATGCTTCGGTCCATATCCAGTTGGGGGGGCCGATTATGACTCAACATTCGTGTGTCTTCTTTCTCGTGTACATTTCCAATAAGGGTTGAATCAAGTCCACGAACATTCAGATTCTCTATCATATCATGTAATGAAACCACATAAGCTATGTTCCTGGTGTGGCGGAAAACAATGCCATTTGTCACTAGACAGCGGTTTTCGACCCGGAATTGGAACCTCGTATTGAGGCTTATGGCGCTCCTATTATCCCATCGGGCGCTGAATGGCGTCAGTACGTTACCACTTGGGGTAGTACCGAATCCCGTGTTATTTCTCTATTTTCTGTGTTAATTATGCGAGATCTGAATTATGCATCTGATAAAAAAGAATCAGATCGGAATGAGCATTGGATAAAATCGCTTACCAACATGTTGACGTCGTTCCGCACCCGGTGGCATATGAATCCTCTAATACCCTACTAACTCAACCGCGTAGTGCATCACATAATGCACGTAACACTAAAGTCCCACTGAGATGTTCTTGGCATTCAGGACAGCCAATACAGTGCTTTAAGACCATCGATTCCGTTTGTCACGAGTAGCACCTCGCCGATTGGCACCAGACAAGGTATAAAGTATGCAGCATGTGTTTGTCATAGCTTTTGATGCATACAATTCTGCCATTCTCAGGCTTGATGTTACACTGAGGCGCACATTGCTGCAATGCAGAGGCGATTGGAGAGGCTATTGATGCAGGCGTTATGTGGCCTTGCCTAGGAATACGAAGCGATCCATCGGCTGAAAAAGCAACGTGTAACATCGTATTATTATTGAATCGTCGTTCCGAGGAACCATTCGAGCTGACTAGGTAGTCTAGGGTATAAAAACCGTCACTTTCCGGTTCGCGAAACTATCAGCTTAGGCCCAAGGGGAGTTCATTGAAATCGTATTGCTGATTGCAAATTGCAACAATTCACATTCAAGTGATACATCTACTGAAACCCAACTCTCCATACCGTACTTGAAAATGGTTTCTTTCAAAAGTCTATTGCTATTGGTCCCCGTCATTACCCAGCTGGTAGTTGCGACGTCATGCGACTACGGATCCTGGTACATCGAAATCAACCTTGCAGCAGGCGCTCAAGGCAACCGGCGCGGAGATCTCTATGCTGAGCATTCCAAGACTCCAGGCGCAATCAGTCACTCAGTATGGATCTATGACCCCCAGACAGAGTTGACTACCTATACCGCGGAAGATCCGACCTTAAACAACACCCTTATTTCGGTTCTTGGCCTGCAGAGTACGTCTATTATACCAAGAGGTGGCACGAGATGGATTGAAGCTAATGGTCACCACAGATTTTGAGATCGAGCAGACCGTCCTTGGGATCCCTTTGAAGGGATCTGGGCTTATCGACATGTACTTCAGCCCGGCTGCAAACGGCCGCGGCGGCAAGGGCAACACGACGATTATTTCGGAGTTGAACGATTGAATCAGAGTGGCGGTACCACAATTTCATATCGATCCCATGGAGCTTAGATTGTCTTTCAGGTCGGCTCGCGATAATTCATGACATGGGTATGCGTGTCATATGCCGAATCGGCCTCTTGGGCAGCATAATGTCCTTGACGCTACATGACGTGTACATATCAGACAAGAACATCCTCCTCGCAAACTCCGCAAGGTTTACACGCAAGGAACAGACAGCTTAAATTCAAAGATTTCTGATCTTTTGTTGGCAACTTTTCTGCTGTAATCAGTCTAGACACGCGCCCTACGATTGGCTGGGCGCGGCGCAGGAAATTCAAGTCTCATGGCAGTTCGAGATTGAGTGAATAGTAATCAGGCCCTCAACACCCTCGGCAGCGAGAGAAATGACGCTTCCCCCACAAAATCCCCACCCACGCGTGCTGTTCATACAGCATGATATGTTGGAGGGTGGACCACGAAGGGTCCCTAAAGAATGTCTATGGAGCTCATGTGTCCCCGTCCGCGATCCTGAACAGTGACAGCATCCTTTCTGTACTTCGCCGGATTTCGACACCAGATACCAGAACATTCCAACTTGACATTCTCGGGGGCTCCGGGCATGCAATCTCCGATGATAATGGGTAATGAAAGAGCCAAAGTAGTTTCGAAGAGACGTGGGCGGAAATCGCCAACGTCTGATGACGCCAACGACGATGACATGCGCAAGGTCAGTATAGCCACCGCCTGGGTTCTGCTCGTAAATCTTTACATTTACTGTCGCACCTCTCCATTAAATCCCAAGCATACTGGACTTGACGACTGACGAGTTCAAGATCCGGAGAGAAAGGAACCGCGAGGCACAACAAGTATTTCGAAAACGGCGACAAGCTGCAGATGTAGCACAGAAGCAGCGAATCGAGAGGTTGGAGAATGTTGTAGAGAACATGACGCTCCTCTTCATTGACCTCTTTGATGAGATCATCGGAAACAAAGGTGTTCTAAAACAGCAGGAGGATCTTCTTGCCCTCTTTCAAGACTCAGCGATGCAGTTGAAGACAATGGTGCAGCCCATCGCTGATACCGACGACGACAACGACGATGGAAACCCAAATTCTGGGAGCACGCGGTCTACCGATGTCCATGAAAGATCTTGTTGTTCTATGTCGGCCTCGTCGAGTCAACAAAGCCCTTTGAGGCAGAACGCCGGCGAGCCCGACCGCTCGAGTCCTTCCAAAGGCAATAGCGGCGGCGAAGTCCATGGTTCACCTGCGGAGACAATGCCAGCACCAGCTAATGTAGGACATCTTGAGGCTCTGGACACGCCACATATACCGATCACGAGGTCAAATCCTCCTTCTCAGGCATTTTGTCTTCAACTACTAGAAGCGACTCTATCTCAAGCATGCTTGATACTAGCCGGCTGTCTTCCCGTATCACCAGGCGACTTTCAGAACATTTTTGGCATCACATTACAGTACCGTACAAGAGAAGAACAGCTAAGCCAAGTGCGCTGCATGCTTGGTTCGGATACAGAAAAGCGCCTGGCAGCAGGGATGCCTCTAAGGGAGTCTGTGAGGGGCTGGCGGGATCAATGTAGCCAACGGCTGGGATTCGGGCTCGTCGCAGAATGCGAGGCCGATGTGATACATGGCAAAAACCTTTCACCAGGGTTTCTTACAGCACTTGAAGTCCAGAAACAATTACAAAGCCTCGGTGCACGAAAGGTGGGGAGCGACACTCTCGAAGTTTGCATCACTTCGGCAGTGGAGAACCCTGATATTGCTGGACGCGTTCTCGCGTCTACGCTTTTTGCACCCGCCCCTCGAACCGCCGATTTTGGCCTCGTCAAAGCTTTGACACTTCAACTCAACGTTCCATTGCTCATTACGAATCTTGCAAGCTCGGCAAAGTGCTTTTTGACAGGGCCGGCTTACTCTCAGCTGGGCTTTTTCAAGGCGGTGGAGGCATCGTTAATATCAGTCACTGACGCGCCAGCCGGCTAAGTGAGGAAATTTAATCGAGGGACTTCCTTGTCGATGCAGGAAAATGGAGGTAGAAGACTAGAGACATGTTGTAAACGACCCGCAGATTCGACTAACAGAGTGCATTGTGGCATCTTGGCCGCCTGCATCATGGCCAATCCGGCTTCTCGCGCACGACAGCTGAAGCTCGCTGGTGCAGGCATTTGCGGGTACCCTCCACACCGACTTAACAGATTGGGCCGCAATATATGCAGCTTTATTTTGTTTTGGCACAGATCAGATGCGGTTAAAAGGGGTCATTGTGGTAGCTTGCGCATGCATGAGACTTTTGATGATTACAACATTCAATGTAGATAGTAGCGGTACAGAGTAGGCCCGTCAGAGATATGTTCTGCTCAGTCTACACCCCGCTCCTTCAGCTTCCAAGTAGTGGCGATTTCACCTCCTCTTCATGTCCTTGCCAAATTAGCTGTCAAAAGCAGGTCCACCGACTTGTGAACATTACATATCTTGCTCGGAGCCACGGATATAAAGTCAGCTACGGAGAAGGCTACCAACGGAAAGGTAGAGGGCTTCGAGGACTCTTCCGCTTTGCAGGGATACTTGGTAAGCGAAATGCTTGAGCTGCCGTCCGCAATGAGTCCATTAGCTGATTCATGGCTCTAGGGCTTTCAGGAAGACCACCACCAGTCAAAAATCAAGACCCGCGATTTGTCGTCGACGTGACGCAGTCGTCGATGATCCACCATGGGTAACCGCGACAGCGACGTAGGCAGTATGTTTTCGTGCTCTAAAAGTCATCCCAGATTTAGATGGCTGACAAGCTCTAGCCTCAACCCCAGCTAGTCCGACTCCTTCCATAAAGCATGATTGGACGCATTCTCCCGACGACGTCGCGGTTCACCAAGCGCCTACAGCACCGGACGCGCCACCGACAGCTTCTCTACCGTTTACTGTGGTCGTACCATGCCACCACATCCGCTTAGGGGACTATCTCATACTGAAAGGACGCCCTTGCCTAGTCATCAAGATATCTACGTCTGTGTCTACTGGTCAATACCGGTATTTGGGAGTGGACGTATTTACACAACAACTTTATGAAGACAACTCGACAATCTACAATGCTGGACCAAGTGCTGTGGTTCAGGTTATGCTTGGCCCGATTTTCAAGCAGTATCGTCTTATGGACTTGAGTGATGGTTACGTTGTGGCTCTGACACAGTCTGGTGACATAAAACGAGGCATATCCGTCATCGACCAATCAAATCTTTGGTCTCGCCTCAACGCAGCTTTTGATTCTGGCAAAGGATCCGTTCGAGTCCTTGTCCTTTACGATAGAGGTATCGAATTAGTCGTGGATGTTAAAGTCGTTCATACCTCGAGGCGCGACGCTGAGAGAGCCGCAGCCGACAAACCTCCAACGCTGACCAAGCTCGCGCGAGATGGAGACGTGGATAGAGTATTGACGGCGCTCGAAAGTGGAGCAGATATCGATGAATGCGACGAGAATGGCAAGACGGCAATATTCTATGCTATCGAAAAGAAGCAACGGAAGCTCATTGGTGAGCTCCTCGACAGGCCTAACGACCTTGCCATAGTGGACAAATACGGGAAAACCGCATTGGACTATGCCGTACGAATCGCCGAAGACAACTCATTACTTGACTGGGTCCCAGATTTGTTGATGAAGAAGGGCGCATCGCCAATGAATGGTATCGATCCTCAAACGCTGAATCTTCTGGTTGCTTCAGGAACTGGAACCGTGGCGATTGTGCAGGATATCCTGAAGAAGTTCGACAGCGCCACAAGAAAGTCTAAGCTCAGTGGGAGAGATCGACTGGGATACACTGCTCTTCACGAAGCGGCCTACTTTGGAAGGTACGATATTGTAGAGGAGCTCATAAAGTCCGGGGCGGACCCTGACGCAACGACGATCATGGGCAATGACTCAGTACTGCATACTGTAGTCGAGAGACGCGAGCATCGCTCTTATTTGGGAAATGATCGAGGCGACTCTGTGTCTCTTATAAAAGATCACGCCAGAATTACCGAATTGTTGTTAAACTATGTGAAGCCAAGCTTGGTGGAGAAAAGACGGGCTTCAGATAGGAAAACACTACGAGAAGTGGTTGTTGAGAAGCTCCAGAGAGCAACCTTGAGCATGGAGGAGCTGGCTACCCTTCAGAAAATATTGGTCATTCTCAAGGGTTACCTAAATGGAGGAACAACGACCTTGAATGAGCAGGATGCGATACGGTCTACCGATATCTTCCGTGCCATCCGCGTGGAAGATCCTCGCGATCCATACCACGACCAGTTGACTAAGATTCAAGTTTATGGGTTTGGATTCAATGGCGACTCAAAGAAAGTCTTCAGTGACTCGCTCGAGACGTTTCTTCTAGAGACACCCAGAATGATCTCAAACGGTAGTCACTGGACTTGGATGCATCTGCCCAAGAATAACGTACGGAACCTAAGCCATTTGCACTTGAATCCAAGTAATACTGTAAGATGCTAGAACGTGCTGACTTTTCATAGAAAATCTGGGTCAAGGTCTGACTGTGACTTCCCTTCTCGCCATTTATGATCATATGATAGATTGCTAAGTGCCTTTCGGCTTTAGGAAGTGATTACTAGTACGATGCTTCAGGACCCTCAGACGGCTGACATGTACTTGAAAGGAAGTCTCGCCTTTTTCGAAGAGGCATATGACGAGGTGCAATGTGGTGAGGATCACCCCGGCATGAGACGATCATCATTCGTGCCATTCCATGCTTCATATGATGGGATCTTTTCACTTGTTGTAAGAAATACAACCGGGACTGAGAAAAATAGGAATGCTCCTCAACAACTAATTCACTGCCCGATCTTTGTTTACCATACTTTGATTCGGAACAGCTTCTGTGTTTGAGCCCCCAAGGCTGTGGACATGAAAACTGTGAAGGGCTGCGGAAGCTTGAGCTCAGGCTAAAGCGAAAGTATAACGGTGGGCTTCGTAAAGTAAAGAATTGGCATGAGCCCTGCACTCTGGATCAGTCGTACTATGTTTCTCTCGAAGCCGGCGACTCCTCTTTCCGCATTCACCCATGAATTGTGGCTTGAACGAGAGTGTACTGGATATCTTCCAAAGAGGAATTACGAAACAGGTATGCCAACATGTCTTGGCTCGGCAGGTTGCTTTCGAAGGAATTTTATGTGTTGACCTTGATTGCCAGAGCAATACCGAGACAAAGTCGTTCAGCAGCTTTCGCGAATTACACAAAGATCCGAGCGTCACCAAAGGTGGAGAAGCACAAATCGACGATTTATGCGACGTCACTGAAGAAGTTAATGCACTTCTGGAAATTAAAGACATCGAGAACGAGTTGAAGATGATCGACAAGGTCTTTCTCCAGCAAGAACGATTGATCAAGAAGTATCAGCGCAGACGAGGGTTGTCATCGATTGAAGTAGATGGTCTCCACAGCCTCCTGACTGGCCTGGTTGGTCGAAGAGCTAGGGTCCAGGAGCTTGCACAAGACGCGCAGTCTGTTGAACTTTCGGTGAGTTGACATTGTCTTTGAACCGCTCTGTATGTTTCTAACAGTACTTTCTCAACAAGTTGAACAATCTCCTTGACATGAAGCAGAAGCAAGGAAATCTGCACATGGTTAGGGATACACGCAGACGAGCTCTGGAGGGCGAGGGGCAAACCAAACTTCTCTTCGTCTTCACCATTGTGACAGTCATTTTCGTGAGTCTGTGAAGAAACCTCATTCAGAGCCAACCTGACTTTTGCAGACACCGATCTCCTTCGTGTGCGACTTTTTAGCGATCCCGAGTTGCGATTTCCCTGACAATGGAGGTGATGATGTGGCATGGACCTGGCAGCAGGTGTTTGTAGCATCTGGTAGGGCCCCAACAATCATTCTTCTTTCAGTCGATGGCAAACATAGATACTTACTGACTTCTCGTGTTCCAGGGGTGACTGAAGCAATCACTGTGATCCCCTTGGCAGCGTATTGGTTGGTTCAGTCTGCCAAAAAGAAGCGCAATTCACCGAAGGAAAACGTGAAAGACCAAGGGAATTATAATAAGGAACCGCCGACAGCATCTCCAACCGTATCCAACGGATTGGTCTCACAAGAGTCAATGACGGCAACTGCGCGGCCAACGGAGAGTGATAGAGAGATGGTGTAAGAGCAAAGCTAGGTACAAGGGCTTCCAGAATGAGTTACCCCACGTTTCATTCCAGCGTTTGGTAGATGATGGGATGATGGCAGGATCTCTAACCAAAAATATTGAACCAGCAATTTCCATTGCATTTCACACTCAGAAACTTGATATTCTTATTATTGTATCTTGGATAATGCTGAAAAGTCCCGTCATATATATAACGCGTTCGCATCATCACCTAATTGAGGATCTTTCTCTAAATAAAAAGCTACTCATACCTAACATTCAAATATACTAATTAACAATGTCGTATTAACCCCCTGTGCTCAGTCTAGCTACTTATATTACTGCCGTAAGTGATCTGATATGTTCATCGGTAATGCAGTGCTTTGCTTCGTACTCCGCGAGAGAAGTCTCTTAGCCTCTGCCCCCAAGGAGTGGAGGCTGCGACTAGAATGCATTACGGTTGGACACAGTTTCTTGTCATGATATCATCACCACTAGTACGGACCCAAAACCTTAGAGACGCCTTGAAGGATAGTCTAGATTCTACGGTAACCAAATTTGAAATTCTTTGAGCAAATTGGTTGTTTTTGAACCTAAGAAAAATGGTCGATAAAGCCCGCGAACTCTACTCATAGACTACTAGTCCACTCTCATTCGAACACCTGTGACAACAATAGCAGTCAAAACAAAAGCACTGATGACTTACAGAAACCATGACAGTAATTACGATAACAATTGCAATAGAAGAATGATGTTGCGTACGGACAGGGTGCCATTACGGCCGTTCTTTGGGGCTTGTAGAAAAGCTGTCCCAGGCCAATGGCTGGTTTTGGCATACCACTTGAAAGATACACAATGCCAATCGATGGAGTCAGGTAATACCATGCCCAAGCGAACGTTTGCGAATCGACAGATAAAGGATTCACATCCCGAAAGACTCAAACAAATGCCCTCCATTGTTCTTCACACCAATCCCAGAACTTCGCAGCGTACCCTAAACCGCCATCGACCTCGGGCTTCAACGCGTTGATAATGTCTTTCCTCGGGCAATCCGAGTCTGGGCGGATGCGTCCCCAAGGGATTACGTATGCGCCATTATTCTCGAGAGAAAGCTCTGGTGACAGACCGGCGAAGAGCTCTGTATATCCGCCAAACTTAGCTTCGTAGAGCAACGGATTGATGAGGAACGGCCAAGGCAGGCGTCCCGGCGTATGAGCCAGCCTTGAGGTTCCCAGGATTCTGCGTCACGGAGACAATATCGGGATAACGGATGGCCATCTCGCGACCTAGCATCCAGTTACCGATTTTCGATACAGCGTAGTTTCGGGTGCGGTCCGAGGTGCCCTTTTCAAGAGTGGTGAAGTCGATGCCGTTGGTGGGTGAGGATGCATCGCCCAGGAAGGTCCACACAACGCGCACCGAACCGCGCGGAGCGTTGGTACCAACGGCTGCACGGAGTTGAGGAATCAATAGCTGCGTGAAGAGCTGCGCTGCGATACAATGCATGCCAACCATAGCTTCAAAGCCTTGTTTCGTTCGCGCGCCGACCTTGACTCCCAGTGCGCCGGTCCCGGCATTATTCCATAGGACGTTTAGTTTTGATTCTTGCCGGGCAAAGGAAGCGGCGGCAGACTTCACACCTTCGATGTCGTTGAGGTCGAGAGGGAGGACTTTGATATGACCTGGGTTTTCGGGGGCGGCGCTGGTGATTGCTTTGATGGCCTTCTCTGCTCGTTCCTACGTATTCGGTGAACCGGATTGTCAGCGGCGAAGCTAGGAGCAAATGATGGTAATGCTTGTTATGCGGGCCGAGTGAAGATATATAACCGTGCACCACTCTTGACATGTGGACTATTCCAGGCTTAAACTGACTTTGGATCTCGACGCCATATAGATAGTGGCACCGGTAGCGTATAGGATTTTGACAAGCTCGTAGCTCACGCCCGCATTGCCACCCGTGACGATGAAAACGCGGCCGATTTGTGACGGAAGTGTATGCTCGGTGAAGCTCGGTTTCGGGGGAAACCATTGTGAGCGCATGTTGCGCACAGAAGCAAGCGACATGATTGCGGCCGGTGTATGATATGATGTTGCTGGTTAGTCGACGTCGCCGTATGATTGGAATGGCATGCCGCAGAAAAGCATAAGCTGGAAGATCAAAGGGCTTTACACTCTTTATATCGGAGTGAAATGTCTGTGCCGCAAATGACGAATCTGAACAAACAGCCGTCTCCGTTCTCTGTTGGTTTGCTTCATAACCTTATCTCTCACGAAGCCCAGACTGTAGATTGGTTGGGAGCGGCAACGGAAACCAACGGATCATGTTTACCCTGCAATTCGTTGTCTCCTGCAGTCACACCACGCATAAGATGAGCTTGGTGTCACACCATCCCCTCCGCTCGGAGCGGACTTTGAGCGGACTTCTCACCAAGTACTAGGTGTCTTCCCTCATTCAGCGTTTGTTTCCCGTTTGCTTCAACTCGTGTTTTTCTTCAGTCTTTTGAGACCCTCGCGGGCGAGGAAGGCTCTATCGCGGCACAGAAATTATAATCAACTCTTATGATTGTGCACAAAGCAGGTAAGTGATTCGTGTGCCTACATTTTGCCCTTATCCTCTCCAACGTCTGTCTTCTCTGCTAAATCTTCGCGTATGCAAGACGGCACTGTCTTTCTCGACTGTGATGACATTATCCAGACTTTCCATGCAGACCTCAGCAGCTATCAGGAAATTCCTACAAGGGCATTCCAACGCCCCGTATCTTTCCAAAAACCAAACCCCAGGTCGAGTTCCGGGGAAGCAATGTACAAGCTTTACTCCGCCGCCGAGACAAAGGGGCAATGCCCAGAGAAGAATGGTTACAAGAGACGGAGCATGTCTATCATAAGAGAATGCAGCATGAACGTCTTTGATTTAAATGCAAACAACAACAAATACGTGATACGATATTCCGGACTTTCTACAGAATCCACCTCTTCTTCATTCAGAGCCAGTTGCAGTCAGTATCGATTTTGTTGGTGCAGTTTCGGCGCTTTAGCTCTCTGCCCCAGTAAGTTGCTTGGCACTTGCAGTTCCTGCAGCTGTGGTAATAGCAGACTTCGTCACCATAGTAACAACTCATTCCGTTTTCGACCCAACAAATTTTCTAGTCTGTTGTTAGACCTGTTTGTTCCGATACTTGTGAGAGGATGCCTACCCTAGCAAAGATCTCGTTGCGCGGCTTGAGAGATACATTTTCCTCGGATTGGAATGGAGCGGCCATGGTGAAGTTGGTCGCTCCAAGGGTTAGAAGGGCAACTGAAAATTTCATGCTGGCGTCGGTTATGTGTATTGAGCGAGAAGATAGATCGATGTACTCAAAGTGTCATGTAGTTACCAAGGAGGATGACTGGATTCGCATCTGCTATAAATACTTCCCAGAAAAGAATTCTCCTGCAACACTCGCTATGAAAGTATCTCTGCGAGGGAGTGATCTTGAAGTTCTTTACAGCGTAAATTTCCGCGGCGTCCTCACCGAGTCAGTCAGATATGTGATCGCCATTCTGGGTCAAGGCCTAGGGTGAGTGAGGAAGCAAAATGAGATATCTGCAGAAGCCAGCCCATGCCCACACTGCTCTGCATACGTATAGTGGAGGGAAAGATTTAAAGCCATAAAGACATTGCTATAGCTAAATCCATAAAAGACGTTGGGCAGAAGAAAGAAGGCAGAAAGTAGAATCTGTTAAAAAGCGCGAGGAATACGTGAAATGACATGCATCACAATGGCACAACGGGCGACTGTGCTGAATCTCACGGAACCGCCGCGTTGGGGGTGGAGGGTGGGGGTGGATAGGACACTACCCACACCTGATGCTCTCACAGGTCATCCATCTTCCGTTAACATTAACTGGTGGGCACTTCCTCCGAAGGATAGGTCTCCCACCGGCTTTGGGCAGGGGGGCTGTCGGTAACCCGACCCTGTCCGTCCCAAATGACCCGGACCGGGACCCCACATCATTTTCCTCCGACTGCTGGTTGAAATTTAGAGGTGACGGGACGTGAAAACCCCCTTTCTGAAGTGCCAGCGCAGCGTTGTGTGCCCAACAATCTTGATTTATTTTGCTACGTTGATATCATAGGGATCTACTGCAACTCAGCGTGCTTTACATAGGCGCCGATACATCGTGCCCCACTTAAGAAAATTCAAGTAAAATCTGGTTCCAGCATTTGAATTATTACTTTTGCGTCTGATCAGATATGGCCTTATTCCACCCATCGACTCCCCGAGGCCTACGAATAAGTAAGCGAACAAAGCGTCTTTTTATAGGGCTGAGACACACAATAGTTGCGGCCGTCCACGAAGTTATCGTCATATATCTTGGCCTGCGAAGCCGTTCAAACGGGCCGCTCTCGAAATCCCGCCAATAATAGCCCCGACCCTGTATAACGGCCGCTGGCTCAGATCCCGTGATTCCGTCTCAGATTTGCGTTTAAAGGGCGAAAAGATTATTTAAGTCAGTGATTCTTCAAGGACCAGGTTCCATCGCCAGCGTTGTTTCATGACAAGTAGACTAGAATATTGAGACGGGCCGCAAAAAGTCAATCGGCAGTCAGTTTGAGATTATCGACTACCAGTAACTCCAAGGTACCGTAAATATATACACAAATACGTAATCTCATGAGGGTAGGAATGCACTACTTAGATAGAAGTTGTGATGCTATCGCCTTAAGTGTTACCTTTTGGGGAAAGCCCATCAATGTTCACCATGGACGCGATGAAGTAGTCCTTGATAGCGAGTCACAATCCCTCGTCTGTTAAGCTTCCCAACAGCTGTTGTCAAGCCCTGGGTTCAATGTTAGTCTCGAATTTCTTGATGGTATGACTCAATTCTGAATGATGGCACTAACATTTTGAGGAGTCCACTCTGCATCGTCAACAAGCACAACCGCCTCGACCACCTCAATCGAGGCAAGCCCAGCCTCCTCAGCAATCTGTTTCAACTGCAGAAGGGAGTCCTGCAATACAAGTGGATGCCGTGTAAGCGCTGATATTCCGCATTCGGTGTTTAAACTACGTCTCTCAACCATTTCCTTTAAGGCTGGCGGCGAGGGGATGACTATAGCCGTCGGCTTTGCGCGGTGAGGCGATGCATGGATGCAGATGTTAGCTACCAGCCTTGAAGAGCGGTAGATAGACTCTAGCTGGAATGAGCGAGTTGTGGTCAGTCTACACACCTTCCATTGCCAAATTAACGATGCATCATGGAAACCGGCGTCATACCTTTTCAAGCGCGATATACTCTCCGTTGAGCGTTTTGACAATGTTCTTCTTCCGGTCAATGATTCTGAAATGAAAGTCATCGCCGCTGCATGTAAGTTCCCACTGCCCAATGTCGCCGGTGCGGAGCCAACCGCCAGGCGCGACGGCACTCTTGGACTCGTCCTCGTCGTCATAGTACCCTTCCATAACACTATCGCCCCGTATCCATATCTCTCCTTGTGATGGGTCGTTACTGGTGAGGTAGCCTGCCTCGGAGTAGTCGACTAGCTTCATTTCTATGCTGGCCGGGATGCTCATAGATCCTGGTCGCCATTGCCCAGGATCCATCAAGCCGCCCATGCTAGAGGTTATCAAGACATCAGCTTTGACTTAGCTTTGAACTTAGGCTAGAGTGCTTGAACTTACGCCATTGACTCGGTTAAGCCGTATCCGTTGACCAAAGGAGCCATCACCGTGGTCAAGAAGTTCTGCGTGCTTTCCGCTATGGGCCCACCGCCTGACATGGCGAACCGCAGCCGGGACCCAACCACCTTACTGGCGGTGGATGATATTACCCCATTCAAGCCGCCTGTCCCCGGTAATCCGGCTGCGGTCCATACTTTCTTTGCTTTTAGCCACGACCAGAAAGCCAGTCTGTCAGTAAAGGAGGCGTTTTCCACGCTGGCTAAAATGGCCTTTTTAACCCTTTCCCAAATCGCAGGGACACCAATCATGAAGCTAGGTTGGAACGCCTGGAGGTCTCCCACTTCGAAGATGCCGGCTGGAGTGACACGGTCGAATAGCGTACGGGCGCCGCCGTAGCCCATTCTAACACCCCAGAAGAGACAGCTGCTTTCGAAGGCAAATTCAAGAACATGAGCTAACGGTAAGTAAGCGAGAAAAGAGTCGGATGGTGATAGATAATCGCCGATCACAGAGTCCAAGCCTGTAACTGTCGGCTGGTTAGATGGGCGTTCATGGCATCCCATATGGGAGAAGATCAAGTGTCTTGGAGAAGTATGGTGACTTACCTGCCGCTACAACGGCCTTGTGCTTTATCGGAACTCCTTTCGGTATTCCTGTAGACCCGGAAGTGTAGTAGATGGCGCATAGATCCTCTCTACTAGGTTGAACAGGGTCACTCATGTTGCTCCGGCCAACTTGGCATAGCTGGCTGAAGCTGAGTATCCGAAGTCGCGGACGTGTCTTCTTGAGTTCGAACAAGCCTTTGATCCACTCAGAGTCTGAATCAAATGTGCCAGATGACTGATCATTGTAGACTATGACCTCAACTCGCGGAAGAAATTTGGTTGTCAGTGCAGACGTGACCTTTGGACAGAGATGATGATCCACAAAGACGGCTTTGGCGCCTGTGGACTCTAGAGAATGCTCGAGGCCAGTGAGGCCGAGAGCTTCGTAGGCTGTCACAAAAACCATGGACTGTGAAGATGCGCCGTGAGCAATTGATAACCATTGTGGGCTTCGTGATGTTCGTCAATACGGGGAATTCGAGAAGAGTCCGCAGCGAAAACTTGCCTTGTTGCTGCGTAGACGAGGATTTTATCAGCCCTCTGGAGACCGATCGCCCTCAGTCCAGATCCGACATCATGAACGAGATTGCGATGATCTCGGTATGATATGTAAGTGTACTATCGATGCACTATTAGCCGCCTTGCCATATGTGAATTTGGTTGGGTAAGTCACTAACTAGAGAATCTCCTGGCGATCTGGTCTTTGCATCTGAGTTTTCGGTCTCACTTGCTCGTGCACCCAAAGCAGGCTTGTCTACATATTTCTCTGCAGCCCAATTAACAATGTCATAGACTGTCTGTATCTTGTTGTTGGGCTGCGACAATAACCCGGGTCTACCAGCAAGCTTGGCGTTCCTTTGGGGCCGAGTCTCGGCCGGGATAGGTGGGGCTATCGGCACCGTAGTGGAGAATGAGGCGGAGCCGGAGGCCCGGGCGCTGGATTCCGGGGACACCGTCATTGTGCCGTATCGAGCTTACTTGTGGGCAAAGTAAGACGATGCACATGGCCAGCAAAATGAATTGTTCAGTCATTCTGTTTTAATTGCTGCAAAGTCTGCCACAGGTGCCGTGTACATAATTTCTCGGGTGATTTCTTTTGTCGGGGGTAAGCGATGCGCCTCATTTTTAGTCCCCGAATTCCGCCGCATTACCCATAAGCTCCCGCTTTAGAAAAAATGACCCGCCACCGCAAACAAATCGACCCGCTACTCTTCCTAGATAATCCTATGAAGGAAAAATTGCATCTACTGAGTTGAAAATATTATGGAGGAAATGTCAAAGTACCCGCGTGCAAGCTGTTGTGCCTGTCCCGCCCGAGCGGTTAGCGTAGCCCAAGCCCTCAACATGGCGACCCGCACGAGGCCAGTTGACCTGAGTCCGTCAGCCCATCCTTTACAAAGCCTGCCCTGTTCATCGATCGACCATGTATCGCTAGATACCCCAGTAGGCCCAAAGAGAAGACCTTCGGGGTCGTATTTAGACTTGATGGCCTGCAGCCTCGGGTAGTTTACCCCGTAGAAATCCTCCTTCCAGGTCTTGAGCTGGAAATCACCCTCGTTCATATAAGTCCCGGAACCAAGCGTGAGTTCCCTCAGCTTCGGCACAGTGACGTCGGTGATTTCGTCGGCACGGCGTTGGCCGTCTGCTCTAGGCGCACTAAAGTTCCACGTCGACTGTACGAGTACGGTAATTAGGGTGTCTCGCCAGGCCGGCAGCACGGCATTATCTGCAACGGGCTTCCAGGAAGGGGCCTCCTTTACATCCAGAGCAACAAATCCCAGAAAAGCATCCGTGTCTTCGAGAATGCTGCGAAAGGCGCCGACAAGAGCGGTGCTGTTCTTCTCGACAGCGGAGCGCGGGATCATCCTTCCGCCGAAGAGGTGGTGGATTGTGTAAGGGCCTCGGGGGAGAGGTCCACCGTGCTTACTATAGTGTTCCAAGAATGTGGGTGTCGATGTCACTTCGAGCGTGTACTGTACGTCTAGCTCGTCGAGCGTATCGACCAGCGGGCTTATCAACCCGGAGACCTGCTGCTCGGTCCACCCAGGGAGGGTAATAGGTGCGATGAAGAAGGCGTCCTTGGTGACGGCATATCCAGCTGTACCACCGGCGGAAGTGAGGCTAGGTAGAAGGTCTTGCCAGCTTTTGAAAAAATCCCAGAAGTCGTCTTTCGCCACGCCAGTGGTAGAGAATGCCAGGGTTGCACCTCCGATGGATCCGTCGGGGTATGCTCTCACCGTCAGCGAGAGCACGACGGCGTAGGTGCCAGGTCCGCCTCCGCTCAAAGCCCAGTAAAGATCAGAGTGTCGCAGAGGCGTCGCCACCACGTGTTCTCCGGAAGGCGTGATGACTTCCCACTCAAGGACCTGGTCGGCTCCGAGCCCATACTGTGAGCTCAATGGGCCGTGGCCTCCGCCTTGGGTATAACCGCCGGCGACGCCTACCGTCGGACAAAAGCCTCCAACCACGCGAAGGCCTTTGCTGGCGGCAGCCGTGTAGGCTTCCAGCCCACGTACACCGGCGCCCATACGGATGGCGGGCCCGGTGTATGTTTCGCTTGCAAGATGCAGCACTTCAATTGAACGGAGACTACTTGTCCAAAGGGCGATCGCTCCTTTTCCGGTGGACTTTCCCATGTAACTTGCAAACGCATGTCAGTGATTATCTAGGTATTTACAAAGAACTTTGCATTCAATACGGCTTGGTACGCACTCATGTCCTGTGTTCTTGATGGCCAGCCGGAGGGAGTGCTTGCGTGCAAATGAAAGACCTTGCACAACGTCTTCTCCACTCGTTACGTTGATAGCGTAAGAGACACTATGTCCCAGCGTACATGAACTATTCGCAGGACCGAACGGATCGCAGCTGGAGTTCTGCCAGTAGGGGCTCTGGATGCCACCTGGCCAAGATTCGCTGCAATTTACTATCAGACTGTATGATCCGAGGAAGGAATCACTTGGGCGTCAAAAGCTCACTGAATCTCTGGCCAGACCCATTCCTCACGGATAGCCGCGCACTTGACTTCGTCGTAGTTTGGGTCGTGGCAGACAGATGCCGGAGGAACTGAAGCAATGAGACGACCGCCCACAGAGGCATTGAGATCTTGCCACTGCAAGTCGGATGGCCAACAGCTATCTCCGTCAGTACATGTGCAGAACGGGCGGTCCCAATGGGAGGAATTTGGTGCCAGAATAAAGGCGGCCGTAATTGCTAGCCCCAAAGTAGAGGCTGGAGCGGAAACTTTGGATAGGAATCTCATTGCGGAAATGAACAGGCACTGGGAGCCAAGCATGCCGATATCGAGTTTAGAGTTTCGTTATATCACTTTAACATAGCAGGACTATCGCAGGATAGAATGGAGACAAAAAGCCCCCAACGTAACTCCGCAGGCGCCGAGACTAAGTTGAGCTCGTTAGTCCCCGATTTTGCTGACGTAGAAACACGATGAAGGGTTGTTTTGCAAAGTTAGCGTCACAAAAGAATGTCCCGACCGGTTCAGATGAATTGTGTTTGGCCCGATGCTGACGCTCTGAAGTCTTTCTATCTTACCGGCAACAAGAAAAGACTTCCCACTAAAAATTAGCCAGCCATAACTTTTAAGCTAGGTCGTTACAATGCTTTCCTGCACGCCCTCCCGCCAATCTGGTCAACAGCCCTCATTCCATCTTGACCATATAATCATTCTCAAGCAAACATCAACGGATACGATGGGTGTCTTATCGCCGCCAGAGACTCACTCTTCTATTGCTTTTTATGCCATTATAGGGCTTGTGGGTACCGTCGTATATTTCCTCTCTCTGGCTCTCTACCGTCTGTACTTCAGTCCGCTTGCCAAATTTCCAGGGCCGAAGCTGGCCGCTTTGACACAGTGGTACGAGACCTACTATGAGCTCTTCAGCGGCGATGGCGGCCAATTCATCTGGCACTACGCTAAGTTGCATGAGGAATATGGTAAATGGGCTTTAACTCAGCTACTCACTCATCCGAGATCACACCGTGTTGCTAAATGGTTTACAAAGGCCCTATTATTCGAATCAACCCATGGGAGCTACACATCCAAGACTCTAGCTTCTACGATGTGCTTTATTCGTCTTCTAGGCACTCCAGCAAGCTGACCACCCTCGCTCACCGTTTCAATAGCCCAGAGTCGGCCTTCTCGACTGTTAACCACTCCAGACACCGCCAGCGGCGAGCGGCTTTGAACCCATTTTTCTCCCACCGCAGGATAGCTGAGCACCAGCCCAACATTCAGCGAATGATGCATCGCCTCACAGATCGCGTCACGCGGGAATACCTAGGCAAAGACAAGGTGTTGCGTATCGATCAAATGTGGGGGTGCTGGACTTCGGACATCATCAACGACTACGCCTTCGACAAGCCGCATAATTTCCTTGATGCCCCAGATTTCCACGCCAGTTACACAGATGCTATGGTTGATCTACTGGAGCCTGTTCACTATATTACGCAGTTTCCCCTTGTGACCAACCTGTTCAAGATGCTCCCGCTTGCGTGGGTGAAGGCAATGTCTCCTCAAATGGGAACTGTGCTCGACTTTAACAACGTTAGTAATTGCTCAGGTCAAACATATGAAATGAGCTGACTTTCGGCTCGTATATGCATTTTGCTAATGTGTTGCACGCTTGAATAGGAAATGACGAACCAAATTCGCATCCTCCTAAACAAGCCAGCAGAGGAAAAGGGGCAGTCCAAGACCATTTTTGGTGTTATCCTCGAGTCAGACCTCCCAGCCTCGGAGAAGACAGTTGGCCGCCTCCAGCAGGAGGCAATCAGTGTGACCGGCGCCGGTATCGAGACGACGATGCGGGCCCTCAGTCTGTGCACATTTCATGTCCTGGCAAACCCCATAGTGCTAGAAAAGCTCCAGGCCGAGCTCAAAGAGGCTATTGTGGATCCCAGAAACCCTCCCGACTGGGACGCCCTCTCCCAATTGCCGTATCTCTCAGCCTGTATCAACGAAGGTGAGTACCCTTTTTCAACAAAGATATGTTCACCGTTGGATGCGGAACCTGCTGACCAAAATGATAACAAAGCCCTTCGATTCGCATATGGAACGTCTCAGCGACTCCCTCGCACGCTCGAGGATGAGCCCCTCCGTTACGGCGAGTGGCTTATCCCCGTCGGTGCCACCGTGAGCATGGACAACTACGCCGTGTCCCACGACGAGGCTATTTTCCCAGACAACATGACCTTCTGCCCGGAGCGCTGGCTGGGCGACCCAAAGGCTCCTGATGGGAAGAAACTCTCGCGCTACATGGTCGCGTTCGGTCGCGGGACGCGCTCCTGCGTGGGCATGCAGCTCGCGTGGGCAGAGCTGTACACGGGCATTGCGACGCTGTTCCGCAGGTTCAAGATGGAACTCTACGAGACGGAGCGCGACGCGATGGATCTGCACATGGACCGATTTGTACCGCGTCCTAAACCGCATACTCTTGGAGTGCGGGCTCTGGTCAAAGAAGATCTGTATCAGTGACTGATTACCGGTTGAAAAAACTGACGGTGTTGGGAATCTTGTGGGCGAAAAGTAAATCTGACGTTATCAAGTTCGATGTACTCTTTTCACAAACACTTATTCAGCTCTAGTGGGACAAGTCGGCGAAGACTTTTCGTCACGAAAAAATCGTGTCTCAATAATTCAAATTGCGTATTGGGATCGGTAATTCGACTGATATGAATGCTACGTAAGAAATACATGTTGCGTGTACGAGTCCTAGACAAGCAAGTGGGTGAGTAATGCAACGTTTTTTAATAGTTTCTAGACCTTTAATTCCGTCTTATTTCTCTCCGTTCTAAACTTTTTGAAAGTATTGATGTGTTTGGAGAGTTCAGGTTATGACTCCATGTTTAATATACTCCATTCGCGATTTTACTTTAATGTGTGAACACAAAATTGGAACAATTTTCAAGCAAACCACTGTAACGAATTGTTGAGATGAGACATGAAGAAACTTTGGCGTAGATAATATCAGTGAAAAAAAGATGAAACACAAGGTGTAAAAAGCACGAGAGTCTCTATTCCTTCTTCTTCATCTTGGAAACAATCTTCTCACACAGCGCCGTCAGTGACGTGGCGCTCGTGATCTCAAGCGTCGTCAACTCAACTCCGAGATCCAGCCTAACCCAATTTCGCAGCTCTACAGCAGACAAGGAGTCCAAACCATAACTGCTCAGTGGCTTGGCTGGCTCCATCGGTTCCGACAAGCGGAGAGTGGCCTGGAACTGGGTGTTCACAACGTCCACGGCGGCCTTCAATACAAGCGAGGCGTCTGCACTGGATTGCAGTAACAGCATCAGAGCCTGCACCGCGCGCGACTTATCGTCTTTGCCGTCTCCGCCGACCGTGGCTTCGCCGGTGCCGAAAGCCAGGCTGGCAAAGCGAGCGTCGGCAAGAAGGTTGGAGGAATCAGGCTGCGGCACGGCTATGGAGGTGATGAGTTGAGAGGAGTTGCCCGTCGAAGATGATCTTTGCTGCTGCTGGATAGAGACGCGGACAATTTGGCGGAATAGGTTCTCGTTGATGGGAGTCCAGGCATCCCGATCCAGAGCCACGCGAAGGTCATTGTGCTCATGCATGTAGCCAACATCGTCGATGGCACCCAGGTCGACCGAAACAGCGGACAGCCCGAGTCCTTGGCGATACACGGCAAAGGCATCGAGGAAGGCGTTGGCGGCTGCGTAGTTTGCTTGGCCCTTCTGGCCAACCACACCGGAGACCGAGGAAAGCATAGTGAAGAAGGAGAGGTCGAGGCCCTCCTCCTGGGCGACGTTATGAAGGTTCCAGGTTCCGGGAACTTTGCAGGCCACGGCGCCGTGGTACTCCTCGGTCGTCATAGAGGTGAAGATCTTGTCTCTCAGGACCATGGCGCCCTGGATGACGCCGCTGACGGGAACGCTGGAGGATTTGAAAGCTCTTCGAACGTCTTCCAAGACTGAAACATCGCCCCTGACCAGATCGACCTTGGCTCCTTGGGCATGGATGTTCTTCAGCACAGCCTGTGACCGCTCGTCGTCGTAGCCGCCACGGGCGAGGATGACGAGGTGCTTGGCTCCTTGTTGGGCCAAGTAGACGGCCAGAGACCCGCAGAGACCTTTTAAGCCACCCACGATGAGGATGGAATTGGTCTGGGGCAGATCGAACCTGCGTATCGCGGGGCGAACCATCACAGTCGGTTTGTCCACCTTGTCTTTGGCGGAGAGTACGATCTTGCCCATGTGCTTAGCCGCACGCATGTAACGGAAAGCACCCGCCACATCCTCGAAGGGAAAAGTAGTCATGGGAGCAATGGGCTTAATTGCGCGCTGGCTGATGAGACTCATCATCTGGCGCATAAGCCTGGCAATGACAGTGTCCGACACGTGCTCGTGGGACATATCAAAGCAGCGGTATGAAGCATTGCGGCCAAACGGCTCCCTAAGATTGGTTTAGTCGTCGGTTTCACGTCAGGAGATAAAATGAATGAGACTTACATGGAGAGGTAATTGCGATCAAGCATATCCCTCTTACCCAGCTCGACCATGGTTCCGCCATCGGCGATGCAGCGCCACGACTCGTCCAAGATATCGCCGGTGAGAGAGTTGAGGATGACATCGACGCCGTGTCCTTTTGTGGCGGCCTTGAGCCGAGCAGCAAAGGTAGTGGTTCTTGAGTTGAAGATGTTCTCTCTGGGGATGCCAAAGCTGTCTACCAAGAAGTCCACTTTCTCATCAGTGCCGACGGTCGCATAGATCTCCGCGCCGATAAATTGGCAAATCTGGATTGAGGCAATTCCAAGACCACCGGATGCAGAATGGATAAGCACCTTGTGCCCGGCCTGTGTGTTGGCGAGATCAAAAATGCTGTAAAGCGCAGTTAGGTACACACTGGCCAGAGTCGAGGCCTCCTCAAAAGACATCCAGTCAGGGATGTGGTGCGTTCTCTCAACAGAGGCGACGACCCTGTTTCCAAATGCTCCCTTCTTGAAGACTAGTACGCGGTCTCCAGACTTGTATATATTTGCAGCGTTTTTGCCAGCGCGACGGATCTCGCCGGCGCCTTCGAGGCCGAGGAGGTGTTGGTTCTCAGGAACAATGCCCATGGTGACGGCGACGTCCTTGAAGTTTAGCCCGGCGGCGAACAGTTCGACTTCCACACTGCCGTCAGGAACAGGCAGCTCCGTAGCGGCGACCTCGGTATACTGGAGCGAATCAATTGTACCCACGCGCTCGCACTGCAGACGAACCGTCGTGTTAAAGTCATGCAGCTCACCCGCGATGAGTTCGGCGCCATGGACTAGAGCTTTTTCGACAACATTGACAGCCTCGTTGGGCTGCACTCTGCTGATGTGTATAACTCCTTGGCGCTCGACAAACTCGTTTTCAATCCCCGTTGTTTGTTTTCGATGGGCAGCTCTGCCAAGGCGTTCAAGAACCTCGTTTATGGCAGAGACGGTCTTGGTACCTGTGGCTGACTCAACATCCAACGTCGTGATACTGATAGATGGATCCTCGTTGCGAACTGTTCGACCCAAACCGTGAATCATCGCCCTGTCGGGGCTTGTGACGTTCAGCTGGGAGCCCGAGGTCACCCACAGTACTTGGTTGCCTGATACCAATGTGTTCTTGAGCAGCTGCCACTGGGCTTCTGTCATAGTCGGGAGGATTGGGGCGGAGAGATCGCTCAACACCAGAATAGTTTTGTGTCCCTCTTGCGTATGCTCGGTGTCTGTGAACTGCCATCCAAACTTGGACAGCCCTGAGACAACTTGCGCGGTCACGTCTGCTGGTTCAGAGAAGTGTACAAGCTCAATGCGTTGCTTGTTTGTCACGGTTCCCGAGGAAGCAACAAGAATGTGAATGGTGCTGCCATCTCTAGAGGAGATGCTAAAGGATGAGCAGAAACCCAAGGATGACGAGATCGCCGGGATATCAGCTCCGATGGCCTGTATCACGACGTGACCGCCGTCAGATACCAGCGTGCGTGCGTTCCGTAGCACAGTATCTTGCGACTCCAAGGTCCTATCAGCTGTTCTGATAATGACGAGATCAAAGGTTTTCTCAGGAGCCTGCAGCATCTCTGGGTCAGCTGCAACATCGAGCATGGTGTAGGCCACGCCTGACTTGCTGCCGTACGTCTCCTCGGCGTTCACGACAGCAGAAGCATCGCAAGAAGAGAACTGGAAGCTGCGACAAGCAGACCTCACCGCAGGGTCAGCTTTGCTGCCCTCAAGCCACACACTACTGGCCTCGGAGGGGATCGTGCTGGCTTCAAGCACACTCAGGTTTGGAAACTTGTGAGCAGCCAAGTCGATGATTTCATTGAGTGGATCATCTGCTGCCGCAATGGCTGCCACAGTCTCTTCAGCAAGGTGGGTCACATCTGGCTTCCACGAGACGCGGCTGTATGTGTGTGACGAGTAAGGATCCTCCTGTGTATCCAGTTGGTGATATCTCAGGCCAGTGAGCTTGAAACGCAAATCTCCAGTCTCAGAGTCAAGAACGACTGCGTTGGACTTGTAGCTCTTGGTACTTTCGGGCAGGCCAAGACCTACGTACTCAGAGCTCGTCGTGGAGATACCCTTTCCAGAAATGCTCTCCAGTGGGAAAATGGCCAGCTCATCAATGATGGCGGGTACCAATACGGCACTGATCCCGGGCCTATCACCTGCCCACAGAGAAGGGGCGCAAGACTGAAACGATCCATCAATGGCGGCAGGGTGCATCGGATACCACGATTGTGGGTGCTCTGAGGCGGGAGGACTCAGGTCGACGAGGGACCGAGACTCGCGCGAACCGACAATGGACTCGATCTCGAGATGTTTCTGGAAAACCGGGCCAAAGTTGTAGCCGGTATCGTGCATGGCCTTGTACCACAGTGCGCCGGAGACGGGGTCGATCAGCGGCTTGACACTGCCCTCGGCTGCCGTCGAATTCTCAGGGGTGCTCTCCTGGATTCTGACTAGACCACGGCAGTTCTCGAGCCAGGAATCTCCTACCTGGGAGCTGATCTTGAACTCGTGCCAGGAATCCTTTGCTCCCGTGCGCGGGTGAAGGGCTAGCATGATCTTAGTAGCTTCGTCCGAGTCGTCGAGCACGAGAGCGCGGATAAAGTTGATGTCTCGAAGCTTGTAGTGGTATTCTGTGGGGGGGACCTTGCTGTCCAGAATGCGCAGCGCTTCGGTGTTCTGGCGGACGGCCTCTATGGCCATGGCGATGAAGCCAGCCGCTGGGAAGACAATTTCTGGACCCATCTTGTGGTCTCGAAGCCAAGGCAGGTCTGCCAGCTTGAGAGACTTCTTGAAAGACGGCGCCTGCCATGAAGTACCCAGAATCTTGCTACCCAAGAGGTCATGGTGCGGGAAAAGACGACATCGCCAGTCTTTGCTGGCGTCGCTCTCGTACCAATACTGTGTAGAGTGGTCCCACGCGTAGTTGGGCAGGTCGATAATGGTCCTCGGATTCCAAGTCTCAGTCTTGTTCACGTTGGCCAAATTGACCTCTCCGCCTCTAATGAAGAGCTTGCCAGCCACCTCGTAGAGTGACTTGAGCGCGGCGGGACCACGAGACCAGGACGCAACATACTGGACGTCGGCACCTCCTCCAATAACAGCCTTTTTCACCTGGGCCACGGGACCTGAGAGCGCGCCGCTGGGGCCGATCTCGACGAGGAAGTCCGGACGGTTGTCATCTGCGAGCATGGCTTTTGTAGCTTGCTCAAAGCGTACCGCAGAGCTCATATTGCTCTTCCAATACGACGCATCAGCAGCATGGTGCATCTCTTTGCCAGAAACAGACGAAAACATGCGGACGCTGTCCTTTTTCCTATCCTTCTTGCACGTGCCGAAATCCTGTCGAAGCAGAGCCTCGTACAGACTGCTCACTTCCAACATGAAGGGCGAGTGGTATGCCAGGTTCACCTGCAGCAGGCGGGCAAAATGCGACTCCGCAACAAGCGCGGCCATCACCTCCTCTAGCTTGTCCACCTTACCAGACAAGGTGACGCTGCTGGGGCTGTTAAAGCAGGCAATGTGCACTAGGCCGGCGTAGGGTTCCAGGAAGGGCATCACGGCTTCAGGGCCCAGCCCGACCGCGAGCATACCCACGTTCTTGGTGCCATCTACGACGTTGGCGAGCTGCTTGGCAGCCAAACCGCGGTAGTAGGCAACCTTAATCGCGTCTTCCTTGGACAGATAGCCCGCAGCGTATGCAGCCGCGATTTCACCCGAGGAGTGACCGACCACGCTGTGCGGCACGACCCCCCAGTCTTCCAGCACGCTCAGGATGGCTAGCTGAAGCGCGGTGCAGAGTGGCTGAGAAAACTCGGGCTGGCGAAGGAGACCGGGACTGCGCGGCTCTACAAGCTCATCTGCATTGGTGTGAGTAGTTACGATCAAGAATGCGTTAGGGACGAGGAAGAGATACCTAGCAAAGACCACGTTGGAGGGACAAGAGCGGTCTTGAGGACAGTGTCTAGATGCTTCAGCAAATCTCTGGCGGTAGGGAAAGCATCGACAAGAGCCTTTCCCATCTGCGACCATTGGGCGCCCTGGCCAGTGAAAACAAACCCGATCTTGGGAGCTTCAGGGCTCTTCTTCCCCAGAACGAGAGAGTCTTCGGCTATCACCGCCTTGTCCGCCAGCAAGAATCCACGATTGAAGTGTGCGCTTCGCTTGCTTGAGAGCGTGAAAGACAGGTCTCGCAAGTCGACTTTGACGCTCGGGTTGAGAAGGTGCTTGCGCAGTAGCTTCACGTAGCCGCGGAGCGAAGACTCGTTGTTGGCCGAGAAGACAAGCAGTTGGGGCTGCTTTGCGACCGCTGTCGTGGAGGAAGCATCATCATCTTCACCAAAGAGGTCAGCCTCCTCGGCGAGGTGGGAAGAGACGTGGGTGGAGATCTGGTTATCCTGGAGATATTGATCCGCAGACTCGAGGACAACGTGAGCGTTGGACCCGCCGTATCCGAATGAGTTTACAGACGCCCGCTTGCGCGCCCCTGTTGGCCAGGGCATGCTGGTGCGAGTTGCAAAGACCTTCTGCCCCTTGAAGTCGATCTTGGGGTTTGGGGTCATGAAGGTAGGGTTGCCGAAGATGGTACCATTCTCGAGAGACAGGATGGCCTTTATCAGGCCTGAGATGCCGGCTGCCGGCTCAGAGTGACCAATGTTGCTCTTGATCTAGTCGGGTATCAGTGGTGTTCAAATCGCATTATTTCACTTGCAGCGAAGAAGATGAACTCACGGAACCGATGATGAGAGGCTGGTCAGGACTACGCGACGGTGCAAACACTGAAGCGATACCACTGACCTCAGTCGGGTCACCTGCCTGTGTGCCAGTGCCATGGCACTCAAGATATGTGGTATCGTTAAAGTTCGTGATCCCAGCATTAGCATAAGCCGAACGGATGGCCGCTGCTTGTGCCTCTGAGCTAGGGCTGGCGATGCCGGGGGTGTTGCCGTCACTGTTAGTGGCGGTGCCGAGTATCACGGCGCGGATAGGGTCGCCGTCACGGAGGGCATCCGAGAGGCGTTTGACCATAACCGCATTAACGGCCTCACCCTTGATGTAACCGTCTGCCTTGACGTCAAAGGTGTGGCATTTTCCAGACAAACTCGAGGCGCCCTTCATTGGGCCAACATCCATGTTGTGTTCCGGGCTAGGCTCACCCCCCCAAAGTCAGACAGCGTTTCCTAAACCAAAACACCATGGCCGAAAAGGGAAACTCGTTCTAACGCTCACCTCAGGTACAAGTTGCATCCGGCAACAATTGCTCCATCCATCTCTCGGGTACGTAAGTAGCGACAGGCCACATCGAGGGCTACTAGACTGCCCGAACAGGCGGTATCTATCGTCATACTACCGAAACAGGTGTCAGATGTGGCTGCAGGATCCGTGGGGGGCTCGCCGGGTAAGACGGAGGCATGCGCTTACCTGGGACCCTTGATATTAAGAAAGTGACTGATCCTATTGCTTAGAATAGCCCGGCCGACGCCAATCGTGACAGACGGAGCGCGGTCTTCGGGATCGCGGGCCTGCATGTCGGCGTAGTCTGCCAATTTCGCATTACTGTAAGCCAAGGTTCATCCCATGGTAGTATTCATGGTAACAGTCTGGGCTGAGTGATATCAGACGAGACAGATAACGTACCGACGGCGTAGGAACCGACGAAGCACCCAACCTGCGCCCCTTGCAGCTCTTGCAACGTCACACCCGAATTCTCCAGGCACTCGTATACGACCTCGAGAAGCTGTCTCTGCTGCGGGTCCATCGCGACGGCATCGAGCCGGGGTACCTGGAAGAACCCGGCGTCGAACTCACGTGGGTCAATGTTCTCCAGGAACATGCCACCCGGAGACCTCATCGTCTTGGGCTTCTTGGATCCGTCATGGTGGCCGTCCAAACTGAAGCGGGATTCAGGCGGCTCGTTGCGGGCGACACCGCCGCGCTTCAAGAGCTGCGTCAGCGCGTGCGGGTTGTCGACTTCGCCCGGTAGACGGCAGCCCATGCCGATGACGGCGATCGGCTCATGGGCTTGGGGTGCGCCGGTGGTGGGGCCGTTTACGCCGATGCCATTATAGCCGTTTGTACCGTTGATCCCGTTGGTTCCATCGTTGTAAATGGCGCCGGTGGTGCCGTTGCTCGGATAGCCGTTGGTCGGGATTGTGTATGCACTGTTTCTCCCGTCGTTGATCGTCATCTTGGCTGCAGCTGTCTAGGTCTGGGCTGGGCCTAGCTGTTTGGAGAGGGAATAGGGTAGACAAGCCTTTTAGAAAGGTAGACAACATCAACAGTCTATAGAAAATAGTGATCCGATCCTGGCTTCTGTGTTGTCCAAAACAGGCAATCACTGAGTGCGGACTGGATCTCGACGGAGCAGAGGCAAGATGGTTATAGAGCCACTTCACGAACTTCTGTCTAGGAAGAGAAGGCCTTGAGAGTTTGGTAGCCGTTCTATAGTAGTGCAAGTGCTTCCGATAATGGTTTGAAACACGTGAAATCATTAATTACATGTATTAAAACATCCTTTGGAGCTCCGGAGGACCTCGGATGGTTTCCATGTTTGTTCATCGCGGCAAACACCCGCCACGAGTTGGAAGCACGAGTAACCCATCAGCCCATAGTACGCTCCTGACCATCAGCCTTGCTATGGCATGCCCATGACTCGGGGATATTCTGAGATGGAACAATCTGACATCCTGATCGAATTAGCTGGTTCTAGAGTTGAGTACCAAAACCGATGGGCTTGAAAGTGGCCGGTACAAGTGGAACAAATCGGGTAGTTTATCCTACACCCTAGACGGCCGTTCAGTTGTGCCATTGCACTCGCGCATTGCAAGGTCAACTGTCTGATAAGGAACGTCTAATGCGCTTGTAATACATAAAATTGGCCGTCTTGGAGACTATGTAGCCCGATCAAAGAGCTTCTCTTTCGTCTGAATCCTGCATCTCAACGGCAATAATGGGCACCTTCTTCCGCGATGTGGAATTCCAGACTGTGGACGGACTAACCCTTCGGGGCTGCTTCTATCCCGCTCCTGGCCATGGCCCTGCAGCCATCATTACACCCGGAGTAAGCATCACCTGGCGAAATTCCCTACAGACGTTTTTTTTTATTTATTTTTTAGGCCTTCTTCAAGTTGACATCCAGTTTTCGCCTAGTTCAACTGCGTGAAGGAAATGTTCGTGCCAGAGGTGGCCGAACAATTCCAGCTCGCCGGAATTTCAGCACTCATCTACGACCCACGCAGTCTAGGCCTCAGCGATGGCCAGCCCCGGAACGAAATCGACCCGATGAAGCAGGTCTCAGATTACTCAGATGCGCTGACCTACCTCCGCGGCCTTCCCGAAGTCGATCCGGAGCAGATCTTCTTCTGGGGTCAGTCCTTCGCCGGCTGTGTCGCCCTCTGTGCTGGCGCCCTCGATAAGCGCGCACGCATGGTCGTCTCCATCTGCCCGCTGCTGGACTTTGAGCTCACGCCGCAAAAGTTCCCCCGCGTTCTCGCTCGCAGCATGGCCGACCGCGAGTCTCGCGCCGCTGGCAACCCGCCAGTCTTTTTGCCTGTGCTAACCGAGGACGGCGTCAACCCCGCCGGCCTGGGCATCGGCGCCGACAAGGAGGAGTTTGATTACATGGTCAATGCCAAGAGGTACGGCGCCAGTCGCCATGAGAACAGGACGACGCTGCAGTCGTACTACAAGCTCATCATGTGGCAGCCCCATGGCATAATGAAGTACATGTACCAAACCCCGGTTCTTATGGTCATTCCCGAACTGGACCAGATCTCGCCCCCAGAACAGCAGTTTGATCTGTTCGACACGTTTTCAGGCCCGAAAAAGGCGCACGTGTCCATCGGCAAGGGGCACCTCAACGTACTCAGCGGTCCAGAGTTCCCTGACCTAATCAAGATGCAGGTGGACTTTATCAAGAATGTTTTGGCCGGAAAGATAGACGACTATGTGGGTGTTGTGAACGAATCGAGCAATCGCGAGGCCAACGGTACTAAGTAGATGAGCAAATACACATTTCTTATCATAAATTCAATAACTATCATTTTGTTTCAGTTTCACACATGAACAAAAAGTCGTTTTATTGAGTCGTCAAAATGAAGTGCACTAAATAAGGCAAGTAGTCACATATATTTACTCTGAAATTCAAGAAATGATCAAGAATGGCGGCAAATCTCGTTATTCTACAGCAGGTGGAGTGGAAAATGGTCCAAAATCATTTCACTAAACTCCCACCAAGGCAACCGCCGACTCAATCAAATCACAGATCTCCTCACTCAGCTGCCGCGGGACTTCATGACCATAACAATGCTCCAACACCGAAGCCCGTTCAGAACATGCCAGCTGTAGCACATCCTTACTATGAAGGTACCACGGATCACGCCTGCCAAATATGTGAACAGTAGGAATGTCCATTCTGACTTCATCAGATGTTGAATGGAACATTTGGTAGAATATGGCTGCGGTCGGCTGTTGACACTCCTGTTCGGTCCTGTGAGAGTTCTCATCGTCGTCGTCTTTGAGATACCTGTCTGGGGTAATAAGGTATGTAGGCACCTTGTTAGGACGATTGTACCGAGCAAGCACGCTACAGTCCATGTTACAAGAGACGCCAAAATAATCTCGCGTGTCAATCCCATACATCAGGCTGTGTGAGAAGGGCAAAGGGGAGCCGATGAGAATGGCAAACTTGAAGAGGGGCGGGGTCGACGGGATTTCAAGCTGGTGGCGCAAGATCATCGATACTGCAACTGCGGCTCCCTTACGGTCAAGTTTGTTAGGACCCGAGCCTGATAGGAAAAGGACGGAACGCTCTCGGTTAAGCTCACCTGGCTGAACCCCATGATTCCATCGAAAGGGCCTTTTTCGGCCATGATGGACTTGACGTGGCGGTGGGCCGCAGTCACCGACTCAGTAGTCGGCGTTCGATACCAGCAAAGGTACGGGCCTGGATACACCTTGGCTATGGCCCCATCTGGCTTACAAGTGGTCGGGCCATCGACAAATGTGAAGTCGTAGTCCGATGGCAGCAAACTCCGAAAGGATTCTGTGAGTTGAGTCAGCAGTGCTGATAGACCGAGATAAGACAGCATGAAAATGACTCACCCGTCTGCGAGGCAAATATTTGGCTGTTGATGCCCATGCCATGGAGGCAAAGGATTCGGCATGGCATGTTGGATTATCCTGATCATCGATTGGCTAATGATTGCCACTGAACAACTATCTTGGGTGCTTGGGAGTTTCGGATACTTAAATGCTTACCTCTTCGGGGGGTTTTTAAATGTCTTTAAGGTTTGCACTTTGGATAGTGGGATGGCAGCTATCTAGTCAGAAGGATGAATTGGAAGGATTCGGAGGCTTGGACTACCACCGCACCTAGACGAATCCAGAAAGTCCCTGCCGCCATGAAGTCAAACGGGCTATCCCGACCGCCCTTGTCTGAATCCTTGTTCGATATGCCCCTGGACCCCATTCCAACTGTTCTCATTCTTTCTTTCGTCTAGTTGTAGCTATACGAGCACAGGGAGCGTGGCAAGACCATGCGTTACAGATGCATTGTTAGTACTCATCACGAATTTGGCTCGAAAATATAGCAAAAGGTTGGGTCAAAATCAGTTAAAATCACAAATTGGATCTAATTTCATACAGCAGTATTCTAGATCTTGAGAACAGCCTTTCCAATGTTCTTGCCGTAAAACATGCCCACAAATCCATCGGCTGCTTTATCCACGCCGTCTACGACAGTCGACTTGGACGTGAAGCTACCATCATGAATCCACTGTGACACGTTCTGCATATGCTCCACGCCATACTTGGGACCAATGTTGGGGTCAGTTACGATGTAGCCAGCCATGGTGACACGCTTTACGGTGATGTTGAAGAGATTAGTAACTCCATAGCCCGTATAAGGGCCCTGAACACGCGTGTACTGGCTGATGGCTCCGCAGGCGATGATTCTTCCATATGGGTTCATCTTTAGTAGAGCTGCATCCAGCGTCTCACCGCCGACGTTATCGTAAAAGATGTCGATCCCGTCGGGTGCAAGACGGGCGAGGCCCTTGTCGACCGTCTCCTTTTTGTAGTTGAAGACAGCATCGAAGCCGAGCTCACTGATGAGGTAGTCGACCTTGTCATCGGCGCCCACAGAGCCAATGACACGCAAGCCCTCGCGCTTGGCAATCTGCCCGACTACATGGCCCACGGCGCCGGCCGCGGCAGAGACGTACAAGGTCTCGCCTTTTTTGGGCTTGCCTATCTCGTAAAGAGAAGCGTAGGCGGCGAGTCCGGGCATTCCCAGGCCGGCAAGGAATGTATCGAGCGGGAAGTTGAGAGGGTTCTCGATCAGATGTGCCCATCCGGCCTGCAATTCCTCGGCGGTGGCGACGGCGTACTGGCTGATGGGAAATTCCCCCCTGACTATGGCGCCTTCCGGGAATCCTTCATTTTTGGATCGAAGGATTTTGGCGAGGGCTGTGTTCGGGATAGGCTCATCCAGCTTGTAAGGGCCCATAACCGGCTTCTCAACCATGCGACCCTTCATGTACGGGTCGAATGAGACATACAGAACTTGTACCAAAATGGAACCCCCAGGCAATTCCTAGATTGACTTGTTAGCAAAACGCCACAATTGTATTAGAATGGCCAAGTATTATTTCAACAACAGACGACCAACACCCGTTGCGTGTGTTCATACCTGGTCAAGATCAAAGTCTCTGCTCTCCACAGTAATATCCTGTCCCGCTACCGTGGGCGTCTCGTGGACCTTTTTGAAGATCAATGACTTGTTCGCCACCATTTTGAAGATAGATGTTGTCTCTCTTGGATCTCTCCAGCCGATCGTGTAATTTCGTCTTGACTCTGCTGACGAAATTCAGTCCCCAAGAGGGTCTATTGATGTAGTCTTAGAAGGAAGAACTTGTGCTCCGTCTTTCCGTAATGTTGGGGAAATGACCCGATCAACCACCCGGTCCTGTCATGCTAGTTTGACAACTGCCTTTTTTGAGTCAGTGGCTGATGAGCATATTACATGTATTCTATGCGATACCGCGGCGTAATGGGCCGATTGGACCAAAGTACTTATCATCTCGCTCGCGGCGGGCGCGGCCGAGCCGAATTATGTAGGCTAGATCTGACAGACGTAAAGCCACCCCCCACGCCCTATGTCATGTCAAAGGCATACAGCTGTACCTT